GACTCTTTAAGTACCTAGTAATACCTTTTAGACTTACTAATACACTAGTAACCTTTTAGGCGCTTATTAATAATGTACTCTATAAATATTTAGATATATTTATTATTATATATATAGATAATATTCTTATCTTTTCTAAAAATAAATCTAACTACACTAGACACATATAGATAGTACTAAAAGCACTAGATAAAGTATACTTAAGAATTAAACTTAAGAAATACTAATTTAATATTAAAGAACTTAAATTTCTTAGATACGTCGTTACTACTAAAGGAATTAAGATAGCACTAAGTAAGATAGAGAGTATTAGAAATTAGCCTATACTAAAAACTATAAAGAATATCTAAGAATTCTTAGGATTCTATAGATTTAATTAATAATTTATTAAAGATTATATAAAGGTTACGTTACTATTAATAAACCTTACTAGAAAGGACACACCTTTTAAATAGATAAATAAGTGTGGAATGTTATTCTAACTCCTTAAAATAGTATATATTATGGAACTAGTTCTTGTTTATTTTAGGAGTAATAAACCACTATAATTTAAAACTAATGTAAGCGATCTCGCACTAGGAGTATATATAAAATAAGAATAAAATAGTAAATAGCACCTAATCGCCTACTACTTATACAAATTTAACAACGTAGAAACATAGTATAATATATATAATAAAGAACTCTACACTATTATTAAAGTCTTAAAACACTAGAGAATCTACACTCTTAGTTATTTAACACTAGAAATCTATATAGATTATAAAAACTTACTTAGGTTTATAATAATAAAAGAACTAACACTATAGTAATAGAGATAGTCGTAAACCACTAGCTAGTATAAATTTAAAATTATCTATATAGTAGGAAAAGAAAACGGATAAGTAGATATACTTAGTAGATAAAGTAATTTAGTAGGAGAAAAGGTTAAAACCTACTTAGTAATTCTTTAAAAAAATAAAGATAGATCTCTTAAAGTAATAGTAGAACTTAATTAACTCCTAGTTATAAACTAAGAAGTACTAAAATAACTATAAATAGAGATTATTAAATAATACTATAATAACCCTATATATGGACACCTAGGTATTAGAAAAATAATAGAGCTTATCTAGCGAAACTATACCTTTAGGGAATAAAAGAAGCTGTAACTAGCTATATCTAAAAATATATAGAATACTAAAAGAATAAACATAGTATATATCTTAAGTATAGAGAAATATAACTAATTAAGATACTAATAGTACCTTTTAAAGATATTACTATAGACTTTATTATAGAAATACTAGACTTAATTAACCTAGCTATAAAAACCTTATATAATAGCATTTTAGTAATTATATATTAATTTATAAGCTATATTAAATTAATTCTATATCTAAAGAATATAATAGCTAAAGAACTAGCTTACCTCTTTTAAGATAAGTAGGTTAGATACTATAGTATTCTAAAGATAATTATTAGTAATAGAGATAAGCTCTTTATATTAAACTTCTAGATAATGTTTATAGCACTTATTAGAATAAAACGAAAACTATCTATAGTATATTATCTATAGATAGATGGAAAAATAGAAAGAATAAATTAAACTATAGAAATATATCTATAAATATACTATAATAAATAAAAAAATAACTAGGTTTTACTACTACCTATAGCACAATTGGCACATAATAATAAGGTATTAATAGTAATAGGGTAAACACCTTACTATACTATATATAGAAAATATCTAAATCTCTTTAACTAATAACTACTAATAAATATTAACGCAAAAGAAGCCATAGATATAGTAGATAATATAGAAAAGATATATAATAAACTCTAAGAAAACCTTAAGAAAGCTTAATAGTAAGCTATTTCCTATATAAATTAGAAACGAAAAATAGCACCTTAGCTAAAGAAGGGGGATTATAATAGGGCCTCTAGGACTCTATTACTAGCCGTAGCCCTATTAGGGTTCTTGTAAGAGATGAGTAGCGTATAGGGTAGTATAGATTACGTGTTATATAAATATTAATTAATTACTACTATAAGAATATATTACTAAAGACTTAATAGTAATCTTCTATAAGGAAACTAGATATAGAGAACTATATTATAGATTAATAATAAAGGCTTACCCTATAATAATCTATTATCTCTATATACTACTATCTAATAATGGCTTTATAGGCTCTACTCGTAGATCCTTATAGATCTATAGATCCTGGCTCTATAGCTCTATATTTTTAGTATCTACAGATCTATAGATCTAATTACGTAACTTCTTATATATCTATATTATACTTAGCATCTAACCTATAATTATATTCTTCCCCTACATAATCTAATTAGTTACTACTATTATTAACGTAATACCTATAATTCTATTACGGCGTAGTAGCCGTAATAGGGATAAAGCATATCTACTTATAAAAAACCTTCGAACTTAAAAGAAAAAGTATAAGAAACTAGATTATATTAAAATTAGACTATTTTATATTTCTAAATAAATATTACTAGTAAACTATAAATTAGAATTACCACTAGATATAAAGATACACCTAGTATTTTATATATTATTATTAGAACTAGTAGACCTAGAGATACTAGTTAAAACTACCTTCTATTACTAGCTAGAAGAAGAAATAGAATTTAAAGTTAAAATACTCCTAGGTTACTATAAAGTTAGAAGAAAGGACTTCTAGGATAATAAATTCCTATAGAAATAGTTAGTTAAGTAGAAAGGTTACCCACACTTAGAGAATATATAGAAACTAGAGGGTAAGCTAAGAAAGAACTACTAGCTACTTCTTAAATAAGTAAGGAAGAAAGTCTATAACTACTACTACTATACTAGAGTAACTAGAAGTAACTTTAGAGGGGATAAAAACTACTCTATAATAATAGTCTAGTAACGCACCTATAATAAGGAATATAGTATTATATCCCTAGGAGAGACATTTATTCTACCTAGTTTAAAGTAGACTATAGGGCACTAGAATACCTAGTTAATATATCTACTATAGGATAGTTAACTATAGTTAAGTTAATATTCTTACCCTTAGATAATATTTCTATAGTAAGATATATTATCTTTTTATAAGCACGCTCCTTAGCCTAAGCTAATATTTTCTTATTATATAATAAATATATAATTACTATAGCTAATTCTTTTTTATCTACCTCTACCTTCTTCTTATACTCCTTATAAGTCTTATCTAAGGAGCCCTAGCTTATATTTATATAAGGACGGCCTATATAAGTGTATTTAGTATATTTTAAACTTAAGCTTAGTATAATATAATATATAGAGTTCTTTAGGTTATAATTAACGTAGGGTTCCTCTATAATAGTGTTAGCACTAAGAATTTCTCTATAAAGGTAATATTTATGGATAGTAGAGTTAGTAGGCATAATACTAATAATAGTAGAAGGGTAAGTAGGGTAAGTAGTAGCTTATATAAGGAGATTATAAGATTTAAAAGTAAATCTTAGAGAGGGGAGAAGTAATATTAGAATCTAAGGTCTAATAGATAGTAGAATAACCTATTATATAGTAAGAGCCTCTAAGTAAGTATATATATACTATAGGTAATACCTATTTAGGAGTTAGAGCGCTTTAAGAAGGTTATATAACTACTTTTTAGTAAGTGCTCTTTAGAGAGTACTCCCTAGTAAGTACTCTCTAGTAAATAGCTATATATAACTAAGTATATAGAAATAGAAGAATTACCTTAATTCTTATATTTAACCTAAGTTTTAATCTATTATTTAGATTTACTTAGGCCTTCCTTATTAACTTATTACACTTTATAAGATACTTCTATACTAATAAGAACCCCTTCTTCCTTCCCTTAGTAAGTCTTACCTAAGAACTAACCTTAACCTATTTAGGACTAGCTACCCTTTCTGGATTTAACAGTATTATGCTTTACAAAAGTTCCGAGCCACCTTTCCACGGTACTAAAGCTGATTTTCGCGTTTTTAACAGCTAACCTATGTACTATAGGAGGCTGGGTATTGGGTAGAATCTATTAAATCTGTATTCCTAGGCCTGGTAAACGTTAAAATAGGGCACTAAGCTGTTAAAATTAGCTTACTAGAGCTATAAGGCCAATAACCAGCCTCCTATAGTACATAGGTTGGCTGTGAAATGCGGAAATCAGCTTCAGTACCGTAGAAAGGTGGCTCGGAACTTTTAGATAGCACCGATACTGCAGTACTAAGTAAAAAGCCGAGTAAAGTCAGATGTGAGAACATTATTTTATCCTCTACCATGATCTCCTATTGTGTAATAGAGACCTTCACCGTGACCTTTCTGCCCTTATAGTATAGAAGCTAGCCCATCTGAAAAAGCATAAGCTGTTTCTTCACTATTATGATAGAAAAAGCTGCATTTCTATATTATAAAAGCTGTCTCTTGGTCTATAGGGCCCTCAGTCATGACAAAGGACAAGCGAGTTGCGTTTGCTCCATCGCATACTGTGCATCTCCCCAGGTAGCATGAAGGAATTGATCGACAAATCGTGTCCCAAAGTTGCGCAAGTGGCAATCCATATACCGCTTGTATGATCGGCTAATATACTTTGGTCTACGGGTAAAACTGCTCGAATCCTTGTGCAACGATCCGGGGAACCGATGGCCTGGGTTGCGACTGATCGAGTGCGGGTCGTGCACAATATGGAGAGCTTGTTCTCCCCAGAGCGGAGGTGAAGGTGAGCATCAAATCATGGACTGTCGACTGCTGCGCAATAGCAATGTACGATTGATGCCAAAAGCTTATAGCGATATTTCTACAGTACAGAGATGAATAACACATGAACATAAGCTGGAATTTTATGAAACAAGGGTATCAGTGAAGGCGAGGCAAGATAATTACACGAGACAATCAAAAGGGAAACCAACCTCCCATCAACTTGTGATAGCACTGGCGCCACGCAGATTTTTATTACTGACTCATTCCGAATGGGCACTTGAAGGCTGCCCCCCCCCAATGTTCTAGTCTAATTCGCGTCCTAGGTAACGCGGACCTCCGTAGTCACGCTGATATCCTTTGGACCCAATTGGACTGGTTTTATGCTCTCGTTGCTGACCTCGGCGTTGACCACGTCCCATGCCTCCTTGTCCGCTCTTCCGGAAAGCTGTGAATGTTGTGTTGAGACCTGTACGCTATAGGGATATCTAGGCTCGGTTGTCGTTTTCCCCCTACTCCGGATGCTGTGCATTGGAATGCTTTTGTCGTGCTGACTCCCCATGTTGTGGTAGCCCAGAGAATGTGCGCCTGCGTACGCCGAGGGCCTGCCCGTGCCTTTTGTTCGCCCGCTAGATGAAAGAGCGCTCACAGTCTGAAGAGCCCAGTTGAAGAGCGGTTTCAATGCCGGCAAGGACGCAGCGACTGTACCAATTGTGAGCTCGATATAGTTCCAGACGTTAAACGAGTCGTGTACAGTCCAATCCGGATCATCGAGTACTGTATACTGCTGAGCTGCTTTGACGATCCCTGCTGCACAGGCAAACCATCCGAGAGAAAGAACGATAATTAGCGAAATCTTTGTGCGCATATTGATTTGTAGTTTCCAAATAAGTGGGATTGGTAATGTTGCGAATAGTATATCGGTGATAATGTTGAAGACTGCTTGAGTAAGCTTTAATGACTTTAACTAGGGTGTGTGTACTGACGACTGTTCATAAGGCCCAAATTTCGGAACGTGGTATTGTTGTAGCAACGAGCGTTTCCTGTTCCTAATGGTGCGGGGCGAAGGCTCGAATCCCAAGCGGCTTCTACGGGAAGACATTGGAAGATAAGTGTACCGGCACAAGCGAGCGTAATCGCGACAATGAGAACGATGGCTCCTTGTAGAAATCGCGTCTGCTGTCTGGTTGCGGAGAGTCGCAAAAGCGAGAAAGCGATGGAAATCTTGACACAAGACAGACCGACCATGACCATGAGTGAGTGAACGTACAGCATTTTGGCGAATTTCTTGTACATGTTGGCGTCCATAAGAAGCACCATCAAATGATTGCCCAGGCCATTTTGAGTTTCGATCACGAAGCAGGCAAAGGAAATCGTGGCAAACACCTGGAAATAGTGAGTGTGAGCAAGACCGCGTACAATCGCCCTGAAACTCACCATAGACACTACCATCATGTAGTCGTCCTTTCCAAACACCCTCAACATCACGACCCGCACATAACACCGCAGTAATACGATTGATAGAGCTGCGGTGAAGAAGGTACCGGTAATGGAGAGGATCCGCTGAGCGTTGGTATAGGCGATATCCTCTAGAGTAAGAGAAAGTATGACACTGGAGGCCTGCCGCTTCAAACCTTTCTCCGCACCTGTTGCGTGGGAAACAGGCATCCTGAAGGTATTATCGACTTGACGATCGTCTGGATAGTATCAGCGACTGGTGTCCTCACCGAACCCTTGATTATATGGAGCGAGCGGTGGGAGCAAGCTGCGAGTCAACTGCAACGATAAGAGGCAAGCGACCTGGTTGCCTACATTAGATGCGTGAGTATGGATAGCTGCTGTGCATATACAGGTCGTTCTTCCAGGGGACGCTACTAAGTGATGGGAAAATATGTGTGAGCTGCACGCCGTCCGTCCCTGGTTAGCTTTCTCAGCCCAATCCCAGTAACTTGTCAAGATGTGGAACACAGTGCGACGTACTACTCCCTTAGTATGACAGGCACCGCGGATCGGTTCCATATCAAAGCCTGTGACACGCTATAGCCTACGCACGGCATGTGCAATGCATTTGGGATGGGGCTGGATGATCGGATCCAATTTTAGGGCGACCGGTGTTCCTCGCAGTCTGCAACATCGTAGGATTACTCACCGGATGGTGCAATGAGTCGCTCACGGGTTTGTCAGGTTTGCAGCGTTCTTCGACCGTGGGTCAATGGATGTCGAATCGGACGAAGTTGATGTCTGGAGCCCAGCAATACTTCGCAGAATTCAAAGACTGTTGTGCCAAAGGGACATCCTGTTCTATTATTCACATTCGTGTTATTAGCGCCACCATGGCGTGCGTGTTTGGCCTACGGCATGAATTTCTAGAAACCGAATCGAAGCGCAAATGGAGGGCAGTGTGCGCAATATCTCCGGTTGGCGCAAGCGATGCCTTTGGCATGAGATGTCGTTGCGTGGCATGCCGGTTATAGAACCGATAGTGAAATAAATTTGCCCCAGGATCAAGAAACTTCGTAATGGCGCAACTTCAGTGCGAGCGATGTGGGATACCCCAGCCAACGCGGAGGATGGACCCTGCCAAGGTGTCTGGCGCAGGCTCGCTCCGAGCCAATGGAACATTCATTGTGGCCACCCATCCTGTCATCAAAACACATTGACCCCAATGTTCGCTCCATTTGAAAAAAGAGCCACAATGGTGGTCCATATTTCCCGTGATGAATCCAGGGACAAGGTACATTCAATAAAAGCAGCCACTGGCCCTATCAAAGTCTCCAGAGCTTGTGGGTCCCTGCAGGATGGCGGCACGGGTGGAAAGCCCACTGCCGGGTTATTAACGGTGCCGCTGGCAGCTTCTGTTTCAGATCTCAGGCGATCATATCCCACAATCATGGACCTTATCTGTGCTCGATCTAATTAGGACCGATCTTGGGCCCGGGGTACCTTGACTGTGCACAACGCAGGCCGTCCAGCGCCTGGTTCATGGGATTCATATGTCGGACTGTCGCGCGACATGTTCTGTGCGACATGCCTCATTGCCATCGCCCACTCGATCTAAAGACCTAACGTGTAACCGCGTTGCAGGATTGAAGCGAGGCGAATCACTGCATTCCGGCCTCGGCTTATAGCTGTTTTCCCACAGGGCAGTCAATCGCGCTCTTTGCTTGCGCAAATTGAAAACCTCCACGTGCTCAAAATACTGGTAATTAGTCAAACGTGCGCAGAACCTTTAACCCTCGGGAAGTTCGACACTCGAAGTTGTTCAACCCTGGCTTAATAGCCTGCGCGTTATGTACAGGATACAGGCCCTCCGATTCGGATGCCATTCAGCCTGGGACAACTAACCTCATTTGCTGTGTCACATCAGATTTACCAAGATCTAGAAGTTCGGTTCCAGGCACACAGGCCTTGGACTAAGCACTTGGTCCTGATTCGCAAAGCGCAGGCACACGGCACTGTCTTGATCGGTGAGCAGCGTGTACGCGAGTACTTGCACGCTCAATCCAACTCATCGCCCACGAATCCTCTCTCATCTCCGCTCCGTGTGACACTCCACTTAGATTCGTGGCATAACATAGTAGCCGCGGAGACTTATTGCCGATCCGAGCCGTTGAGATAGGACGGTTTAGTGCATCAAGACCGCCGAATTTGCATGATCTCTCCTACTCTTTTTCGGAGGTCGACAATGAAGCTATGCTGACGGCGTCATGCAAGGACCAAATAGTATACTGCTCGTATACTGTCGCTAACCAAATGGGGCTCCACCACCGAGCCCTTTGCACAAGAAGTCGCCTGCAGATAACTCACGGCACTTGGTGCTTCAAACATTAGCACGGGTTTAGGGCCGACTACGCGTATTTCAAACACAAGGCTTACCCTTAGTTACCGTGACAGCCTCCACAGCGTCCTCCCCGCCCCTGTGACCTTTGAGGCATTGCCGCTTGTTTCATCATAAATTAAGGAATCAGAGATTGAACAAATCCGAAGCGAATCTTTTCAATAAGCTTTCGCCTGTGAGCTGACGTCTTGCCACACGATGAGGATTTCAACTTACGTGACAGCTGCGGTGCTGAGCACCGTTGGCGGAACGCCACTTAACAGCTGCCCGCGTGGAGAAACCGCCGTTGGCACTTCAACTTCAAGCAGCGCCAAAACTGATGCGTTAGCCGCTCGGGCAGCCAGAAACGTCATTCAGTACCTAGGGGTCAGTGGCGACTCGAACGCAACATGCACCAAAGACAATATCGCAGTGCGACGAGAATGGTAAAGAGGAACGCTGATCAAGATGGTTGTAGACTAACATGAACCAGGTCGACCTTCAACACACAAGAAAAGAAATCTTACATCGCTGCTGTTCAATGTTTAATCAACGAGCCCTCGAAGACTCCGTCGTCTTTAGCCCCTGGTGCAAAGACCAGAGTATGTACCCTTCAATTACAGTACTAAGTCAGAAGTTCGAGTACAATTGGCTTCTGTATTGCCTATCCTGGAGTAACACACTGCACTCAAACTCTGTCATGCCACTTTATGAGGTGAATGCACCTAAGCTGACCTTGTATAGTACGACGATTTTGTTGCAACGCATATCAATCAAACGCTGACAATTCACGGAACTGTGAGTTAAGCGAACCCTACGAGTCCTACTCACCCTAATTCGGACCAGGGCAACTTTTTAACGTGGCATCGATACTTCACCTGGGCATATGAACAGGCATTAAGGAATGAATGCGGTTACGAGGGCTACCAACCGTACTACAATTGGCCGAAATGGTCAGACGACCCCACCAAGTCCCCAACCCTGGACGGTAGTGATATGAGTATGTCTGGCGATGGTGCGAATCAACCTGGTCGCAACAACACCTGCATTCCATCCAACGATCTTTGCCAGATCAGTCTTGCACCAGGAGATGGCGGAGGCTGTGTACAGTCTGGCCCTTTCAAGAAGTATGTGCATGATCCTTGCTTTTATTCATATTCACCCTGCATGCTAGGCTTACACCACCATAGCTTCACCGTCAATTTAGGCCCGGTTGCACCTGCCCTCGCGGATATAAATCCTAATGCGAACATGTCTGGCCTCGGATATAACCCTCGCTGTCTCCGTCGCGACATCTCGAAGATTGCTGCCTCAACGTGGACCAACGACGACCAGGTCTCTTCGCTAATCACCGACTTGACGGACTTCGGTTCCTTCTCTACGAGAATGCAGGGTGACTTTCCCAAAGGCTTCCTCGGCGTCCATACTGCTGGTCATTTCACCAGCGGAGGCGATCCCGGTGGCGATTTGTTCGCATCCCCTGGCGACCCATACTTCTACTTCCACCACGCGATGATCGACCGAGTCTACTGGACATGGCAGAACCAGGACATTGTGAGCCGGCAATACGCCATTGGCAATACTATTACGGTGAACAACATGCCACCGAGTAGGAATGCTACGTTGGATGATACCTTGGATTTAGGTTTCGTGGGAGTGGACACAATCACTATCCGAGATGCGAGCAATACACTTAACGGTCCTTTTTGCTACATCTATGCGTAAGCACTAACAAGAAGATACTTTGCTTATGCAGACACAGGCTGCAGTTGCTTCCTTATAGAGCACTTTCTAGTAGCTGATACGCATAATACCCATAAACTCAACGCCTTTGACTACGAAATCTTGATTGATCCTAACACGCGATCAGCATATGTTGAAATCAGCGTAGTTTACCTGTCGATGCTGACCTGATCATTCGTTCGAATCCACTTTGTGGAAGTTCGTCCTCATTCCGTCGACAACACTAACAGCCAGCTTCTCGCCTCCATGGCATCTACCAATGCTTTTTGTAATCTCGGGCTGAAGCTTTGGTTTTCTACCTTCACTGGGCCATAGAAGCTTGCATCCAGAGACCTCTCCGCGCTCGTCTGTATACACACGTCCCAATCCACATCAACATCAACGACCAGCACGTGATCAAACCCTGCCTCCTTCAACTAGGCCTCATACCGTTTCTTTTTATTCGCACCCGCTATACAACCGATGTACGGTGCTACATACGCAAGCCTTCTCGATCTAACTCATCTGGTACGGCGAGACACTCACCCTGTTTAAGCAATCCGAATACCTCCTTACACGTTCATTGTTTCTCCGTGTGCGAAACGACATTGATGACGCAGTTAGCTATAACGAGATGTGCTCTCGCGTCTGGTAGTTCGACCGAAGTGATTCTAGAGGAGACAAAAACTGTGTTATGCATAGCAGCCTCGGAGGCATTCCGCCGTGCTTTAGTGAGCATGTTTTGATTGCCTCACCATCAGTGATCACTGACACATCCCCGAATTTCACGAGGGTAGTAGCAAGCCTCATTCAAGCCAACACTTCAAGACCTTCCTTCGATTACCGACTTTGTGCGCCGCGAGGAACCAGTCGAGGCCTGCTCCGCGTACTCAGGTAGATGGCGCAAGCGGATCGCCGCAGCTGAAGCCTAGGTTGGCTTCTGGGGAGATGATGGGTAGGTCTAAGGCAGAGTATTAGGAGGCCTGAGCGACTATATTGGCGTAGGAGGATTTGGAGGTGGCTAAAGCAGTCGCAAAGTAAGTGGTTCTGACGGCTGTATAAACGGCGTCAGGGTCCATTTTGGTTCAAGTGATTGTGTTTCATCACTTGCGCTTCGCCATGCTATGTATCCGAGGCCCGCAGAGGTTAGACGATGATGGAGATGATCGAGCTTATACTAGATGCGATGAGCGCCCATACTGGATATCTGGCGGTCAACCATACATGTCTGCCGCACATCCCATCTACCATCTACATTCTGACCAATAGGCGTGTTGGTTTCCCCGCTATCGATATGTCACCGCTTCCCGGTCGCCGCTCCAGCTTCAGGCACCAGACGTCTCAGGCCCTGCCCAGCTTGCACACGACCGCTTCTCTCCATCAAGGTGCTCTTCATTCTATTCTCCGATTACTATGAACCTTGCTCAGTCAACATGCTCTCCACGAAAAACACCGCTTTGCCAACATCTCCCTACATATCCGGCTCTCCCACCTCCACCAGCTCTTCTAATTCGACGAAACACAAACGCACCCGCGTAACAGCCGAACACACCCTTTCCCGCGTGCGCGAGAACCAGCGTCGTCACCGTGCGAGGAGGAAGGACTTTATTGCGAGTCTGGCACAGAAGCTCGAGGAGACCGAGGCGCAATTAGCAGACGCCAGAGCAGAAATAGATGCGCTTCAGCGAGAACGAGCAACGTGGCAAGACAGCCATAGCGAGGCTCAGAAGCAAGGTGTCAGGATAAGCCGTGTAGAGAGCGAGATGTTCGCGCTCGAGAAGCTAGTCGACACACTACCCTCTCCTCCTCTGGGCGATGCATTGGCCTTCAACATCTTGCCAGAGACATCAGCACTCCCTACGCTCCCCGTTGGCACTACATCTGATGAATCGTCAACCCCTCTCGCCCTGTCACCGACCGGCCCACCACCGTGCTGCACCGACCCCGAGCCAACTCCTCCTTCACGCGCCGCTTCACCCGAATGCTCCACTTGCCACACGCGGCCCGCGCCCGCGCCCACGGAGAGCACTACGCTCTGTGCACAGGCGTACGTGTTGATTGCGCAGCAAAATTTCCGGGGCATTGATGCGGGCACGATACGGCTGTGGTTGTATCAGGGGTATAGACGGGCGAGGAGGGAAGGGGAGGGCTGTAGGGTGGAAAATGGAGCGTTGTTTCGATTATTGGATTATATTAGTGGTGTGTAGCGAATGGGCAGAGTAGAGTGCAATGTTTGAGTTAGCAGAAGATACCCTTATACGCAATAATACGATCAGATAATGGCGAAATGGTGCAGGATCGGGGAGAACCGCAGAGGGCCCGTTAAAGTATTCGATCAAATAGCTACCTATACGCTATGCATTTACGCCTATGAACAAAGAGGTGGATTGAAAGATTCCCGTATCGCCATCACCTGTAGAAACCTGCATTACGTCGTGACCCGTCGTCAAGTATGTTCTTAGCGACCCATGCGGATGACACCTGCAGCCATGAGTTTCTGCACCTTGGAGCGGATGTTTGCGTTCTTGAGATGCTCTTGCAGCGCCGCCGGATCGTCCTTCGCTTGCTGGAGGATGCTCTGCATGATGGGATCTTGCAGGATTGCAACAATCTATGGAACGTTAGCTCTAGTGAAGGCAGGATAAGTCAGACAGTTAAGCTTACCTCAGGATCCCTCTGGATGCGCTCCATCGTCTGCTGCTCGGACTCGCCCTCGCGTGCTGAGTACTGCGCCTGCAACGCCTTCTGCTCCTGTTGCTGGAGCTCGCGCGCATTCTTACCACCCTCATCGTGCTCCGCAGCCTCTGCGCACACATCGATACACTTGTTGTACTCGCGCATGGCAAAGTACGCTTGCGCTTTCCGGAGGTACGCACGGATGAACTTGGGGTCACGCTTGATGGCCTCGTCGCAGTCCTGCACCGCCGAGGGGAAGGTCAAAAGCTTGATGAAGCAGGCTGCTCGATTAGAGTAACCACGCGGGTCCTCTGGTGCACGCTTGATCATCTCTGAGTAGGCCTCGACGGCAGCCGGCCAGTCCGCTTCCTTGAACTTGGCGTTACCGAGCTCACGCGCCTTCTCTGCCTCCTCTGGGTTGATGTAGGACTCCTTCTCTTGCTTGATCTTGGCCTTTTCAGCTGCACGCAACTTCGCAAGGACCTCCGGGGTCTTGTGTTCGGTTTGTGCCTTCTGGTAGTAGAGGATGGCATTGGCCAGGTCGCCCTGCTTCTCGTACGCAGTACCGATACGTGCAAAGGCCTTTGAGATAATCTTGAAGTCCGCGTAGATCTCACGACCGTGCTCTACAGCCTCGATGCAAGCCTCGATGCAGCCCTGGTAGTCGCCCTTCTCGAACTTGGCTGCTCCCAGGTTCGTCTTGTAGGTGATATCCTTGTGTGTCTCCCATGCCTTGGTATACTGCTCAATAGCCTCATCGAATTGACGCTTCTTGTAGAACTCTGTGCCCTTCTTTTTGAATTCATCAGCCTTGGCCTTGGCCTCTTTCGCAGCCTGGTCCTCCTCGGTCTCCTCTGGTTCTGCTTCAGGTTCAGGGGCCCTTTTTGGCTCCTCCTTAGGCGCTGGCTTGTAGTCCGGCATCTCCACATCTTCCTCAGCCTCTCCAGAAGCACTGGCCTGCTGAGCACCGGCTGGCGGCTCGCCAAACGACATGTCGATGCCGAGCAGCACGCTCATGACCTGAAGGAAGCGGGGGTCCTGCATTGCCAATCCGACATCGTTTGGGTTCTTCTGTAGCTGCTGTAGCTTGCGCATGAATTCGGCGTCTGCGAGGAGCGGCGCGGTCTTCGGATTGGCGGCAAGCTTCTGGAACATCGAAGGATCGTTGAACATGTTACCAAGGCCACCTGCAGCGTCACCACTGGCACCATCAGCTCGCGCTTCGGCTTCAATGGCACGCTTGACAGAATCAAGACCAGCTTTCGCTTGCGCGTTGTTCGCATCGAGCTTGAGCGCCTGCTCGAAGGCGTCGGTTGCATTCACTAATTACTCCATCAGCCACACCCTGAGATGTCTGATTTGTGTATATCATACCTAGGTCACCACCACCGTGTAGCGCAGTGCCTTTGCGCCCCCACCCTTTTGACCAGTCAGGCTTGATCTCCACCACCTTGTTCGCATCCTCGAGCGCCTTGGTGTAGTCCTTCAACGAGGCATAAGCTCCCGATCGATTCGAGTAAAGCACATGATTTGTCGGTTCGAGCTCGATAGCTTGTGAGAACTTTTCGCTGCAAGCTTGTGAGTGTTTGCGTTCAGGCCGAGTTTTGCGGGGAAACCTACATGGACTCCTCGAACTTCTTTTCCGCGAAGAGCTTGTTGCCCTCCGCCTTGAGTGCGTCAGCCATTGCGGCAATTTTTGATAGCTGGAGAGGGGTTTTATTGGACTCGTGCTTAGTATGGCGCGTGTCGTAGGCAGCGGTGGTGTTTTAAATAATGTTCGGCGATGGAGCTTCTAGTCTCTTCCATAGGCGGAGCTACGATGCAGCCCCGCTACGTCTCGAAATGGAAAGGCGCCAGGCCGTCGCGACTAGGGCTGAAGGGCGTCGGGATATAACAATTGATCCACCGTTCTCGGGCTACTTGTGACAAAGTCTGTACTCCTCGAATGTCGCTCAGCTTTCAAATCAGCTCAACTGTGAGTGCTCCCTTCTTGTTGACGATTCGCTGCTCAAATTGGTATACGTAGTTTCCATCGTCACCACCGGCTCGTAATGTCCCTAGAAGATGACTGTGTGGTCAGCAAGACAGTATGGCAAGCTCGACCCACTCAACTGGCCGTCACAGACAGGATTACTGTCCGCAATCTGCAGGTTTCTGTTGGTGCTGGCGTAGATGTATGGGGTCGACCGAAGAAGCAGCGCGCTCTGATCACTGTAACGCTGTCGTTGGCCAGACCATTTGATTCAGCTGCGGAAGCTGATGCTCTCGACAACAGCACGGTCCATTATGGGACATTGAGCAAATCCGTTCAAGCCAATATCAATGGTCAAACCGGTCATGTTGGGTCTGGGCTCCTCGCCGAAAACATTGTCAATGTTGCTCGAAACACAGCTGGAGATACCCCACTTTCTTCTATTGAGGTAGATATCTTCTATCCTAAAGGGAGCATGTTTGGAGACGGAGCTGCCTTCTCGCATGGCCAAGCATTCCCTCCGGATCAGAGCAAGTATACGCAGCTGCATCTCCGCAATGTCCGGATACCATGTCTCATCGGAGTCAACGCGAATGAGAGACTGCAGAAGCAGCCGGTGATTGTTAACATCTGGGTCGACCGCGTGTCAACCTTTCGAGTCGACCATTACCAAAGACTGGAGACCGCCCTGGTCGACGTAAGAGAATATCACCGTTCCCTACCAGAGTACTAACCATATCAAGGTCATATCAAGCTCGTCGTTCGAAACGCTAGAATCGCTATCCACAACTGTGATCAACCACCTGCGAAACAGCTTCTTCACCGCCGAGATCGATAAGATTTCGTTGATCAGACTTCAGATTGAGAAGCCGCATGCTGTGCCTGCAGCAGATGCACCGGTCATCGATATAATCCGGCCTGTTGGTACATGAAGGGTACTCTTTGCGACGTTGCAATGATTGAGCCTCCGTACAGCAGATCAAGTCGACACTGTGGGAAGTTCAACGCCACATGCGTTCATGAAGACGACAAAAAGAGACTCAACTTTCCTACCTACAAGGTACATCTAGTGTAGCGCAGTCCACCTCTCTTCCTTATGGTCTGAATACGTCAAGACGTATCTCGATAGAATTCCGACGAGGTTAAAACGAAGCAAATGGAGACAGTATCATGTCCACACAACCCAGGTGCGCTTTGTCTACTGTGATCGTTAGCCGCGCACCCAACAGAAGGCTAGAAGCCATGGATGGTGAGGTCTGTCCAGCAAGTGCACGACCATGGTGAATCCATCACCGACTCGAAGAGTCTGGTCCCCATCTAAGCTGGCAGCTGTCAAGCTAGCATTTTCCCGCCTCGGGCCTGCAGTTCCCCACGTGGGTAGGCACACCGCACACCGCCACGCGGGACTTGGTGCAGGCCCCGGGATATAAATCAAACGCCGTGGCGCTCGCCCCAACGCTTGTTTCGGACTTGCACAGAAAGCTCTGCCTGACTTTCGGAGGGTGCTTGTGTGGACTCGCCGGTAGTCGGATGCATTGCAACAGAGGGCAACGCTAGCCTCACCCACTTGCTCCAGACTGCACGTTGGGGTAAATGTTGGGAGAATTCTTGCTGGGCCATAGCGTCACATTCGCTGGCGATCCACCGCCTACGGTCTGACCGCCTTGAGCCCCTGTTCGGGTGCTTTTCCGCGCGCGGCTCGCAAGCCACTCGACGGCTGGAGCGTAGACATTCGACATGGCACCTGGGCCCTTTGATAATTTTGCATCCAGGAGCTTTGACCACCACCTTTAGCTCTCAACAACATTTGTGCATCGTGCGTCGACTCGAAGCAGCACCCAGCAGCAGCATGTGAATTGAGTGCCAGGGTTCTGGAGTTGCCACTCGGGAGGTTTCGTGAAGATATCTTCTGAATCCTTGCCGACGATAGCTAATGCGGCATGATGACGAGCGAGGGGTGAGGGGTATGGATTGGCGACCTGCATGTCCTCGAGCTTCAACGCGGACAAGAGGACACTGTCTGGATAGTCGCTTGCTACAAAGAAGGCAGCTAGTCAGTGGCAGCGACGTATGGAACCTGCATAGTTGGTCCACGATAGCCTCCTTGACCCTCCACGCAAGCGTAGCTCCCATATCGTTGGCCCAGTGCCCGCATACCTTGCACGTTCTCGCCTGCCCCACGTTCGCGCAGCTACCCGCACGGACCCATTGCGCCTGCCCTGAAGTACAAGTTTCCGCCCTGGGCTTCTCTCCTAAACTCTCTCGCCCTCCCTTTCCATCTCTCCTCAAAGTCACATACCACACATCATGGCCTCTCGCGCTATCCCCTCGCACCTGAAGCCCTCCGCCGCTGCAGGCAATGGCGACTCAGAGGGTGGCCAGCGTCACCACGGCAAGACTGCCTCTCACTTCGTAAGTATACCCATTCTTTTGTCCCTGCATCGTCCCGGAGCTTGTACCACCCTTGCATATCCCCAATCGCTTGCCGAGCCCGAGCAGCTGTAACAGCAGCCGTTCTTCTCGGATATTTTCAAAGGGGAGCTGCTTCCTCTGTTTTCGAATGCAAGAGGCGGTGACGACACAGGTGCGAAAGGAGCACCCCGCTAGCCCGAAGATATCAACTCTTCGAGTCCTTCCAGGACTTGTGACTTTCCGTTCAACGCAAACAAGCAGACTGCCCGTCTTAGAGGGTTACTCAAGCTACTTGTCTTTTCACCCCATCTCTGCTCGTTCTACCCTGTGACCAGACCGGGTGTCACCAGTCATGTCACCCCCAACCACAATACGCCGAGCAACGGCTCTTTTCAGCAACAAGCAGCCTCTCGACGGCATCTGGGAATCGAAATTGACGGCAATGGATTCGGATCTAACAGAAGACCAGGCTTTTGAGAACACCTCAACCAACGTCGCCGCCTCGCAGATGCGAAATGCTCTCAACAAGCTCACCGACTCGGTGACGAACCCAGAGGAAAAGAAGGTACGCATTCCAACATCCCTAATGGACGTGTCCTGCGTAGCGAGGATGCTGTATCGAGGGTCCTCCCACTCTCGGTTCGCTATCCAGCGCTGGCGGAATATGCGCCTGCCCCATAATCAGGTTCATGGTTGCTAACACTTGGTAGCGTTTCGAGACCGAGATGGACAATTTTTTCGCGCTCTTCCGACGATATCTCAACGACAAAGCCAAGGGCACTACCATTGACTGGAACCGCATTGCTCCTCCGAAGGCTGAGCAGGTTGTCAACTACGACGACTTGGCCAACTCCGAGGCGGTCGAATACTTGAACAAATTGGCTGTAGTCAAACTCAACGGTGGCCTCGGTACCTCTATGGGTTGCGTTGGCCCCAAGTCAGTCATTGAGGTCCGCGACGGCATGTCCTTCCTCGACCTGTCGGTGCGCCAGATCGAGTATCTCAACCGGCAATACGACGTAAATGTGCCATTCGTGCTCATGAACTCGTTCAACACCGATCAGGACACCGCCAACATCATCAAGAAGTACGAAGGCCATAACATTGATATCCTCACCTTCAACCAGTCCAAGTACCCGCGTGTGCTCAAGGATTCGCTTCTACCTGCGCCCAAGTCCGCCGACTCCGACATCGCCAACTGGTACCCGCCAGGCCACGGTGACGTGTTCGAGTCGCTCTACAACTCCGGTATCCTTGACAAGCTCATCGACCGTGGTATTGAGTACATCTTCCTTTCCAACGCTGACAATTTGGGCGCTGTCGTCGATCTCCGCATCCTTCAGCACATGGTAGACTCCAAGGCAGAGTACATCATGGAGTTGACCGACAAGACCAAGGCCGATGTCAAGGGTGGTACCATCATCGACTACGAGGGCTCCGTCCGTCTTCTCGAAATCGCACAGGTGCCCAAGGAGCACGTCAACGAGTTCAAGTCGATCAAGAAGTTCAAATACTTCAACACCAACAACATCTGGATGAACCTCAAGGCGATCAAGCGCGTTGTGGAGAACAACGAGCTCGCCATGGAGATTATTCCCAACGGCAAGTCCATCCCTGCAGATAAGAAGGGCGAGGCCGATGTTTCGGTTCTTCAGCTCGAGACGGCGGTCGGTGCCGCCATCCGTCACTTCAAGAACGCACATGGTGTCAACGTGCCCAGGAGACGTTTCTTGCCCGTCAAGACTTGCTCCGACCTCATGCTCGTCAAGTCCGACCTCTACGCACTCTCGCACGGCCAGCTGGTTATCGACCCCAACCGATTCGGCCCTGCCCCTCTCATCAAGCTTGGCGGCGACTTCAAGAAGGTTTCGAGCTTCCAGTCCCGTATTCCGTCGATTCCTAAGATTGTGGAGCTGGACCACCTGACCATCACGGGCCCGGTCAACCTTGGCCGTGGGGTAACGTTGAAGGGTACGGTCATCATTGTTGCGACGGAGGGCCAGACGATTGATATCCCGCCGGGTTCCATCCTTGAGAACGTTGTTGTTCAGGGATCGCTCAGGCTTCTTGAGCACTAGACGCGTGGTTTGTTTGCGTAGTAGATTTACCCAGGCATTTGAATTAGGTGTTGAGCAGTGGACTCGCATTCACGATCAAAACAGCATGTATGCTCCTTGTGGCTAGATAGGCAGGGGTGTATGGCTACGCCATGATGACTATGGATTGTAATACAGACTAGGATATTCGACACTGGCCTGGAGCAAACCGTTCGTGGTGTGTGTTGCTGCCTGAACCTGGTCGGTGCCTGAACGCTTCGCCCTGCGCCAGCGTGAGGTCATTGCATCTGCCCCACCAAGCCACCTCATCGCGTACAACGCACCACTCGCAGCCCTGTATCGCGCCCTGGGAGGCGCAGCCAACAATTTGGCTGCCTCGCGCAAGCTTCCGCAGCCTTGCCTTGATCAACGACGCGTCCTGGACCGTCCACATGTATATGTATGCTGGAGTGCTGGCGTGACATTAGCATTGCTGCCCAGCTGTGACCGCCCATGGCCGCAGCATTCCCGAGCTTCACCGCAAGTCGAACCGCGCGCAATCAGCGCAACCCAGCGCAAACATAGTCAACGCCCAACCGCCCATGATAGCTACATGCGCAATTCATCCTCATGGCTTCGGACACAAACGACGCGAGCGCAGGTGCGCAAACGGCTGGGAACGCAGATGCGGCGCAAAAGGAGGCCAAGGATTATTGGGGATATCTGATCAAGCCGGACAAATGTGGGACGCAACTATTTGATCGCCTGCTTAAAGGCATTGCGGAAGTCATTGTGAGTGAACGCGCCTGAGGAACTGCTGGACAGTCTGACGGCTGGACACCGCTGATGCATGACCGCAACAGAGCAAGACATTCGAGCCCACAGACTCGCCCGACCTCACGCCCTCTCAGATCGCCGCCTTCTACCGCGCCGTGGGCGGAAATTACGATGTCCTCTTCGTCGAAACGCCAGCTTCATCCCTATCCTTCATATACCGTTCGCTCGGCGCATTCCACAGTCTACAGCCCGCGCCCAATGATGACGGTTATTCGTCGCCTACGGTTCCTGCGTTAAAGAAGCAAGGATTTGTAACATGGCAGACGATACAGTTGTTGCTTGGTCCGGAGGAGCATGTGTCATTCCTACAAAATGCAGTAAAGCAATTCGATGTTGTAGACCCAGAGACAGGCACCATGTTCCCAAAGGTGCTACCTGCCGATTCCCTGCCAGATAAGCCAGATGATGCCATGGAAGCCTGGTACGAGACCGTCGCCCAGCGCCTTAAACGTGAAGCGGAAGAAGATGGCGGAGAGAATGAAAAGGTGCCGCACGTTCGTGTCAACGTGGATGAGCATGGCCCACGCACATCAACCGAGTATTCTGGCGACTCAGCGGATGAGAAACACGCAGCTGCAAGCTACTTCTCGGACCCTCTGTATCGACGATCAAGACATACCAGACCTCCAATAATACGTCACTTTTCGAAGCAACCCGCGCACCCCTACGAGGATCCGAACCGGGGTCGACTGATATCGAGTGTAAGGCATATGCTGAACCCTTTTGGCAAGAGCAGGAGAATGCCTGGAAGGTACGAGGAGGATAGCCTCTCAGACGACGATAGGACACCTGTGGCTCCAGCACCTCCGCCTGCACCCCGCTACGTCTCTCACAGCTCGCACAACTCCCAGAGCTCACACAAACGACCTCACCCTCCAAGACGCGAAAGCACAATGTCCTCTACCGACTCTGACTCCGACTCTGACGCCCCATCCCGTCGAAGAAGCCCTATCCTCCGCCACAGACGCTCCCACGAGCCCGCCACCAGCCCAAGAGAGTACTTTCCTTCCCCCTACGAAGACCGCCGCTACTCACACGCCGACGCACCCGGTCCATCACCTCAGCGCAAAGAGGACGGTCCACCACCGCTGTACGGGCCGACCAAATCCCCGCTCTTCGCTACGCACGTTGCCCAAATGCAAGCACACACTTACTACGACCGCCGCCCCTCAATGCCAGCACGTTCCTCCCACCGCCCCCACAACGTACGCTACACCAGCGTTCCGCCCCCTCCCGAGCCCATAGACCCGCCTTACTCCCGTGAGCGCAACGCCCATCACTCACGAGACAGAGAAAGAGATCGTGAACGCGACGGGTACGAGCGGTATCGGCGGCGCAGCGAGGAGTTCTTACGCGAGAAGGAACGGGATAGAGAGGGATTGAGGGCAAGCGATAGAACTAGGAGCCATGACCGGGTGAAGGATGACTGGGACGAGAGGGAGGATCGGAGCAGGGAGAGGGATAGACAGGGGATGTGAGAGGTGGGAGGGCGCATCGGTATGTGAGCGGGGTGCGTGAGCAGGATGGGGTGGGTGGAAGAAGGTATCCTGTGGAGCAGCCTTGGCGGTAGGGAGATGGTTTTGAATGACGGGTACGGGGACGAAGTGGAGTGGAGTGGGCCAGGCGTGTGCAGACAAGTCTGCTGTGGATCTGGGGATTATGCGGAGAGATCATGGCTTGCGATCAATTTCTTGCTAATTCTTTGGTGCGGTCTAGGTAGTTCTTCTCTTCATATTTCTTCTTTTCCCTTCCATTACATGGCGTCTGTTCGGCTACATATATCCCCTCCGGCGAGCGTATTTTCTTATTCAGTGCGAGGAAGCGAGCCGGCATGCAGCATGCATCAAGCGGATACGGAGCATGCATAGTCCGAGAAAGAGCGCGGTGGAACATGCAAGTCGTGCAATGAGTAATGACTATCAATGAATGGACGAAAGAATACAATGAGTTGTGTGATGTAGAGTGTTAGCAGATTGGATGACATGTCCTCAGAAAAGTTTGTGAACATGTACGATATGGTGACAGAAAACAAGCTGGCACACCATGCTATTTATTGAACGTCATGGAGGAGAATGACGGTTGCTCCGCCGTCTTGGACCCATCGTCGGAATATGACTGATCATGCGGGTGGTTGCTATTCTTGACAAACACGACTGTCGGAAACTCTTCACAGAGAAGGGTATGCACAACGAAATGCTCAGGCAAGCTTTCAAGGCTACAATATTACAGACTCAGCGTTCTCAGTGCCCATTGAGCATCGGAAAAGTCCTCGCCCTCTTCATCTTCTTCTGCCTCTCGCTCCTCTTCCTCTTCCACTTGAGCACATACTTCGCAATACACACTGTCGCCTTCAGCTTCCTCGCCGTCTCCAGCTTATATGCATCAATATCTTCTTGCTTCACCTCGAATCTTTCCCGGAACTGTTTCAACCACTCTTCTCGCGGTATCGATTTCCCTCCCACTACGATGCTGTCATCAGGCAAGCTCGACCATTTCTCTTCATCATACTTCGGTAGGTAGAGAAACTCGTGCTCTTTGCTGCAGACGAGTGGGCTGATCTCGTCGGCGAGAAGCTTCTCATGGCAGGGCGTGCAGAGCTGCACGCAAAGGCAGTGCTTGCAGTCCCAGCAATCGGCAAGCATGTTGTCCCATGTTGTGTTGCAATTGTCACACACGTAGCCGCATATATATGCCTCTATCGTTGGCACTGTGAACTCAGCAGGCTTGTCCTGGGTGAGGGTTGACTGAGTCTCCGAAACATCCTCAGCTTTCTCCGTTGCCGTCCGTTCAACCTGGCGAGGTTTGAGCGCCTGCCAAGCTGCAATCGCGTCGTCGTCCATATTGAAGATGGCTAGAATCTGCGCAAGGACTCCAAACCGCATGCTCAGAGAAGGGTCATTTAAGTCTTCAGGCCAGTTGTCAAAGACACCTCGAAGGAGCGTTCTCGCCTCCTCATCGGCCAACTTTTGGCTGTCTTTCAGCAAATGGAGCCTGGCCAGGCAGATGCACGGATCATGTTGACTTTGTCGGAATCCCCGAACGTTCTCCTGGTTGGATCTGCAGAGGGCTTCGAGCCGAGTCACATAGCCAGCCGTGGTCGCCTCGGCGGCGCCCTTGTCCAACAGAGCTCGTGCCAGCAAGCGACGGGCTTTGTATGCCACCCAATAAGCGTCCGAGGTGTTGCTTGGGTTGAAGACCATCTGTTCCCAGACTTCCAGAGCCTTCTCGTGCTCGTGATGCCGCTCAGAGACATGAAAATTAAGCATTGCTCGAAAGAAACGTAGGTTTTCGCGAGAAATGTTGGCATCGTCTGAGGCCTTCTGCTCGGAGCTCTTCTCGTCGTCGCTATCGTCGTACGAAGATTCAATCGTAGGGTCGATAACCTCATCGTACATTTGTGACACTTCCTCAACGGCTGTCGACTGCTTCGCAGCCTTGATGATATTGTTGTGCACATCGTCACGGCTTCCAATAATATTACCGAGCCAATATGATAGCGTTTTTTCTGCTCTCTTGTCTCGCAAGAATGAGACGATTGAGTCGCTGTCCCCAATTTCGATCCAGAGAGCAAAGAGAGCAGCTAAGGCATCTGCATGGTATGCCCCAGCTTGTTCGGCGTCCTGTGCTAGAATGTCCTGATAACACTTGATAGCCGCAGGAATATCCCTTAGCTCACGGTGAAAGTTGCCCTCCGGTAGAAGGATCCTGTCCCAGTACACATCCTTGAAATCTTTGTCGGTATCGATCAATTCGGGGTGCTTTGCCTTGACTTTATGTAGGTACTCCAAGGCAGCCGTAAATTGTTTCAGTCCCGCATAGGTCTCTCCAATCTGAAGTAGGACGATCCAATTATCCCCAAGCTCTTTCTCCGACTCTTTGAAGGCAGTGAGCGCAGCTTCGTAGTGCTCTAAGATCCTGTACATTGTACCGACGCGAGACAGCCAAAGTGGAGCAGCTCTTGTGAGACCAGTATGCTCTAAAACCCACTCCAAATACTCGGCAAGCGATTCGAGCGAGGGCACCACTGGCTCGTATCTCCCCCATTTTATCTGCGAGCAACGAGTCAGCTGAGCAGATATCACTGATGATGGGGATCTTTTACCTTAGAGAAGATACCATAGGACAGCCAGAAAGAATCGGGGTCAGTCATGGTCTTGCAATCAAACCATTTCTTCGCGAGACTGCTTGTGACTCTCTCCAGAATGGCGTATTTGTTTGATTTCGCACTAATAACGGATTCCACCCATCTGGCTTTCTCCAGATCGTGTTGGTAACCCAATGCGGCATGAGGGTTCCTCAGAAATCTTATCGTCGGTTCGAAGAATGCATCGTTGAAGACAAAGTCCGCCCTGACAGTACTCAGAAAGTCCTCCTTCAGCCAAAAGTCGACGATCGCGTCTGCATCATAGAGCAATTGAGATAGCTTGGAGCCAATGACCGTCAGACTTTCCCTGTCGGGCTCAAAATAATCAAGTTTCTCCACAAAGTACTGAAGATGTTCGTAGAAATACACAGAAGCGTACCGGCGAAGCTTGTTCAGATGTTCCTCATCATTGGTTGTGCAAAGCGTCTCCAGACACGTGCGAGTGATGATGACGTCCAGCGGACGTTCGTCGTCGACCTGTACGGACGCTCTTTGCTTTCCGGCCAGCGAAGAGAAATAGTCGTCGAAATTGAACCTGCCATACACATGCTTTCCGCAAACGTTCTTGACGATATGGCTGCAAAGATCGATCTCAGCCTGGGTCAACTCAACATTGTTCAGGCCGGTTCGAGAAAGTTTAAGATGGCTTTTATTTTCCTCCCGCAAAACCTCAAGGAGCTGGTCCGACTTGAGTCTGACGTTGCTATATTCATCCAGGGTGAGCAACCCAGAGAACGTCGTCGCTATCAAATCTCGCAGCATGAACGTCCTGTGAAACGCGCTATAGAGAGCGCTCTGAAGAAACTCAATCGAGATATTCTTGCCGCCGACAACCCAGACAAGCAGCTCATTGATTTGTCGAGTTTGTTCGGCATTCAGTGATTCGCTGAAGACCTTCAGCGAGTTGCTGATAGATGTTTTCAAATCGTCGCCGATGCTAGCGATGACGTCAAGGACCTTTTGCTCTGAATCACACGTATCGATCTGTATCATTTTGGCTTCGAGATGGTCGTAGTGACCATGGACTCCTGCCACTAACTTCTTAATGTTCTCTTCCGTCATCACATTCTTCAAGTCTGGTTTCTTCTTTCCAATATCCTCAACCCTAGCTCTTGCGACGGCCTCCAGATCGCTGGCATTAATAAGAGATACAAACGTTGAGGTTTCTTCGATTTCACCAGCACCCAAGCGGACCATTTTGTTGCCAAGGTCTTTCACCGGCCCAAGGAGAATCCGTCGCACGCCATGATCATCTTGCGGGATGCGTGCAGCTAATTGGTGGGTACCCGAGAAGTAGAGGCGGATTGAGATGCCCTTGATATCACACAACACGTTCTGTGCGATCGTAGTAACCAATTCCTCAGCTTCTTGTGATGCAAAACCATCTATGCATATGTAGTATGTTCCTTTCATGGCGTGTTGGAGCCTGACTATAAAGCGATCCCATATTTCCTCGGCTCGTGCAATGCCACTTGAGTGCTGACAGGCTTCGGCGACCGCTCTGGCATATGCTGGGTCCGCAACTGCGAGCTGGTAAACGATGCATCTCATGCACCTCTCCAGCGAGTCTTCTTTGTCTTCACCATCTTGTCTGTTCTCGCCATAGTAGTAGTAGGCGATTAACACACGATCTGAGCTATTGTTGCTTCGATAAATGTCTTGAAGGTGCGAGATGGCATTGCAGGAAACGTAAGTCTTTCCAAATCCTGAATCTCCTTCGATGGTCAGAATCTTGGCCTTGTTCTGGTGGTCATGAGCGTCAGCCCATGCCGAAAACCCAAGATCGTCTCGTTCGACGAGCCAACGACCGCTGTCTGCAATCCTGACTTTGCAGAGATGGTTGTGGCGCTTTATCCACGTCTCTTCATTGCTTTTCAGATCAAAGGCCTTGCGGATCTTCTCCAGATCTTCTTTGTTCTTGTCTTGAGAAATGCGGCCGTCAAGGCTCGTCTTCATCTGCTGTGCGATGGCTAATGTTTCTTCGCTAACCTTATATATCGACTCCATGTACTCGCGGATTTCTGATTGATGTTGTTGCCTCACTTCATCCGAATCTCTCAGGTAACGCGCGAGTCCTTTGACATCCACTAATATCTGATCGATCTGAACGTTTGTAAAGTCCTGCACTTGTCGCTCTAGTAGATCAAGCGAGCTTTGAACACCGGCATCTCCGCTGAATAGGACAATCTCCAGGACTAACTTGAATTTTTCTCGTTTGCTCGTTGATAATTTGTACGAGGACTTCAGAACGTTGATAAAGTGGCTGAGAATGTCATAGCAAGGTCTCCGAAGATGGTTCGGTAGCCTCTCTCGAGCCTTGCCTACCTCTTGTTTGAGGAATATGTTGAGTCGTGAGAGGAAGGCGGCGCATCGTTCCATGAGTGTAACAAAGCCCTCCAGAACGTCGGAGTACTTTCGTGCGGCGATGATGACGAAGTTGATGGCGTTCCAACATTGGGCGCTGGGACCGAAGGCCATGCTGGCTCCGTCTGCAAGGATGGATCCCAGGTTGGCTATACATGCTCCAACATTGTTGAGTACAGTCCGGGCGTGAGAACTCCTCTTTGATGTCGCTTCACGCAACCTTTCGTTTACGATTTGCTGAAAGCTTTCAAAAGTAGTGTTCGGATCCAACTTCTTCTCTGTGACTCTCTCATACTCGGCAATTACCTCCGGCCAAACCTCGTTAAGATCCTTGTCGGCACTGAAAAATGGTTCCACGTCAGTGCCTTTCTTTACCATCGCTTCCGTACAGGTGTGATGTCGTGAACTGGTGAAGAAGTGCCTGGGAGAATGGTAAAACACAAGTAAAGGCAAAGACGCCGCGTCTGCACTAATTTGATTGTTGTAGCACGGTGGAATGAGAGCGAAGTAGTACTCGGAACATTAGAGCGCTGATGCGAGCCAGAGGTATTTCAGTCCAACTTGGAGAAGAACACGTTGGGGCGGAAACAGAATCAGGCAAGGCCGGCCTGCAGGGGGCGTGAGCGATCCACAGCCATTTCGGACAATGCTGCCATGGTTGGCGTTTTGCATCCTGGGAAAACCGGTGAGCTTGTTAAGGTGCTTTCCAGATTGTGCGAATCGAGAGTTGCCTTGGCTTGTCGATTCTCTCATGCGACATTAGCTTTTCAAAACCTAAAGTCCGCTCCTGATGTGCGATGACAATAAGGTTGGGCTCTCAGCTTGGGTCAAAAAGCTCAAGAGAAGAACGCCCCGCGCAGCGCTAATCGGCCGAACGCCATGCAGCGCCTGCTCATCGTGCAACCATTTCCGTGGGAAGACGCCATCATCCGGTTTCGGACTGAGAGGCAGGTGGATGGCCGTCGCAGCAGTACAAAGTGCTGCGAGCCTGTAGGACTTCGCTGCGCCTGAGCGGGAGATGGGCCAGCATCGTCTTGCAGCTTACAGATTGTGCATAAGCAGATGGCACAGGGGTTTTGACGACTTCTCTGTAACACATTGACGCAGATGTGGCACCGAACCGCTAGAGAGGATGCGCAGCAGCTGCAGGCAGCGCAGCGGTCCTGGATGAAAGGAAGTGAGGCTATTGGGTAGGAGGAGATATGTGCCTGTACGTGGATAGCGGCTGCCTCTCCTGTAGCTAGCTTCCCGCTTCAGCTGAGGTCGCAGTCTATGTCGTTGGCATGCTTCCTTGTAACTTTCATTCAGCAAAAGGATACCATCACGTGATTGCCCTCCTTGCCCAACGACTCTGTGCTAGTCCCAATCTAGTATCGTCCGACTTGATCTTACGCCAAGCGAGGCACCTCCTTCTACGGTGCACATGCGTCGTCCTCGTGAACCTCCGACTCCGCTTTTTTGAGCCTCAGACAACCATGTAGAAGGTGTTCATCAGTATATCTGGTGCAAGCATGTCCTTTGACAGCTCACTGGGTCCCTCGACGTGGAGCTCGTCCCTAAGCCCCACCACAAGCTTCAGCTCGGCAACCCACGAGGTACGACGCAGCCGGAGTCGTCGTCGGCGTTCAAGCGCTAGTGAACATGATCGAAATCCTACCAAATTCGCCAGGTCGAGCACTCGTTATGGTATTACTCCGTACCACCAGATTACCGAGTCGCAAGCTCTCTGCCGCCCATGCCATAGGTTGAATTTGAACCACATTGTCACCTCAAGAAAACGAATAACGTCAACATTGGGGGAATTCATTGCTTACCTGAACTGGGATGCAAATTCTAGCTGCACACTTTGCGCTTTCTTCATGTCTATGCGCGTACCGCACCCTCATCGTGATTCGAATGATGGTAAAGACGAAGTGCAAGAAACTGGCTACCACCTCCGCGCATTTTCAGGCATGCTCTCATATCGAGAATACTTCTTACGTCCTCCAACCAACAAGAAGGCCAGCGAATCGACCGACACCATGCTCGCCGTGGTGCCCAACGGCCTGTTTTCAGACCTGAAGGACACACATCAGCACTATGCCGACACCTTCGGATCCGTGGGCTACATACTGCCCGTAGCCTACTCCTCCCTCTCCCCCTGGCTCACAGGCCGACCCGTGGGCCCCCTCCGCATCAATTTTCCCCTCATTCGCAACTGGTTAAAGCATTGCAAAAACAATCACAGCTGCACATCGCGCTGGTCGCGACCCTCAGACCTCCACTTGATTGATTGCAAGTCGCTCGACATTGTCACCGCCCCGCCAAATTGCAACTACTTTGCCTTGAGCTACGTATGGGGAAAAAAAGGATCAGAGTCCACCCCAGCTCCCGCATCTTCGCAACGCCCAACCCCCAGCACCCGCGATCTTCTTCGCGCCGCCGCCCCTGTCGTTCGCGACGCCATCAAAGTCGTCCAAAGTCTTGGCTCAAGGTACCTATGGGTCGACCAGTACTGCATCCCCCAGACGGACCCCATGCTCAAGGCCGAACAGATTGCGAAAATGGATCTGATCTACGAAGGCGCATACTGCACTATCGTCGCCGCCTCGGGGTCCAGCGACCAAGCCGGGCTCCATGGAGTCAGCATTGCGCGGTACGCGCAACCCTCCTTCACGCTGGATGGCTACGACGTGCGTCTCGTTTCTTCTTTACCAGACCCGCAGGCCGCGATAAAGGCTTCGACGTGGATGACGCGGGCTTGGACCTATCAGGAAGCACTCTGTTCAGCGCGTCGCCTCGTCTTTAACCCGCATCAGGTCTACTTTGAATGCAAATCCATGCACAGTTGCGAAGCGGTCGAGCTCCCGCTTTCCCTGCTCTCGGGCCAGCATGCCAGTCCTGTCCTCTTCAGCGATGAGTGGCTCGCAGGCACGCATCGCTTCGGTGCCCTGAGCGCTTTCTGGGCCGTCGTAAAAGCGTACTCGCTGCGTTGCATGACGTTCGATTCTGACTCTCTTGCGGCGCTCGAGGGCATCCTGCGAAGATTCCAGGCCAGTCCCGCATTTGTGTACAACATCTTTGGCATACCATTGGTCCTGGAAGACGGGCCCAAAGGGAATAAGGACGCGCTGCTCGACGCCCGGCTCTTCGTTGCGGGACTGTCCTGGCACCATGGCGGCATGGCGCGGCGGAGGAAGCAGTTTCCCAGCTGGACGTGGGCGGGATGGGAGGGCGGCGTACAATTGCAGCGCACGTTCGGGCGTGAGGGGTACATGAGTGATGTGCGGCTGTGGGTGCATGGTGCGGACGATGTGACGTCCCCGTGGGATTTGTTCTGGGAAGGTTTCTGGGGGCCTGCTGGGAAGGCGAAATGCTATGCGCGGTTCGTGTGCTTGATCATCGAGGCAGACGTGTTCAAAGTGCAGCTTGTGCCGAGGGTGTACCCGCAAAGTCCGAGTGCGGTAACGGCGGCGAAGAGTGCCATCTGCGATATGGTGAGCCCGTACGACTCAACCGTCAAGTATTCATCCGTCATGTTGCCGGTAGGTTTGGTGAACGAGACCAAGATTGCGACGGAGCTTTGGGATTGTGTGATGCTGGGAGCAAAATCCAAGGGCGGGAATCCGGATATCATGCTCCTTCGGTGGGACGTTGATGTCGCGGAGAGGATATGGGTGGGCACACTTTGGTCTCAGAAGAGCCATGAAAAACTGTCGAGGGCTGATTTTCCGCCTTGCTTGAGAAAGAAATTCAAATTGGGTTAGAGTGGGACAGTTTCGGCTCAGAAGGAAGCTGGAAAAAAGAAGTTTATATCTCAAGATGGTCCGATTGCTACTATATAAGCTGGAACGACTTCAGTCCCCTCAGGCAGATACGAAGGCCACAGCTAACCATGCGCAGGAACAAGACGTCCGCCAATTCATTTACTCGTTGATGCGATGCTGCCATACTTCTTGCTCAGCTCTCGCAGAGTAAGTGCTTGCACCCAAGATCGCTTGCATTTGTTCAACGCCAGTGAACATGATCTGCCTAGCAACAAACCACCTGATACCCTCGTGGCAAGGCGGACTGGTCAAGCTACCCTGATAGGTCCAGAATTCGTTAAAGTGTAGCACCGACTCCAGAGCAAGAGAGAGATCCAACTCAAGGGGCTCTTGGGTCTGCATCTCATCGAACCCAATCATAGGAGGGAGCTGGTCGAAGAAGGTGTTGTTGAAGTTACCGGGGTCAAGACGGAAGGCCAAAACAGCGCGCTCGTGGCCCTCGGCATCGACATGGACGAAGTGCATCTCGGCCTTACTGCGATCGCCTCCGACGGAGTGATCAGCTGGGGCATGGATGTGCCAACCCTTAAGATACAGTATCTCATTGTCGTACGTGAAGCTGGGGTGCGAGGCCCAGTCCCCATTGTGAGCTACTGTAAAAGCGGGACCATAGCCCCAATTGGCGAAATTGCCAGCGACTGAGCCGTTGTAGTTAAATTTTGGAACATGGTTCAGTGATAGACCGTTGCCGAGGGAGAGGGCAATAGGCGATTGCTGTGTTCCAGTTTGGCAGAGACGGTAATCAGGGCTCAGCTTGCCCCAGTTGAAGGACGCCTGCAAAACACCATTAGCAACAGATTGTTGGCAATCGGTGGACCGGGTATATCAACCTCGTATGACCAGATGTTTTGTGTGGTGTTGGGATTGGGATTCAGCGCAGGGTCGGTCTGGCGACCTTGTAAATGTGATCGCTTGTTGTTCAAGTGCTGTGGGCATCCAAGAACCGACGGTGCTAACGCAGCGACCAAAGCTAAAGATAGTAAAAGCATGATGATGATGCACGGTCTCGCGACTGGTGAACAAGATGATGGCCCTCAAGTTGTGCGCGCGAGGTTCCCTATAAAGTTCACGAAATGAGCTCCGCCTCAACTCGATTTCCACTGCCGCATCGCAGCGGGAGATTGCCAAGAGGAGTACCACACTTGTAGGGCAACTGGAGTGAACGCCGCTTGTGCCAAGAGCCATTGTCTTTCTACGCACTTGTACAGCCGCCGTGCACACGTCATAAGCCCTGCTTGGGACGCGGGAAGCTGCGCGTGGATTTGAGCAAGTCCAGGCTCCAGCCTTCGGATTGTCAGGAAGTACCTCGTCGGATTGAAGAGGCGAAATGCGGAGTGATCAACTTGTGTCCTATTATGAGATGGTGGTCTTGGCACTCAACATTCGGTGGCTTTGTTCGGGCTCTTGGCAACGAGAAGCAAGCGAGCGCCTTGCACGAAGTCTATGCAGGTCCTCCACGTGCTGACTGCAGATTGATAGGACTTGGTCTCCGTGCAGATGCGTTGACGCTATCTCAGATCTCGTTTTAACGATCTACTAGAAGGGCCCGAACCTTCAACCTGGATCAAGTAACCTCAGCCGCACTTAAAAAGCTGCTACATTGCGACTGCAAGTAGCGCATGCTAGCTACGAATAATGGGGCGGATTTGATGCCAAGGTTGACGATGTCTGCAACTCTTGTCAAAGACTTGGAGGGCGTTGCTCAGCCTGGACGGACTCGCTCCGGCAAAGGACTTGTTTCGAAACGGGCCGCGAAACTGCCTCTCGAGCGCATCGATCGTTCAAGGAGGCGTGATGGGATGATGGGTAGACTGCCAGAGCTGGTGATTGGTCGGACATGATCACAGTACTTATCACGTGATTGTTCGGCAGGGCTCCAGGTGTGCCCGAGCCTACCTAGGTAACATTGGCGACCCTGGCGCTCCGGGTGGTATCGATGGAACCTTTGTGTCGATTGGTATCTGAGCATTTCTACGCCTATCAATTGTTTTCCCTTTAGACTTCTTCGCTTTTGTCGTGAGCAGCAGAGCCTGGCGCCAGTGCAATGTCATTCTTGTTCTTTTTGACGCTCTTCCATTCCACCAGGACTGCACCTACTGAGCTGAAGCACGCTAACCCAAGTGCAACATAAATAGCATTGCAGATTGCAATCCTGTAGCCATCAAGGAAGACACTGACCAACTGTTGCGGTACCATGTTGCGGATACTGGTCGCACCCATCTCAACGACCTGGCTCTTGGAAAGGTGCAGCCCAGGTATTTTTGTCAATTGCCTGCCCAATTCGTCCGTGAATACTGATTGCGCAACGCTCAGGAAGATTGCTCCGCCAAAGTTCTGTGCAAACATCATGAGCGATATACCAGTCGCGTTATCTTCCTTGGACAAGACAATCTGTGCGTTCATAGACGGCTGTTGCATACCAATGCCAACACCAAACCCGATGAGGACTTGGTAGCTGATCCAGACGCTGTGATTGACTCCGACCGGCCATGTCGTGACCAGGCCAACCCCAACGGAAAAGATGACGGCACCTATCATCATGAATGGGGCCGGGTAGCCGATGCGCTGGACCAGACCTCCTGCAAGAATTGTTCCGACCACCAACGAAAGAATGAATGGAATGGTCGCTACACCAGACTTCGTCGGGGAGAATTCCTTGAGGGCTTGGAAGAAGATCGGGATGTAGTAGGTGACAACAATCATCCCGGCTTGACTCGTGAAGGCGAAGAAGGCTGAAGCGGCCACGGTCCTTTGCTTGAGAATGCGCATTGGCAGAGTTGCTGTGTCGGGCTTCCAGATCTGGATAGCGAGAAATGCGATAAACAAAACAACTGCCAGTACCAGCAGAAGGACTGGTCGCCAGCTTGACCATTCGTAAATCGTACCTCCCCATTGGAGCGCCAGAAGAAGGCACACGACCGACGGCAAGAAAAGGACGGTGCCGATAGGGTCCAGTCTTTCGAATTGTTCCCACAACGTCAACTGCCCGCATTTCTTTGACGGTAAGTGGAGCACCAGGATGAGTACACCTACGGCCACAGCGCCACAACATAGGTTTATGTAAAAGCACCAGCGCCAGCTCACGTGCTCCGTGAACGCTCCACCAAGCAATGGTCCCTAAGGCGCGGGTATTAAGTCAGTGTAATGTCCACAAATCGGGGAAGTAGGTAGAAACAGATGTCGTGGCCAGGTGCCAATGTCTGATGATGCCACACATCAGTGTGAAGATCGAATGTCTCAAACAATCGCAAGCACGAACATCCATGTTGTACTCAAGGATTGGCTTACTACTACACCCGCAATTCCGAACACCGCGCCGATCAACCCAGTGAACATGGGCCTCTTTTCTAGTGGTGTGGTCTGTATGACCACCACGATGGCTCCGTTCGATATACCGGCACTGCCAGCTCCAGCGATCGCGCGGCCCACTATCAGAACCGGAGAGGATGGTGCAGCTCCGCAGAGAGCACTGCCGATCTCGAATACAGCAACTGCAGCGATGAAAGTGGCTTTCGCAGGGTAGAAGGTGTAAACCCTGCCCCACAACATCTGGCAAGCACAAAGCGTGAGCATATAAGAGGATCCGTACCAGCCAATGTCGGATAGGGAGTTAAAGTCGTCCGTTATGCGGGGCACAGCTGTTGCGAGAATCGTTTTGTCCTGTAAATTGGGTCAGACTGGGCAATGGGCTCAGTAAATTGAGAGACATACCAGTGCAACAAGAAACATCGTGAGATACAGACAGCTCATGATAAGCCATGTGCGGCCTATTGTAGGGTATTGTTGGTTGCTTTCATGTTGTGACGGCTTCTGGTGGCTCAGTGTGCGCTTTTCCAGGACTTTCCCAACATCATTCGACTCTGGAGTAGATCCCATCGCACATGTATGTATGTTTGATGGTATGTATATGGCTGTTTCCTAATATATGTCGCGAAGACACATGGGACTCGGATATCAGGATATGCGGTGGGAGACCACGCGAACTCGTTTGTAGAGAAAGCATATTATGCAACATGCCTTGCCTATATACATGTTGGCCACTGCATTTGTGTTGCCCGACCTGATGATTTCGGTCCCTGGAGACTGTAGGCCTGATGGTATTCGGGCGCGAGTGGGGCAGCTTCGGTCCCGAAACGCGTGCACGGGCCCCTGTTTCGTGCATTAGAAGACCCCGAGCGTGCCTGGCAACTTTGCACATGAATCATTACATACTTGATAAAGAGTTTGCATAAGCGTTGCCTATGATCCTCGAACCCCTCATTAATCGGACCTCGATTTACAGGTGTGATCGATGCGTGCTGAGAAATTTCTCCAAGAACCTTGGAAGTGAGCAATTCCTGAAGTTTGATTGGCGGTTTCCCGCCCCGAGGGGTCCATGACAGGCGGACACTTGAAGTACCTCACCGTTGCTTCCAGGATTCCCATCTCAACTTCATCCTAAGCGGAACGACCACTACTCTCCTTGTCTGCTTCTTACTTGTTTTGGGCAGATAGTCGCCTTTCCCCTTACGCATGTCCTTCCCTGATGCCAATGAGACCACGCGTCTTTTAGATTCCCAAGACGAAAATGTCGCCAGATGTCAACCATCACAAAACCATAATGGAACAGATGATCCTATTGGAGCAGTGGCGGTGTCAACGAGCCTCAACTTCCGCGTCGCGGCCACGATGTTCTCCTTCATGGTCACTGGCCTCTTCAATGCCTCCATCGGCGTCATGCTCGCGCCAATATCTCGCCATTATAATCTGACTGACCTTCATGTCTCTTTTCTCTTCCTTTGTGGGCCCGTTGGATATGTTCTGGCGTCACCTTCCAATGCTTCGATTCACTCGCTGCTAGGTCAGCGTGGTATCGCGCTTATCGCTCCATTGCTCCACACGCTGGCCGCCGTGGGTATCGCTGCACACCCTCCTTTCCCAATTGCGTTGGTCGCGTTTGTTGTCAATGCGATGGGAATTGGTCTTTTGGACGGGAGTTGGTGCGCATGGGCTGGTGGGCTCGAAAAGGCCAATATAGTGAGCGGACTGCTCCACGGAAGTTATTCGGCAGGGGCCGCCATTGGACCATTTGTTGCGGGTCTGTCGTTGGAAAAGGCGGCGATGCCATGGTGGGCCTGGTATCATGTCCTTGTAAGCCTCCCTACGCAATTACATTACCTCGGTTCGAGGCTGTTACGAAGTCAAGATTTTGAGCATAATCGGCGTTTGTATGGCCTATCCTAGGAGAACACGCTGTACTCAAATTTTCGACATAGCGCTATATTAGACACAACTGATTGTTTCTGTAGGCCGGTGCCTCAGTCTTAGAGTTAGTCATACTCGCGACTGCGTTCAGGTTCGAAAATGCATCCAAATACCACTTATTAAAAAGTCACATCACTACCGAACAAGGCAACGCCTCTTGGAAGGAAATCTTTAAGCACCCAGGGACCTGGTTCTCCGCCACGTACTTCCTCATTTACGTTGGAATTGAAACATCTATCTCAGGTTGGGTCGTCTCCTTTATGGAGCGCGCTCGCTATGCCTCTACGGACCTCGCTTCGCTCTCTTCCTCTGGCTTCTGGGCAGGCATGGGCTGTAGGGCGACTGACTCTTGGCTACGTTACGGACCGGATTGGCGTACGTCGTGCAGCAGCCATATATCTCTTATGCGCTATCGGGCTTTTACTGCTCTTTGCGCTCATCAGCTCACCGATTGTGTCTATCCTTGCGATGGCGTTCGCCGGCTTCGTCATGGGTCCACTATTCCCATCCGGTGTGGTCGTCTTATCTGAATTGTTACCCCGGGAGCTGCATGTCGCAGCTGTTTCTTTTGTAGCATCCGTGGGGCAAATTGGAGGTGCCGCATTGCCGTTTGGTATTGGTGCTGTCGTTCAAGGTTTGGGCATTGGAGTTTTTCGATGGGTTATTGTCGTTTTCCCATGTATCGCGCTCTCTGTGTGGACACTGTTCGCGCAGCTGAAACCGAGAGATGTGTTTAGGCAAAGGCTTGATTGAGAATCTACAGGCAGATGTGCTAAACTGACGTTTCCAACGCTGTCAAACCTTGGTCAAGTTGATCTCTTCCTTTTTCGCTAGAGCAATTCGCTGACGTGGCACTGCATCCGCGACTCTACAGATAAAATGTGGAGCTTCATGTTTCTAACAATATATCGATTCGCGTCAATATATAATACCCAGACTCTTCGTCCTTCTCACGGCAAAAACTACGGCCAAGCCAGTCTTTCCGTCTCAACGCGTAAGTATAGACGTACCTGTTCATCTCGCTTGAGGATTTGGTGTCACGCCCCTCCACCGCTCTTACAACATCTCGCAGCGCCTTCATATTTGCGTGACTTTCGGTCCATGTGACAGGAATATTCTCCTATGGGCGATAATCATACCGCGCAAGAGGCGTTGAGTCGCCGCATTGCTATACACCAAGTTGTGGACGTCTATATGAACGAGGGAGTGCGAGCTCAGCGAGCGGGCAAAGACAGACGCCCATGTACCGTCCATCAATTGCACATCATCAATGTTGAAAGCTACGATATCACAGGAGCCATCGCCCCGTCCCGACGAGAGCAGAGTTAGAAGTCGTTCTGCGGTTACCACCACTTGAGACGTGTATATATTCTCAAGTCCTCCCGAGCTGGCGGGCCGCCAGTTCAAGTTTTCCAAGTCGATACATTGTGTGCCTTCCAGCCCGAGGCTCTCGAGGCTCTCGAGGCTCTGGCACCTGTTCATGAGCCCGCACATGTTGCGCATGTACCTAACGTTCGAATAGTTCTTCTGCAAGTTCGAGATTGCGTAACTTTCATCGCCGTCCCAGGATTTCCGAGGCTTTCATAAAATCGCAGATAGGTCAACCCAGTCCCGGTCCCGTCAACGAACTCAAGACACAAGTGACGCAGACGCACAGCCACTTCATCAGACATACAAGAAGCTACGTGAGCGAAGTCGTAAACGCTGGGCAGCGTGAGCTGGAGGTAGGTCAAGAGATCAAGTTGACTGGTTCTGGGTGCATCCAGCGATGCCATCCCGGGCACTCTGCAGCAAACCCAGCCTCCATTGCAAGCCAGCATTCACATCATCGATCTCCTCTTCCAGGGCTTGCAATAGTAAGTATTACTGACCGTAATATACGGACCGTACGAACATGTAGGCCGTACGTACCGTACTAGGTAGGTAACCGTACTAGTAGCTATACAGTAGCAGACTTATAGCCGTACTACAGCTCTACGGCTAAGGATTTTCATCTACCTAATTAGGCTTAGTTGAAGCTACAGTTTTGTATAAGGACCATAGTGCTAGGATACTCCATTGGATACTTCTACATAACGAGCAGATGGATGTCGACCGTGAGTAAAAAGCAAGTGTAACCAGTGTGTATACAAGATGGCATTGCTTCCGCTTGAAAGTGTTGTGACCAAAGCTGTTCCTGTATTATACACGACTTTCGTCCGACGGCCTAACACATTCCGCCACTCTTCACGCATCTTGCTATGAGTTGAGAACCACGCTAACACGACACCAGTTGGGATGGCTCACTTAGGATCGAATCTACTTAGCATGCAATGAATTAAGACGTGAACACTTATGATGCACTTAGAAGCCAGAACGCAAGTGTGAGATGTATCGCTCTAGAAAGCTAAGGTATAGTGCGACCCACTGACGACTAAAACGATCCCTTGCGTCCGCAACCACCCAATGCATCTTGCTATATACATGAAAAGCGGAACCAAAACGCCCAAATGCTCGCGAGTTCACCTCCTTTGCCATCGCTAACATACACATGCGCACTACTCTTCATCAGCTCCTCAGAGCACGATCAAATTATTGATTCTCACGCCCTGGCTCAAGAAGTAGTACCTCCGCCTGACACCAATTGCAGTAGCCCTCTTAAGCGACGCAATCGTCTCGTCACCACCGCTTACCATAATGAGCGGTATGGGATGCGGACGCGGTATCCCAGAAGATATGTATTGCGTTTCGTCGAGGAGGGGTTGTACGAGGTTGAAAGGTATCGAAACCTCCCGGTCCGATGGAGACTGGGACTTCTTCTTTGTGGTCTTCTTTGGGGACTTCTTCTTTGGAGACATCTTTGAGCGAGCCTCAGAACCATCCGAGGGCGCTGAGTTGCTGTTCTTAGCCACTTTACCGGGTTGAACGGGGTTTGAAGCTTTATTGGAGTTTGTGCGTTTCTTGATGCCCTGGTCTCGAGTGCCTAATTTGGTTTCCTCACGCTCATCTTGCAGATCATCGTCTTCTTGCAGATTGCTCGGAGGCTCAAATCCATACCGAGGTTCCTCGTGCTGTGGGTAGCTCACTATAACTACCATTTGCAAGCTAGAGCTGCTTGGCGGGAAGGCAGGGATGTTCCTTAGCTTAGCAGAGAACGAGCAGTCGCCTCGCGGAACGACGATGATCTGGTGACTTTTGGGTATATCCAGCGGTAGACGTTCCTCGCACAATGTGTTTGGATGAATGTAGATGGTCGACCAGCTGAGGGCATTCGTCTTGCTGTAGGAAAGATCTGGATCTGGCACGTCGGGCAAGGGCACGGCGCCGGGTCCAAGCGGCAAGGTAGCTTGGATGGCTAAGCGCTGGGTTGTCTGAGGCTTTTGGGTACTGGATGCGGAGGACGGTGAAGTTGTGGAAGAGGATGCCGCGAGTAGATTCTGAAGGGAGTGAAGAAGGGATGATAGATACGATTCGCCGTTTTCGAGCTGTTGTTCGTCGACATCCAGTTCGTTAACTTCCACATTGGATATGTTCTCCATGCCAGCGATAGAATCCGAAAGTAAGTCTGAAAGTATACCTGAGGAAGGTGTCATTGTGGGTTCAGGAGGGATGTCGATGACGAGATCTACTGTTACTCCGTCACGTGTGCGCGTGAAGAACGGGTCCGTGGGGTTGAAGCTGTCAATCGTCGAGCGAGACATATATACATTTTCATCACGACCGAGTGCTACATTGGAGATAGCATAGATGCGGAATTGCTCATCCAAGGCAACTTTTTGCTCAAGCGGAAGTGGCTCCGGTTCCCTCACCATACCGAGTCGTACTCCGCTCATAGAATTGACGAGGATGCCTTCGTGTACACGCTGCAATGTCCCAGTCTGCAAATTGTTTGGTAGATTCGGAAATGACAGGTCGAAGGTGGCACGCACAGTCATTTTTGAGCTTGTAGCGTTATGGGGAATGAGCTCAGGTGGAAGAGTCCATGGGTAGTACGTGTAGTTCGACGGTGATTGGATGTCAGATACTGAGATACTTGGATGGTCTGCGCTGAACTCTATCAGAGGCGTTTCGAGCGTATCTCTCGTGGGCATGAGATGGAGCCGAGCCAAGCTCGCGGCATGGAAAACATCGGGTCGGGCGGCGGTTGCAGAAACGCTGAACGGAAGATGTTTTGGTGGGAGCGGGCACACACCAAGTGTAGGCTGCGGTCCTGGGCCTGATTTAGTGTGTCTAGCAGAGCTCTTGGGTCGCAAACGCTTGGGAATGATCAACGGATGTCCCTCAGTTGTGAAGACATAAGGCGCATCCCATGTGTTGAGCGGATGCGAAGGATCAAAGGTAAGGAAGAGATACTTGGCGGTCTCGCCTAAGAAGAAACTCTCCATGCGATCACTCAATTCTCCACTGCGAACGTCGTGCAAGCCAGCCCAGCCACATTTTGTCCAGCATCGTCTTTTGATGTCGCGTTGAATCATTTCAGCGACGTACAGATACCAAGGATCTTTAGTGGCACGATACAGGTACCAGTTGGACTCGATGAACTCAGGGCGTCCAGGCCACCACCGCAGTCCACTCTCGATATTCCCAGTTGCTGTCGACCACCTTTCAGGCATTGCAGAATAGCGGGTCCAGAGGGCGGTGTGAAGTAAATGAGTCTCAATTGCTTCATCTAGCTCTCCGGCCATTGTCAAGAGACCCTGATAAAACATGCTTAGACTGTCAATCCAGAATGCACGCATAGCTCCAGTGTAGAGGTCCACTTGAAAATAATGCGGATGCTGATGCTGTGGTCCCCGATAAATTTGTCTCTTGATCGCACTGTGCGCATCCTGCCATGTCCGGAGGAAAGCGTCCGGCGAATCGAGATGGGCGTGTTCCTCATCGTAGGGCAATCCAGAAAGTAAGATGTGTGATTTCAGAGCGTATTCAAAGAAACTGTCGATGCCTGCGCCGACCCCAGTGTATGGTGAGATCCATTGGCCTGTCTCGGCATCTATTCCAGCTCCTATCAGCCCAATGGTACTGCGGCGCGACCAAACGGCCCAGAAGGCGTCCTTCGCTGCGATTTCAAAGCGAGAATCACCAGTCAGTCGGCTAAGAGTAGTGAACTCCAGAACAAGACTGCCAGCACCAGCACTGCATGTTTCCGTAATCTCGATCCCTTGCTCTTTTGGGTCCTTGCTGCATTGGCCGTGTTCTGCATCGTTATTGTAGGGCGAATTGGCGTAGAATGGCACTCCGTACCGAAGGTTCACGCGCGGATACGGAAGACCGGTCGGTGTATGGAAAGCGGGCATCAGTCGCTCAGCAAGGTCCGCAGCCAGACGTAGCAGCTGTCCATCGTACACAAATCCATTCTGCCAAAAGATGCCTTCTCTTCCCCTGTTCTTCTGCACTTTTGCGTCATATCCGCGAATGGGCAGGTCGCCGACCGCAAACTGGTGCGCACTCAATAGCCCTCCAACGCCCCGTATGACCGTCTCAAAGACCTGCACCTTGCTGTCTAGGTCGAAGCCTCGCGCTCGTTCCCCTTGACCAGCCGGGCCTTTCGATCCGTCTCCGTAATTATCTACCAACGCCTTGATGCCATCCTGAAAATCGTCCAGGGGTCGGTTCCGGCCCCGCTTCGCTGGTGGGGGTGAAGAAGCGAGTATCGCAAGTGTCGACAAGCTGTCGATCAGTGTCAGTGAGTAGTTTCCCAAGACATCATTGACCTCGATATGCGAAGGATTGTGGCGGTCGCGAGTAAGAGGCGTGCAACTGAGTGGGCGCAATTCGTCTTCGGGGAATCCGTATTTCATGTACCCATCGAAACCGTGGTAGAAGATGTCTATCGTCTCTTGTCTGAGTATATCAGCACATGTCTAATATATAGCTTCTACAGCATATACCTCAGGCTTGCAACAGTGTCATCTACCATGCCATGTGCGAGGTTCACCCAAGCACACAGACATAGTAGCAGCATCCATATCAGATTCCAGGAAACTCCCCCGGGCTCTGGGGCGCATCGCCGTGCAGGCCGTCCGGAGGAGTGCATGCCCAAGAGAGCCCCGGTTTGGCGACATGTGAACCGAAAGAAGAAGACAGCGGGGCCGCGAAGCTTCGAGTCTCATGTCATGGTGGGCTATACCAGGATGTCCAGTCGGACACCTGTTGCTTTCTCTCGCCCGTGCGCCGCTTGGCGCTGTCGTCAGAAAAATAGTTCGGGAGACCGCATCTGGCGTCACCACCTGCGCGCCACGACAGTCGCCAGCTCCAATTCTTTCATTCCATGTATTCTATCTCTTCAGCCCCCTTGTAATTTGTAGCGTCCATCTTCCTCCGTCACAATGTTGTCGCGCGCAGCAAATCGCGCCTTCCGAGGGTTGCGCACCGCACCTGCCCTACCTGTTCGACGCATAGCTCCCATAGCTTCCACACCACAGCGCATACGCTTCTATGCGACCAAGCCCCCTCAGAATGACACATTCAAATCAAAAAAGGCAACGAACGACCCCATGCATCCCAACGAGCAGCCCGAATTTGATACCGCCGCATCACCAGAGCAGAATACAACCCCATCAGGGCAGCCTGGAGAGCCTGCAGAAGAAACCCCACAACAACCGCAGAAGCCTCTGCCTGACCTGCGGCATGGTATCCCTTCTACATTCGGCGCAGAGTTCGGAGGCGCCGAGGCAAAGTCGCAGAAGGGTGAACATGACCCCAACAATATCACCGAGGACCCTGAAAAGGAACCCGGTCCTGGTCGCGAGGGTGGAGAGCTGCCCAAATCTGCATACGAGACGAGTACCGATAGGAGGCGCAACAAGGTCGCCAACTGGTCATACATTGCCTTTGCACTAGCCGCAACTACGGGAGGAGCGTACCTTTGCAGGAATTGGGAAAGTGAAGAGGAGGAGAAGAAACATGCAGATGCGCCTTCGGGGTGGTCCCCCACCCTCATGTATCAGCGTGCGAAGGCTCGGCTTAATGGCGAGATGAGCTACTATACCGAGCCAACTTTCAACAAGCTCCTGCCAGAAGTGGAGATGATGCCTCCTCTGACCTTGGTATTGAGTTTGGAGGATCTGCTGGTGCACTCCGAATGGTCGACCAAGCACGGTTGGCGGACAGCGAAGCGCCCTGGTGTAGACTACTTCCTCCGGTACTTGAGCCAGTACTACGAGCTTGTCATCTTCACGTCTGCAAAATCCATGGACGCCGATCCTATCATCCGCAAACTCGACCCTTACCGCATCGTCATGTGGCCGCTTTTCCGTGAGGCAACACGCTATGAGAAGGGTGAATATGTCAAGGTATTTCCTACAAACTGACAGAAAATAGGAGGTTGCTAACATGTTCAGGACCTTTCGCATTTGAACCGTGACCTATCGAGAACTATCATCATCGATACCGACCCTTCACACGTGAAGGCCCAGCCTGAGAACGCTATTATACTGCCGAAATGGAAAGGGCAACCTGGCGACAAGGGCCTCGTATCTTTGATTCCGTTCCTGGAGTACCTCGCTATGCTTCAGCAAGGTGGCGGTAATTTCGACGTGCGACAAGCCCTCAAGTCAATGGAGGGCAAGGAGATACCCGAAGAGTTCGCTCGGCGAGAAGCAAAATTGCGTGCCGAGCACCTGAAGAGTTTGGAGGCTGAAAAAACAAAGAAGGGCAAGAATCTGGGATCGTTCGTGGGTGCTCTCGGCCTAGGAAACAAGCAGGGTCAGATGGTCCTTGCAGATGGCACCAATATGTCTGAGGGTCTGGCTCAAGGCAAAATGATGATTGACATGTTCCGCGAGATCGGCCGGAAGCAGTACGAAACCATGGATAAGGAGATTCGCGAGAACGGCGAGAAGTGGCTCAAGGAGATGGCCGAGGAAGAAAAGAAATTTCAGGAGGAGCAGATGAAGAACATGAAGAGTGGTGCAATGAGCTGGTTTGGAGGTAGCGCCGCTGCCCCTGCACCACAACCCCCACCATCTTCTGCGCCAACACCTGAGGCTGGCAAGACATCTTGAAAATCTCCACGAATGGCGTTTGGGATGTAACAATATACTTCGCTTCCATTGTTGTAGAAGGAACGGTGTTGCATTGGGAGGTTGTGGGAACTGTACTGTATATTGCACATGTATCAATACGACTTTGGACATACAACATCACGCAGACCTTCTCTCTGCCCACTCTACTGGGGTTTTCGAAGGCGTGTTAAATCAGTTATCATTGACATGCAGAGACTTTCCAATATGCAAAAAAATTGCGGAAGCGATCGTTGCCTCCGCAAACTGGCGCCGGTTCACGGAAGGTTTTGAGCTAGCCTCCACAGAGACTCCGTCAATCGAAGAGTTGCATACGAAGCGGATAGCAACGGCCAAGCAAACGAAAGGCTTCGACGGACATAAGCCGCTGTCGGAGATAAAGCAACCTCGAATGATGCGGGGAAGCCCACAGCACACCAATCGCATAACGTCTCATACTCACCCCCGACATATTCCCTAGCAACATGCTGAAGTACACTTGCTGAAGTACATAGTACATGGAAACCACCCTTCCTTCACCTGTAACACCATGGCGAGCTCTCGCCCACGGCCTCAGGATCCCATCAACGGTGGTTGGGCCGATGCGTCTGTGTCTCGACCGCATTCTCCTCCGCCCTACAGCAGTCCGCCCCCGGAACGCGTCGATGTCGACTTTGCCTTCGGAACGATGGACCAGGTGTCTATCGACGCTTTTTACTTCGACAATGTCACCGAAGAAGACTCCGAAGAAGAGTCTGTCACCTCCGATGTCCTAGCCGAGCTCGATAAGCTCGACGAGCAGCTGCGTATACATCGTGCGCCGGTTGTGCAGCCTATTGCCCAGCAGCAGCCGTTTCCACTTATGCGGTTGCCTCTTGAGTTACGCGAACAAGTGTATGACGAATACTTTAGGGCCGAAGTATGAAGTGTTGTAATAGAGACGGGAGGAGAGGCTAATGTTTGACAGAGCAGATTGGAGGTGTTCGAGGTTGCCGAAGGGCTGAACGGCATGTATAACTTCGAATTTGCGCTGCTGAGGACAAATAAACAGATTTGGCTAGAAGCACTAAGGAGCTGGAGGAAGAACATGTTTGTACGAATTGAGACGCCGTGGCCGCATGCTGGTATGAACCAAGCCTTCGGTCCCGAATGTGCCCTAGTACAACTAATTAGAACTAGTCCATCATATCAGATTTGAAGGACACGTTCCCATTGTCGCAGCTGGGCCTCGTGCGGACTCATTCACCCAGCATAGGGGCCTTGTCCAGATCACCGCACCCTTACACGGCATCACCGTACCGGACCATGCCATTATCCTTCTTTTAGAGGATGTGCCCAAGTTCACAAGAGTGTGGTTTTACTCGGCCCTCAATTATACCAACCTCAACCCACAAATATGCCTCAAGTTCATACTTCGCGACCCGTACTACCCAGCCGATCCCAAACCCGTCCCCCTTGAGCTACAAAGACGGTTTCTCCACCCTTTCGGCGATGTAAAAGGCCTTTACGACACCGACTTCGAAGGTTGTCACGAAATCGCCGTCTCCGAACTCCGCAAAGCAATGGCAATCCCATACCCCACCGTCCGCGAGTCCTGCGAACTAGCCACCACCCTCATGGAAGAAGGCGACCTCCTCCTCGCGACCAACAATCCCCAGAACGCGCTAAACGCCTACATCAAGTCCTTCGACGCAATTCACATCAAGATCTCCGGACGTGACCGTCGCATCCTAGCAGACGGTCACTTTGCAGATGACATTCACGAGGGCCGTTACGCAGGTCAGGCCGCGATGACCGTCCGCGTTGTCCTCCGTATTAGGCTTGTGGCCCGCGTAATCCACGCCTACATTCAGCTCGGTCTCCCCAACGAAGCAGCCTTCTGGGGCATCCGCAGCATCAAACTCGTCCGCCAAGGCACTCCCCCCTCCGCCGACATGGACGATTTCTTCGCCGACTTCATTGGCTCCTCGGACATCGCACTCATGTATGCGTGGACTGCCGCTGCCTTAACTCTCATGGAAGAAGACGAGAAGTGGAGGGAGGAGAGAGAGGGATATAAGTGGGAGGATGGGGCTTGGCGGACAAGGGGCTATGTGGAGGAGGGCGGGGTTGTACCTTGCAAGCGAGAGGCATGCGTCGGATAGGAAGACCCTGGTCGAAGAGATGAAGAAGTTCAAGGTCAGGCCGCCGGCAGGCTTGTTTGGGAATGACGCGGATGAGGTGAGTAGTTTGGGGCATCTGGATTTGGGGGCTGCGGAGAGTTGATACATTGATTTACGTGTTGGTCGGAAGTTATGGCCATGCGTACACGTACGTAAACCAGGTCTGTAAAGGATACCATTCGGCTCTTGCTTTTCCAATTCTGAACCTCGTCGGAAATGTCGGTCGTCTCACTTGCCTTCCCCGCTATAGCGGTGAAGGATGGGGAAGTATGGCGAAGAATCATGTCTTATTGAACAATGGCATCTGAGGGGGAGACGAAAGCAGTATCATAGAGGCGAACAGAGAGGCTGGCTTGGAAGGGCTCGGAAGCACTGGCACATTTTATTTTACCAATTACTCGCACGACGTGCAAAGACATGGAAATAAGGCTGCGTATTGTCGGAAGTGAAGCCTCCGACAGTGTGCCCTATTGCGAACTTCATTCGAGTGGTAGGTATACAGGTAGGGGATGCGCTTTCTGTTACGAGAATCGACGGTATTGTCCAAGAACAATGTTACAAGCGGATCTTAATGTCAGGTAAGTTAATTGGGGTTGGCGGTCAGGCTTGGTATGACTCGAACAAACGCAGGCTTTCAGTAGTCTGCAGCATTAGTGAACGCAAGACGCAGGTCGATGCTGTGTAACAACGGAGGTGGCCGACCCCGAATTCTCTCTTGGGGAGCTCTCTCACAGTGTTCCAACTTGCATCGAGATCGGTCTAGACCGAATGCGGTACATGGATCACGTGACATACAATGCCAAATTCCAGTATGCAGGTAGCTTTCGCTTCCCCGCGGGTCTCACGGCCATGTCGTATTCTCAGCTTCACTTTACAACTTTGCACATTCACGCATGTGCCTGTCTGTCTTTCAAGAGTCTTATTTCCAGATACCTTTAGTACTCTACTGCGCCAGTTCTAGGCTCCGCAACACCACTTGAGCGAAACATTGACTTGTGGATGTAGCCGTCTCTTGCTCCAAGACCGCTACTTTCAACGTTGAAGTTTTGCCTTGGGCAGTCTCGGAACAAGCGGTTGGGCGCATGCAGCGATCGCTGACCGCTATTGCAGGCATTGCAGCCACGCTTTTGTCTCCAATCAAACCCCGCGGAGGACGGCCGACAAGTCGATGCGCATCTCGTACCGGGACCTTTACGCACCATGATGCGTTCGCTACAGCTGCTCCATCGGGTTCTCTAATGGGAATGCTTCCGGACACGGTAAGACGTCATCACCAGACGCGCGATTCGCAGTAGTCCAGTCGAATGTTCCACACGCTTGCAACGAGATGCGCCTTCAACACATCGGTGCTCCTGCAGGGCAGTCTTGATTTGCCGCTGGTGCGAAGAGGTCATAACATGCCATTCTCGCTCTCAGCGCATTGTCGCATTACCTACTATGCTACTCCACTTTGTTAACTCTACCATACTAAGCTACCATACTAAGCTTTGGGCATGTACGGAGGGGAACTCTTCGACCCAGATGGATATCATTACTCCCGGGCGTTCGGCCCGTTCATCGATCCGGATACCTACGAGATAATGCCCACGACGTACGTGAGCCGAGGAATAGTTTGGGCTTCAACATCGCTGTAATAGAAGACCATGCCGAGCATTCAGGCTTCTGAACGTTGCAGATGCTGAGATTCATGATACTTTACAGCAGCCCGCTATGGCGCCTACCTCTCACCTAGTACCTGCCCCGTAAACTACGTGAATTGTACTGATTGTGCTGTCAATCTTGCAGATACCTCGCTATTACAGTCGCCGGCGTTATATTCGGACTTTCTATGGGATTTGCCATCTTGGCAACATACGTTGCTATACAACAGACGAAGAAATCACGGAGACCTTTGAAGAGTGTATACGTTTGGATGATATGGGTTGAGCTGGTGGCCTGTGTCATCATTGCTCTCGAGTGCCTGCTCTACCTGCTGTATATCATCCAACCCAGTTTCTACTTCTTCATGTCCATATGTATGTACTGCTATGATGACTGTCACTGACGGCTTTTCTGACTCTATAGTGTTCCTCTGGGCTACCCAGATCCATCTCCTTCTACAAATTATCATCAATCGCATACGTGTTATTCTACATGACCAGAGAAAGGGTAGGGCCATGGTCATTGGCGTTGCCCTATTCATCGTCTGTATCAACATCAGTGTATTCTGCATCTGGATACCGGCGAGGCTGGAGATAAGTCAACGGTATGTTGCTCACTTTTGTCCGCATGGCAAGTGAAACTGTTATATAAGTAACGCTGACTGTTCTCGTTCAAGGTATTTCCACATCAACAATGTATGGGATCGCGTCGAGAAGGTTCTCTACCTGTTCGTCGATGGCTGCCTGAATTGGTATTTCATCCGTACTGTCAAGCAAAACCTTGTTGCCAATGGCTTGCAAAAGTACAACCGTCTTGTGCGGTTCAACCAGCGCATCATAGTTGTATCGCTTTCCATGGACGTGATGATCATCGGCGCGATGAGTACGCAATGCCGGGGTACAGAGTAGGTGTTCAGGCTGGGTGATTGTCTAAGACTCCAGGCCTCACAGCTCTAGGTCTGAAATTTTCAGGCATTCGTAGCAGGCTAGAACACCTACTTCACCCACTTCCCTAATTTGTGGACATTACACTGACTTTGTACCCCCACCTCTAGGCATCCCGAATGGTTTCCTGTACGCCCAACCCTTTCCCTCATCCTTCTCCACCCCCGAGCGTAGTAGAAATCAATCATGTTAACACCACACAGCTACGCAATGTTCCACCCCCTCGCCTTCCTCGTAAAGCTCAACATCGAAATGACGATGGCCAACCTCATCCGCAAGATCGCGCTCGAGAACCAAAACCAGAATTCTTTCCTGGTCACCTTCGTCTCTCACTCCACCGACTCCGCACGACCCGAAATATGTCCGACCTCCAAACGTCATCGTTGGTCGATAAGCTCACTAGTGGACCCGAAACGATGGTCTAGACAGCCTCTACATGAGCCAGAAGACGGCATCATCAAAACAGAAGAGTTCTCGGTGATTAGTAGAAGGAGAAGCCAGCTGAGTTCGAACCTGTGTAGGGGATCGAGCCAGAAGACGTGGAAAAGAGAGGACAGTCTGGCACTTGAAGAGACGAGTGTGAGAAGTGATGTAGTCCCCCAAACTAGTAGGGATTCCACGGAACATGCTACAAGTCGAGATAGTGCGGTCGCGGGTGACGATGTGGTATTGGTACCGCCCCCAGCTGTCACACGGCATCTCGAGAATGAGTGAATAAGAGTCTCATTCTTACGTCATATAAGACGACGTGCTCGATGTGAGGAAGCTTGCTGTGGTCCGCAAGGTGGCTTTGCCTTCTCAATAGCATGATGCAGTGTTTCATGCATCCTTGATATCCACAATAGTAGCATTGCTCTCCCTCTTCCCCTCCGTACCCTTGGCTTCACTCCCCGTCACCGTCCCCATCCTCACCAACCCACTCTGCCTCCCCTCCCCCATGGCCTCCACCATCTTCCTAATATGCGGATGACTCGAACTCTCCCTCTCACTCCCAGACGTTCCCCTCCTCTCCCTCTTCGCATGCGCCGCACCCTTCTCCAAGCCCATGCGCAACCTCATCCCCTCTTCCGTCGACACCGTCCTGTTCACAGGGTTTGGCACGAAGTCGTCCTCATCTGCGGATTCCGTGCGCTTCTTTTTGGGCTTGAGCCAGCGATACAGTTGCTTTGTTTTCTCGGCCCAGATGCGGTAGCCGAAGTCGGTGGAAAGGAAGCCGATGAGGCTGAAAAAAGGAATGCAGACTGCGACGAGGGTGATGGCGAAGTGCCAGTATGGGGCTGGGTCGGCGGGCATGTTGGTCATGCCGAAGACAGACGTCACAAATGTAAGGGGCCTAAGAATCCGTCAGCGCGCTTGTATAAGTTTACATAATTAGAGGTTGCATATAGTAGGCTTACATGAAAAACAAGTTCACGATCGTTAACAGCTTGATGTTGCGACCTTGCTGCACCGTGATGTCCGAAAGCTCAACGGATTTCCTGGATTCTTGTATACTGGTGCCGGAGAAGAGATGGTCTTGGAGGGACTTGACTTCCTGCCGTCTTTCGTTGTTCTCGCGTTGTAGGGTCCGAAGTTCCTTCATCTCGCGTTCAAAGGAAAGCCGCAGGGTGCGTAATCTTCGCTTCCAGTGATCGTTCCGCGGTGATTCTTCCCGGAGAGGCCACAAAGTTTTACTCTTTCCTTCCCATACCTCATCGGTGAATGTATCCTCGAAAGCATCAATCATTGACTTGATGCTGTCATTGACGTTCCCCAGTGTTTGGTGAGCGTAAAAGTATCTGCGCGTCCATGTGAACTTCCTATCCTCGAACAGACGCTGATCACGCAGCTCGGCATCGAAGAGAAAGCCCAACGCAGGTGTGATCAGATCTGTGATCCTCTTGTAGATTTCCTCGTATCGCTTCCTTGCATCGCGATATTCTGCTAGCAGCGCATGTAGAAAAGCTTCTGGACCGTTCAAAAAGCGATTCCCTGATTCAAATGTATCCGGTGTAGCTTTCCAGTCAGGGAAGCATTCCAGCAAAATTACCTGCCATGGTGACCAAATGTCTTGTACCCAACCATACTGCGTTTTCGCACGTCGACTTCTGTTTCCGATCCTTCGTGGCTTGTCGTCATATAGCGCTAGGGCTACGACTGCACCGCACCGCGATAGCGGTAAATGCGAGCCCTTGGGATCGTCGGTTTTGTCGGCACGTTGCCAATCCATCGGTTTGCAGTCTTCACCAAGAATGGTGTAATACTCAAAGGTGAAAAAGAACGTCTTTTGGTGTTTTCGATCCTCGCTAAATGCGCGATGCATGTGGGCTGAGGAGGCTTCGGTCTGTACTAGGTGCCGGAACAGCTCATCCATATCGAAAGTGTCATTCAATGTCAGATGCAGCGCTCCGAACAAGATTGGCGCTGGTTCGCGTGCGATTGTTATGCGACCCACAGTGGACTTGTCGGTGCTGTTGCCGATATTCCTGATGCAGTGCCATATTTCGGAAGCTCTGGACATAGTGTTTGTACTATGACTACCACTCGTCTCGATGAGCTCGGCGACGCCATCCGGACCAACATCATAGACCTGGAAATGTGAGTACTGGGAGCGGTCGTCCGGGGTTCCAGGACCAAGGTGGAATAGATGAGGTTGCTTTGAGAGCTTGCCAGGATCCGTGATGATTGGCGCCAAGATTTCCCTCCCATGTTCTTTCCAGTCGTGGTTCTTCAGGTGTTCCCTCAGATGTTCGTGGTCGAAGGATTTTGACGGTAATTCCTCCCGAACGAAATACGATTCATCCTCCTCATCGGAATCATCGGATAGTGTTGAAGCATCTGCAAACGCAAGGCTGGGCCGGTCTCGGGTCGCCTGTCGCTGGAAGGTTGGTGTTTCTGGCGGCGCAAACGGGCCTCCCGGAACAACGGACAAGCTCTTTAGCAAGGTATCATGAGATCGTTGAAGGGACTCGAGCTGTTCCCGGAGTCGCTCCACCTCATGTGTGGCCATACAGCCTAGAGCTACGCCCAGAAGCGAGAGCTAGGTGGGGGAGCAGAGGTCGCAAGCAACATGTGCGGCATCGCATCTTAAAAACATGGCCCCCACAACCCATGCGTTCCGCCGAGCCTCCCGCTGACAGAGGAACGTAACGCGGAGCCAGTCCCGCTCCAAGCCAAGGCGCGTCGATTGCAGGTTTGCGCAGGGCTATGAGAATGCGTGAGAGACCGACACTGACAGACTGAGTTCTCGCTGGCTCAATGAAGACGCAGGGTGGTGGGTCCAGCACTAGTAGTCAACACACCGCCTTTTGGTGAAAAGCGCCAGCACGTTCGTCTTTGAAGAAAATGAAGACCACGAGAGATTGCGAGCGCACGAGTAATCGGGGGAGCGAACGGATAGGTTGTATGAGCGGCCTTTTTTTGTGAGGGTGGCCTAGCGCTGGTACGCACTTAGGTTCACCGGTGTGCACATCGATCTGTAAGGTTTCCCAATGGCGATATTAGCACGGTTGAAAGCAGCGTTTCCTTCCAAGTTGCGGTCCAAACGAACGGCCAACACGATGAGAGTCGATCGAGGTGCAATGGAGTCTCGACCGCTATGCACCTTCCTTTCTAGGCCGCATACCTCAGTTACGAGATCGTATCGATAAGCTTTCCACCACCATCGAACAAAATCCCTTCCACCTCCCCAGTCACATCTACCGGCAACCAGGTATAGGAGGCGCCATGCCTTCCTTTGGGTGGCTGATTACATTGTCTGTCGTTGTACTCCTTGGCTCCGTCATCTATCAGAACCCACAGCCGCTTATTGCACCGATAACGAATTCGCTAGCGTATAAGGTCTTCCAGCAACTCTTCGAAAGCACCCACTGCTACGTTACCGTCAAGACCAATTCAGCAGGACTGCCTCAGGCTGAATGCTTCAGTGTCGTGGATGGTAAATTCAAGAGAGTGTTCATCGATGAGACATCGTACGACATCGTGAAGGAGCGGCGAAAGGGGCACGTGATTCCAGGTTTATGGGATGGCCATGGTCATTTGTCGCAATTTGGAGAGTCTTTGGACTCTGTCGACTTGTTCGGCACGAAGTCAATGGCTGATGTACAGAAGAGGCTTATCAAATACAAGGCTGGGCATGAAGAGGTGGGGACGAGCGAGCAATGGCTGACGGGTGTTGGCTGGGACCAAGCCAACTTTGAGGGAAGGTGGCCGGTAGCAGTATGTTAGTTTTTCTTTCGAATCATCTGGAACCCTCGGAGACTACTATCATGACGAGGATTTGCTGATGCTCTAGTAGAAAGACCTCGAAATTGATCAACAGTTCAAGGACCTTTACGTTCTGCTTTGGAGGGTCGACATGCATTGTTTCTGGGTGTCCGAGAAAGTTCTGTCGCTCCTACCGGATCCCTTGCCACAGGTTCCTGGTGGAGAGATCCCTGCCCAAGGAATCCTTTGTGACCTCGCCATGGACCATGCAATGAAGTACTATCCGAAGCCTAGCAAGGAGCGCAGGACTAAGTGGATTCAAAATGCTATGTTTGAGCTGAATAAGCACGGCATTGTTGGGATGCATGACGCGGGCGTTCTCCCTTCCGAGCTGAAGCTCTTCGAGGAACTTTCGACAAGCGATGCATGGACCGTTCGAGTCTATGCAATGGCTGAGTGCGAAACGAGGAACACTTTCTGTGAGAAAGACGTCACAAAGATCAGCACACCTAATGGCAACCTCCACATGCAAAGCGTAAAGCTGTTCGCTGGTGAGTGGTCCACGTATCATCGCTACTCGAAGCTCACACATTACAGATGGCGCCCTTGGAAGCTGGGGGAGTGCTATGATCGAGCCCTACAGCGACAAGAAGAGTTCTTCAGGAACCCTCCTTGTCAACGCCACCACGCTTTCTAAAATCACACACGATTGGGCTCATGCAGGATACCAAGTCAACATTCACGCCATTGGTGATCTAGCCGCTCGACTCGCCATCGACGCTTTCGAGGAAACTCTCAAGAGTCTCTGCCCAGGTTCTACCCTTCGCGAATGCCAGGCAAAACATCGCTTCCGCATCGAGCACGCACAAATCATCCACCCTGACGACCAGCAGAGAATGAACGAGATCGGCATTATCCCGTCCATACAGCCGACACATGCGACCTCGGACATGGCGTATGCCGAGACGAGGCTTGGGAAACGTCGCACAGCGGAGGAAGCCTATCGTATGCGCTCCATTCTTTCGCTTAATCCGGTGTTCGGCAGCGATTTCCCCGTGGAGCCGGCGGACGTGTTCGAGGGTATCTACGCCGCTGTCACGCGACGCAGTCCTCGTACAGGTCTCGATGCCGATGGAGGAAAGAAAGGATGGTATGACGAGGAGACTGTGACGCTCGAAGATGCCTTGAACGGCTTCACTGTCAACCCCGCTTACGCAGCGTTTCTGGAGGGCATGGCCGGTTCGATTGAGGAAGGTGCCTACGCGGATTGGATTGTTCTGGACGAACCATTGGAGACTCTGGACACGGAGTCTCTTCGGAGTATAAAGGTCAAGGAGACGTGGGTAGGTGGCAGGCTCGTGTATAGACGAGCAGGACCAATGGAGGCTCCTTGGTAGATGCCCTCTTCACGGACCCTCCACGTTCTTCTCTGGTACCGCGCGGGCACCATCAGGTAGGCGCGGCAACCAAATCATATACTCCCCACCATGCCTCCCACCTGCTACGGCCCAACACAGTTAGTTATGCCCAACTGAGCGTAGTTGCCGCCCGTCATCGAAGCTTGACATGCGTCCATAGCCCATCACGGTGCTCCTTGATCCGAGCGTCAACAAGGCAACCAACCATGAGCAATTCATTATCCAAGTTGGGTTTCGTTCGTCTCGTGCATGCCACATGCACAACATCAAGTGATGTTAGTGTACGTGGGGAAAAGAAAAGATTTCACCTGCCCCGCCCTGCAGCCTCGACTTGCCATGTATTTAGGAAAGAGCATTGCGGAAGGATTCACTGCACACTGTCTCGCAGTTTCCCTTTCAACATCCTAACTCTCATCGCAAATATGACTTCTACTTGTATCTCCGCGAAGAACATGGACAGCCAGCTTGCAAAAAGCGGGAAACACAATCTTGCCCGCGTCGATACACCCATTTCGACACCACCCACGACGCCTACACCAGCAGCGACAACCGCACACGATCTTCACCGGGAGATACGCAATATCTACCAACGACTCGCACCACTCACCAGCTTAGCGCCATCCGATCTTGTGAATACGCTGCTCTCCAGGCTCGTGAATCTCTGCATCCGACCCTACAGCGCAGAAATTGTGGACCACTTCAGCCGCATCGACGGCGTCGATATGCTCTGCCACGACCTCCAAAGACTATGCGCGATTGCAGAAGGCGAGCTTGAGCGCTATTGGGCACAAAGTATACTCAAGGATGCTGCCTCCCATACAGGTGCGTCGTCCGAATATCATCATTCTTCTTCGCCTACCGTAACTCACCATCTTTTCTACAACCCAAGTCTAATATCCCTCTAGACCCGGCCCAAACCCGCACACTCCTCACCTCCTTCCCTTACCACTCAAACTATCTCTCACTCTCCGCCATCGAAGCCTCCCTTCTAACGCCCTTCCTCCCCATCTCACCTTCCAACATCGCCTTTATAGGCTCCGGTCCTCTACCCTTGACCTCCCTCTGTCTCCTCACGCACTTCCCTTCTGCTACAATTCACAACATCGACCGTGATGCCGACGCGCTCACCGTATCTTCTTTACTCACGGAAAAGCTGGGACTATCCGATAGAATGACATTCAGTTGCGAAGACGCTACGGATGCTAGTTGTGGGCGGACGATTTCGGAGAGCTTCGATGTGGTGTTCCTTGCTGCGCTGGTAGGTATGCAGAGCAGTGAGAAAGTTGGAGTGTTGCGGGGTTTGAGAGAGAGGCTGAGGGCGGGGACCGTGGTGGTGTGCAGAAGTGCGAGAAGCATAAGAAAAGTATTATATCCAGTCAGTAGGATACGTCTGGGTGTGAGGAAAGTGGCTGACCGGTGACAGGTGCTGGAACTTTCGGAAGAACTGCAAAGGGTCGGGTTTGAAATCTTGGCTGAGATGCATCCTTGGAGTGATGTTGTGAATTCGGTGATCATACTGAGAGTTACGGAGTGAGCCGCGCGGGAGTTACGATCCAAAGAGGGTCAACATGACGAAGATACTTAAGCTTACGAGGCGTACGGTTCATGATTCTGAAGCGATGATACCGCAACAGTGTTTTGAGCCTGTTCTGATGAGACGAAACAGTACAACACGGTGTCAGAAGTTTCAGTACGTTGTGTTATCTCAGGCTAGGTATCACGACAGCATATTGCACTCAGACTTTGGGTTTCGTACTGTATAGGAGAGAAAACTGGGTATCTTGGAAAAATCAAAAACCTCGCACCTGTAACGCCGTGACATTCAAGCCATATCGCAGTCGCTGGGTACTCAGGACCCGCAATGCCCTATACTCACTTCGTCTCAGCAAGCTGTCGTCTGCGCACCCGATAGAATCGCTCGAGCGTCTTCCTCCGCTCATCTTGCGTCATACTCTCGATCAGCAATGCAAACTCTACCGGATCATCATACCCCCACATCCGTGCCATCTCGCAGAATTGGCGCCTCCTCACCTTCTCATTAGGCCGGTATCTATAATTGATCTTGAATTCTTTCCCGCCGGGTGTACTTTCTCCAACGATCTTCACATCATCCGAATCATCGCCGCTATAACGTATATCGCCATCTAGAGCATGCGAATGATGCTGTGACTGTGACTGTGAACCACCGAACACGCGCTTCCGTCCAAGCTCGACGTCATTGCGGAGTTCCATTGCCTGCTTTCCAAGACGGGCTTCAATTTCGCTGCGGCCGATGACTTCGCTGTTCTCATGTGTGTACTGGACGCCGGCCTTGGCTAGGATTGCGTTGATGGGGTCGGGACCTTTGCGTTTGTTCCCGAATTTCTGGTTGCCGCTGCTAGATGATTTCGTGGATGTGAAGGAGTCTACGATCTTCTTCATCTGCGTGGACATCGAAATGTTTTCCTCTGTAAGTCCTAGAGATTTGTCGCTCAGGACGTCGTCGTCATCGTCGAAGTCAAACTGCGAGTTGTCAACATCGAAAGACATGGCGCCAACGCCTGCTCTTGTCTCGGCGACGTTGGTTTTGGTCATGATGTCACGGAGCAGGATATTGCTCTCCTGAAACGTGAATAGGTTTTCGAGGCCGAAGAGCTCGCCTTTCTTCTCGGATTGATCCATCACGCCTTTGAAATATCGGCGCTCGTCTGACGCAGTGTAGCCGATGTTGGCTTGTTGCTGCTTGTATATTTGCCGTGCGTAGACGATCTCTTCGATTGTGCCCGAGGAGACAAGTCGGAAAACTTCGACATCACGATTTTGTCCAATACGGTAGGCGCGATCTTGGGCTTGGAGATCGTAGGCTGGGTTCCAGTTCGGATCTACTACAACGACCTTATTGGCAGAGGTGATATTGAGGCCCACACCCCCTGCTCTCGTTGAGATCAGGAAGACAAATTGATTAGGATCGGAGTTGAAATCTGCAACGGCCTTGGCGCGGTCTTCATAGGTCATGCTGCCGTCCAAGTAGGAGAAGTTGTACTTTGTGCCATCGAGGTCGAAAAGTGTCTTCATGAGTCGTAGTAGGCGTACAGAGTGTGAGAAGACAAGCACCTTGTCCCCGTTCGAGTGCCAGTAGTCCAGGAGCCGCTTCATTATCTTCCATTTGCCGCAGAACTCGCGCTGCGACTGCTTTAGGATGCTATCTTTGATCCTCACCAGGTCGCGCCAGTCCTCGGGGCAAGCAAGCTGGAGATTCTCTACATCTTTGGCTTGCTTCTCGGATTTGTCCGTAGAGACAGGCAATAACAGTGCGAGATGATTAGCAAGCTTCTGCAAGGTTACCATACAAGGAAACATGAATTTGGACCATTTCTCGTCTTCGCTCGGCACCGTCTGGAAGCAACACCAGCCACGCGATTTCCCAGAGCCGCAGTCACACTCTTGCTTAGCTAGCCGGATATACTCGCACTTCTCGCTCTCAATGAACGTGCGATAAGCGTCGGCTTGCGTCTCAGTTAGCTGACAAAAGACCACGCGGTCGCTCTTTTTAGGCAGTTGATCTGCAATCAAGGTCTTCATACGGCGAAGGAAAACGCTGGGCAAGATGTTGTTGACGAGCTCTTGAGCTTTGCTGCGCGCATCAGCGAGTTGGGCATGGCTCGCGTCGTGAGCTTGCCCCATCTTCAGTGGCAAGCTAACCATCTGTTTCCATTCCTGGGCCGAGCCGTAAGCGCCTGGTCTTGCCCAGTTAAGGAGGTTCCACAGCTCTTCATACTTGTTCTGGATGGCCGTCCCCGTAAGGCCGATGCGACAAAGGGCATTGATCTTATTCATTGCTTTCGAGATCTCCGCATTCTTGTTCTTGATTTGATGGCATTCGTCTGCGATGACACAATCCCAGTCGATAGTATTTATATCACTCTCATTATTCCGGTAGGTGTCGTATGTCGTGACCATGATCTCGAGCATGCCCTTGCGAGCAGCATTAAGGATGCCTTTCTTGTCGGCAGGGTTTCCGTGATAACGATAGACTTCCCACCAACCCCACAGGTCCAGCTCATCTTCCCAATTACGCATCAAGGTGCCAGGGCATACGATCAAGATTCTAGGGTACCATCGATCATCACCATAACGGCGTACTTTGCGCATACATTTGGCATCGTTTTCAGTTGCAGTCTTGCCGAATGCAGCAGTGAGAAAGGCAATGACCTGGATAGTCTTACCAAGACCCATGTCATCACCGAGGATCGCGCCGGTCTGCTTCACAAAGCGTTCGTGCAGAAACTGCACTCCCTCCACCTGATAGTCCCGAAGCCACTGAGCAATGGGCGCAGGTATAGTGGCACCCGAGGCGCGTAGAACAATGTCCTTCTTAGGCCGCTGTATCTTGACAGCCTTGTCCAGCACAGGCTTTTCTTTCTGGCCATTATCCGGAAAGTCAATGTCTTCATAGCTTGGCGGATAGCGCAAGCCAGCCTCATGAAGCTTCTTCAGCTTTCCTTTGCGCGCTTCGATGTATTCCGGGATCGGCTCATCTAAGAACGTGTCCTGGCCATTGGCATCCTCACCCGCCGTATCCGTGCTGAAAAATGCCCCTTCTCTATCCACTTTCCTCGGCAGCGGTTTTCGGCCCACTACGCTCGTTGCTTGGGCAGCTTTAGACTTCTTGCGGGCCCGGAGCCTGTTCGTTTCGGCGGCGACACGCTTCCTCTTTGCCGTTCGGCGGTTCTTGAAGGCTTCGTAGTCGGCCTTGCCATCGTCGTCGGACCAGTCGTCAAACGAGAAGGAGTCGCTCAACCCACTATCAGGCATTATGACCTTACCGTTCTTGTGTCTACCACTAGAGCTGCCTGGGCGTTGCTTCGAGATAGGTTTTGCCTGTTTTTGTGCTTCGTCTTCGGTCTCCTCATCGAGAGCTTCTCCCACATCTGCGTCCTGCGACTGTGTTTGTAATGTTTGCGATTGTGTGAGCTCTGCCAATGGTCAGCATAACGAGCGAAGACATAGAATCGGAGCCGGCGAACCCTCAATATACTGCGACAAATCCAGACCTTTACGCGCTGACTGAACGATATCAAGTCCATCTTCATCATCGCTGCTCATTTGGCTTTCCGCGAAGGCGCGCAAAGCCCTCTCGTGTTCTTTGCCTCCTTTAAGGCGCGACATGATAGCGCGTTGCGTAGTGTTTGTTGCGCGTTGTGGTACAATAGCCGTTTATGCTATCGCGGAAGAAGCACTGAGTGGAAATATCTGTCGCGCGGAGTCAGCATTGCGGGTGACTTATGCTGTGCAGAAGCGGTGAAGCGCGCCATGAGGTGTGAATGGCAAAGACGCGGCTTCCGGGCAATCGCGCTGTCACGTGCACCGCGGGGCAGGTGCCAAGCTCATATCCCTGTACGAAGAGCTTTGACCACATCGAAATATCGATGATTTACGCCCATTACGACTTCGCGAGAATACTAGATCTGTCCTGAACAACTTCATGAATCTGAGGGACCTACATTTGTGATATGCCACAATGCCGCTCGACACATCCACCTACTCGCTCGCGCTCCTCCGCCTAGACGGCCGTAGATGGAACGAGCTCCGCAACATACATGCCCAAATAAGTACCCAGGCCGCCGCTGATGGGTCTTCGTACCTCGAGATGGGCAATACAAAAGTTCTCTGCACCGTCACCGGACCAGCAGAGGGTCGTCAATCGGGGCAGCGGGGAGGGAAAGACAACGAGGCGAAGGTAGAGGTGGAGATTGGCTTTGCAGGCTTCAGTGGCCTGGAGAGGCGCAAGAGGAAGAACGACAAGTGAGGAAACCCAGACTCTTGAAGTGTCATCGGTGGACTGATTGTACATGCAGACGCACGTCGGAGATGCAGCATACACTGGAAACCGCCTATTCATCACTACTGCTTACACACCTCTACCCGCACTCGACGATAACTCTAAACATCCACATCCTCTCACAAGATGGCTCACTCCTCGCTGCTTGTATAAATGCGGCGACACTTGCCCTCATCGACGCCGGTATCCCCATGACAGATTATCTCGTTGCATGCACAGCGGCCTCCTCAGCAACATCCGCCGAGTCCGACAACTCCGACCCTCTGCTCGATCTTAATAATTTGGAAGAACAAGAGCTATCTTTCTTGACAGTTGGCACATTAGGCAGGAGCGACCGGGTATCGGTGTTGATCATGGAGACTAGGGTGAGGATGGAGCGCGTAGAAGGTATGCTCGCTGTGGGAATTGATGGGTGCAAGAGGATGAGGGAAATATTAGACAGAGTGGTCAAGGAGTACGGCCAAAGGTTCTCATGATCACGAGGTGCAGCAGGTGAAGAGATAGACGATACCCAAACGGCACTCGCTTGATGACTACGCAATGAGCGAACGACATAGCGACCAGCACCACAGATGTGGTAGCTCATAGAGCTGGGCCCATGATCAGGAGACACGCTAGGATTTCAATCCAGTGCGTGAACCCAGTGATGGAATGCGTAAGCTGACAGGTCGAGAAGATAGTGGAAAGGTAAGGTGGACAAGCTGAATGCCTTTTCACCGTAATTATACATGCAAGATGTGTGACAAATTTGATTTTGTACGCATCTACTCTGTCGTTGAAGGGGTATTTCGCTCAAGTGACCGGCCAAATGCTGATCACTACAAGTAGGATCACCTACTCTTGCCAGCTCGACAGAATCAAAGCACCTAGCCAATGATCCCAATCAAGTCCTTGTTGGTCTTGCACTCATCGTCGCACTCGGTGATGCGACCCAAACCTTGGCGTCCGCCATCCTGAATATTCTCCACGAACGTCTCCGCAATATTACGGATCTCCTCGCTCTCTGACTGCTTAAGGATCGCGACAATCCTGTCAGTTGTTGCTTGGTCCAGCCCGGTATCGACAAGGCTCATGACGTCGATGCCCGCCGGCGTGCCACTAGCCTCCGCAGCAGTAGAATAGGATACGTAGTACTCGATTCCGTTGCCATCGCAGCCCCAGCCGAGCCAGCTGTACTGCGAAGTGGCGTTCTCGAGGATCCCGGTACCGCGGTAGTCGAGTACGGCGACGTAAGTATCATTGGGGATTGCAACGCCGTATGAAGTAAAGACGGTGTCGTTGCCGGGAATTTGGAAGGATGAGAGATCGTTGATAGGACCGGTCGGGTCCGAGTCAGTGACAGGAGTAGGATCCCATTGGAAGTTCCGAAGTTGGGCGGCTTGGGAGTTGCTGGTAAGAACCTGGTTCCAAGGCTTGAAGATCCAGCCGATGGGAGGAGGTGTCCAGGACGGAGAGGGGTTCACGCCTGGAAAGGTAGGCGGGTCGCGAAGCTTCACAGCTAGAAGAGAGAAGATCAGTAGATGTTTCGGCGGTTCAAACGTTTCAACTTTACCTGAGGGTCCACACCCATCGACCTGGACCGGCGCTGGGCGGGCAACCACGACGGACACGAGCGCCACTGCAGCAACGACGCGATCCAGGAACCGTGAGACACCCATTGTAATGATTAGGTATATAAACTTAAATATGTTCTTTGGTGGTATGGTCGAGGGTAGACAACACCAGCAAGGAAGGGCAGAGAGTGGCGAGGGTCAGTAGCAGGGGTGCAGACTTGCAGGGAAGTCTTTTATGTAGACCAAGGCCACTGTCTTTTACACTAGTGACAGGTGATCCTAAAGCTCGAGCCCTCGACCTCAAGTGAACTCATTAAAGGTAAAGGTGAAAGAAGGCACGCAGAAGCGACGTCTACGAGCTCAGACTCGACCTTTGCATGCACTCTCGCCTTTCGCCCAACGTCAGCAGCGCGCGTGCGAGGACTGTCACATCCCTATCAGGAATTCGCTCTTACCGAGTCATCAGGGTAAATTCGCTTGGCGGCGCGGAACGATATCCAACTACTAAGAGCGTGGAAACTATCCGCGCGTGTCGCTAGGGAGAAAGAAACGTTGTGTTACGGTACCGCGTCCCTAAACGATGAACGATAGATGGTTCGCAAGCTTGCGCTGGAAGCCCGACGTGGTAGATCTCGGATGCGACGAACGTGTGCCCGGTACGAGTCAGTGCGATGATAGCTAACGGATCTCGCTATTACCTTCCTAAAAACGACAACAGTTGATGAACACGAGCGATGCTTGCAATCTAGGCGTTGAGGTGACGCTCTTAGGAATATGGGCGGTGGCCCCAAATTTGATGGAGTGGCAGCCAGCGTAGAGGTCGAGGCGGTAATGCTGGGCTTGGCTTGAGGATCCTGGTCGGCAATTCTGGCTGACGTGAAGTCGGACCGTTCCAAAGCGGTTGATGGCAATCTAGTTTGCCGAATGGAAATGTGAAATATAGTGCGTTGAAACTCACAATCGCTTTGCGGCGTGATTGAATGCACTTATCAACCATCCTTGGGCATGTGCTCCGCTCATGCTTGCGATGACCGCTCGTCCTCGGATGGATACTGCAAAATGTGGTAGTCGCCGTCTACCTTGGATACCAAGTCGCCAAAGTTCCTCGTTACACAACGAAGGCGTGCGCATGGCGTCTTGGTGTTCTACCAGGAAATAGGGTAAATAGGCGAATCATGGCCACAAGACCGGGCGATTGCTGAGTATACACAACGCCGGCCAGACGGCCCTGCGTACAGACGATGAGATGTATCCAAGAGGGCAGCCGGGCAGAAGCAATTGCTCACTGTTCCGTTGGTGAAGTCGTGACCGTTCCGTTCTTCCAACTGCCGTGGCCCTGGTGCTCTTTCCGAGCGCGCTAGCCCGGTGGAGAGAGGAGCTTGGCATCTCGCGAATGCTTGCCTTGGGCCCGGCTCAGCCACGCCAGCGTTTCCTCTCGAAACATGGCCAACATCATCGCCATGAAATCGCGTGATACTTCTAGAAGACTTGCCGTCCTCATGAGAACCTCCGGTCGTGCTCTTGCATAACATCCGTACCTGTATGTGTTCTGGAGCTTGTCCGCCAACCTACGCCACCTCTCGAGCGCTTACGGCGCCAACTCTCGTCGTGCATCCTCAATCCTGTCCGACCTGAGGCGCGCGTCTTAATCGAAATGCCGCGCGGAAACGCCAGCTTGCTTTGCGGCATATCGGCATCTCTTATAACACACTAGGCTTTCCTTGCTGTGTTGCCTGGGCACGCAAGGTTTCCAAACAGCAATCACGCACTCGGCAAAGAACAAGCGCCCGATGTAGCCCCACCACTCTTCTACCTTCTCAAACGGCGCTATACCATTGTACAACCTCACCACCTTATGCGGGACAGGCACCAAGGCTCAGAATTACGCCTTGGCCGTTTGGTGCAACATGCGACGTTTTGGCAGTTGTAGTCTGAGAGCGTGCAGCCGCTTATGTCCGTCATACTACGCGTCCTTCTCCTGCTACCAAGCCCACAAAGGGGACTCAACCCAGGTTTCATGCACTCGTTTGGTTTTGTCTGCTATCAGAGGACTTCTTTGTTGGGCGACGCGGAGCCCGAGACCTGCCGGTGCTCCACCCTCCGTTATATACAATGGTGCAGACGGTTCTCCTGCATCTCCGTCCCTCCCTTACGCTCTTCTCTCGTCGTTCCTTTCTAGCTTCATTTCGAGTTGACCTCTAGCTGTAGAACAGCCTTTTGATTAATAACTTTTTTTTTCAGGCCGTTGAACGGTATTATCAGTTCTTTCGAGCTCCACTTTGTCAATTTCTATCACACCATATAGAAGCCATGCAGCTGACGTTGAGTTCTTTTCTGCTGGCAGCGTCCGTAAGCGCTCTGCCTGCGGAGCCTATGCTTGGCACTTCCGGTCTGCGAGGTGAGCCAAGTCCTACCATGCAAGGCGGTCCAGTGACTAACGACCTCAAAGCACGACAGGCCAAAGTCATTCCAGTGGTAGTCGGGGGGCCACAAGACACTTTCAATCCTAATTCTGTGACTGCTGCTGTTGGCGACATCGTACAATACCAGTTCAGCAACGGCAACCACACCGCAACCCAGAGCACTCCGGAGGCGCCATGCACACCTTTGAACGGCGGCGTGAATAGTGGCCACATTCCCTTCCAAGATGGTATGCAGGCTCCTAGATACACAGAGGATGTCTTTTTAGACATGCGAGCTACCCACCTTGACTATATTAGCTCACACTAACCTTTACCGGCGCTTTAGGTCAAACCTCAGTTGGCACATTCAGCATGGTTGTCTCAAACACTGACCCTATGTTCATGTTTTGTAAGATCCAAAAAGTATGGTTGTCATTCCTTCAAGCTAAGAATTGTAGGTGCTACGGGACCCCACTGCCAGGAAGGACAGGTCATGATCATCAATCCTACCGGCCCGCAACAGGTCCTTGACTTCGTCAAAGCAGCGCAAGGTACCGATAAATCGACTGACGGAACGGCCATAGCTGGCGGGACAACAAGTCAGATCGAATTGACCAATGCTGCGTAAGTAGACACTCCGCTCACATCAAAGGTTGTCTGACATCTTCTTGAGTTTCGTCCCAGCTCCAGCAGAGGATGCTGCCGGAGGTGGCGGCGCTGCTCCTCCCGCTGCTCCTCCGGCCGCAGGCAACGCTTCTCAAGCTGCTACCACGGCTGGAGGAAATTCTACCCAGGCTGCGAACGGTACGACGACCGGTGGGAGCGGCAACAAGGGCAAGGGCAAGAAAGGGAAGAACAGCGGCGCCGATGCGGCCAGCAACGCGAACAAAAAGAACGAAAGCAGCCCCGTACTTCTCGCTCTCTAAATCTATTCAATGTGCGAGACCCTCAGCCAACGCGTCGACGTGGATCGGCAAACCGAATGTACCTATGGGATCGAGCCCACCGTGCGATCATTGATAGTCCGGCACTACCACATCCTTCGCCTGTCTCAGTGCAGAGGGGATGATCAGTGGTAGCCTTCATGTTCAAACTTATTTGCTAGTTTTTGATACCCTCAATTGTCCATGTTTGTCTTTGCTTGACATCCAATCGTTGTTTCGCACATGGTAAAATCCTCAAGAGTAATGATGATAACGTTCAGAATCTCACTGTGCAGTTTCTGACGTCATACCGTTCCTCGATTGTGTCTTGTTGATTCTATCTGCGGCCAGTTTCACGTGCAAAGTTTCAGTCTACACGCGTCTTCTGCTTTGTCTTGACCGTGTTTCAAGATGAATATCCAGATTATGCCTGATGAGACTCGGCATACGCTACTCAAGTTTGGTAATTCATGCACCTACCGTCTTGAGCTATACCAACATCGCATAGCATTTGGTATATGAAGCAAAATTTTCCTACGTCGTGTCAGTCCCCATATCTCCACTAATCAATTTCTCACGGCGACGCGTCGCAGAATTACTAACAGGGCCCTTATGCCGCAACTGAGCGGTCTCAGTGTAGTGCGCAAAGGCTCTTAGTTCGTCGCTTCGTAAGACTGCAGCTTTGGCAAGGCTTCCATTTATCAATGGTTAACGAGCAATATCTGCTCATCTTTTCAATATATCACGCACACCTCTCAGCCCACTTATCTTGAGCTTACACGCACGTTCCCTCAAGCCATGCCAATCTCTATGAGTATGGCAGTGAAGTGCAGGCCAGATCGCCTCCGCGTGATGCTCAAATGGTGCGTTTCAAGCGACGTAGATTGTGCAGATAGTTAGCTTAGCTGTTGGGGACTGTTACACACTTCACATCGACTACCTCATCCTGCTTATCCTTATCGGACCGCAGAAGAATTCACGGCATTGATTTGTTACTCTCGTTCGATAGTGTTGCCGATCTTCGTAGAAACATATCATGTCGGCGATTCCGTTTGGACGGGACGTTGAAAAGTTGCAAACCGCGTCACCAGGACAGCGTGTGAAAGACGTCTACCATTCGCATCATCTGCACTTGAGATACTTGCAAGTAATCCCACACCACTATATGAACTTCTGAATTGAAGTTGATCTATGTGTCCTCCGTATGTCGCACATAGTCAAACTCCAATTGTTCCCTGGCAAACCAGAGAGTATTGATACGCACAGCTGATCTTATAACCGGTCAAGTATCTCGATGCAAAAGTAAAGCAGCTTCAAGGACTAAGATAATACCCACTCCTTTGATTAAATATACTAAAGACGTCGCTTCTCCGAGAACACTACACTTGAGTCTTTACATAAAACCTACGTTATCTAGTCCCCTTCAACTTATTACCAAGGATAAAGTCCTAAAGAAGCTTTTCTGGAGTGCTCACTGTCACCGGATGTCACCGGCCGGCTTCGATTCACGCTCCTGACACCAAAGATTTGAAAGTTGGTGGGAAGTGTCACTCCATTCATGTCTTGCACTTTCGCCCTGGTGGTACTACATGACTCAGGCTTTTTGTGTCTCATTGCTGTCTTGACTCTTCTATCTAGGGCTACAGGCAAAGTCAACGTTGGAGGAGGAGCTGCGGGGTTCCATAAGGACTTCAGTATGGAGACAACACTAATGGGACGTTGCCAATATTGTGCTATACAAAAAGTTCCTCCGCCATCTTTCTATGGGGAAAATACCTTCTCATACATTTTCAGCTAATCTATACACCATAGGAGGCTAGGCATTACCTAGATACTATTAAATCTAACTTTTTAGACCTAGTAGACGCTAAAATAGGGTACTAATCTATTAAATACAGTGTGCTAAAGTGAATAGGGTAACAACCAGCCTTCTATGGTGTATAGATTAGCTGAAATATATGAAAAGGTGTTTTTCCATGGAAAGATGGCAGAAGAACTTTTGTACAGCACCGATATTGGCTATGCTAGTGCTGGCGTGGGATTTTGACGTGCGGCTTTGAGCTCTACCAGGCGACGCACAGTACAGTGGCGATGTTTGGAATTTGCATAGCTCAACCTAGGGTAATACTGGGTACCAAAATCTATACAAGGCATTGTATTTCCGTTTGTAGAAGTTGAGTCATCCGAATAACGATCTGAGCGTCCACTATTTCGTAAATTTATCAAGCCTAATGGTCAGCAGTAACTGCATCCGGGCAAGGAAAACATAGAGAGCACGATTATACAACGCATAGTTTCTAGGCACAGGTGCAGGGGTTCAAGACATGGTATGGACGGGAACATACGTAGCAGCCATACACGGATGACAAGCTCCATGGAGTAGTCTTGGGGTGGAGTGGTTTACAACAAATGGCAAAGCGAACATCCAATAGTGTCACTATTCTTTTCGTTGAACGGTCATCGTAAGATAAACTGATATATACAATCAGTGCGATCATCTTGGGTCGGATCAATTGCTGATTATGCCCGGAGCTTTGAATAAAATTAAAAAGCGCTTACTGCGACCCACGGTACGCAGGTACAAGTTACTGTTCTAGCCGCCGCCTCTTACCGATGGATACCTGTCTTATCGTGGTTAAGCCAGTTGTTCGCATACATAGCATTTCATGCTTCAAAACACTGGGCGTTAATGTACATTCAATAGCATTCCTTATGAAGTCAAAGTTGCTCTCTTAGTCCAACTGCAACATGATTCTGCACAAACATGATCTCAATCGTAACGCCCAAAGCCTATATCTGTGCTCCCTCCAGCTCCACCATGTTCACACTCGTCGACTCGCTTCAATCTAACTTCAACAGTCACGGATCCTAATCTCGTCCCACGCAGCCAAAGATAGGAATGCCACTACTCTTTAGCTTTCCATGGGACGAGGACTAAATTCTCATGGGATGGTAAGGTAGTATCGGAGACCGACGCCTAGCTTCCGCTGTATCTTAAGAAGTTTCGGTTATACGTGTGTGCACGGCTCCGCTGATCGACGGAGAAGACTCCGGTGTAGAGGCTTGTGCAACAATGATTGTAAACGTGGGATGATGGAGTGATCCACGAACGCGATGGGATGAAGGAGCTGACTTTGATGGTACGAAAGACTCATGCTTCGCGAGGCTTCACTAGGATAGAAGCGCGGTAGTCTCATTTGAAAAGCTGGCAAGTAGGATTTAATTGTCCCTGGATGAACTATCTCAAGACAGAGACTTACGAGTATCGTCAATGAGGCTCTACCACGCTTTAGAAGGTGACCGATTTTCCTTCCATAAACGCGTTAAATTACCCTCGCATACCGAGAGCTCGGTTTACGGGACTTCGAGTACCTCCCATGGCTACGATATCTTATCACGTACCGGATCTCCTGGTATGTACCTATGTCTACGCCGCACGCTCGCAGACCGTGCCATGTGGCCTGCAAGCCATGTATGGGTACGATTGGCTCCCATGACAAGGTATGAGTATAGCCGGGGACCGCTGAGCCGCTTCGCCTAATAGGACTACCCTTCAAGTCTACCCTAACGTGACAACAGCATGACGATTCTTGGTTCCTTGAAGATGCGTCATGTATAAGGGGCACAATATTTTGTGGTCATTGCGCCTATCGGATGCATACTCGTGCACGACGCATTGTAAAGGAGGCAGTCGTATGACTATCTTTCCAAACATCATCGCAAGGCAAAAGGATATCAGCGCTGACTCCGCAGCTCTTCGTACCCTAGTCTGGCGGTGAGATTGGCGACCGCTTACAGTTCTTCTGGAAGAGACTAGGACTACACCGATCCCACCAAGCCCGCTCTTTCGCGTGCTATTTGGGGTTCAAAACACGTGGTTTCCCCGCCTTATGTGCTGCCCACGCGGCAGATCACCGCCATGTGCGACCGCAGCTGCCGCCTACCATGCGAATCGCTCACCTCGGCCTCGGATTTGGTCCCCGAGAGCAGGCCATCCTGGGACACCCGAAGGGGCTAGCGATTTCGTGGACCTTTTCGGACTTCGCGTAGCTGCGAGATGGAGACATGGGAGTGATTGGAGAACGAATGAATAGATGACATGGCAGACGTGCAAGGTACACATGCGCCGAGCCCGCCCTGCCCGCGTGCTGCATGCAGGGCCGATATGACGGGGAGGCGGGTGTGAGAGAATGACCGGTCCGATTGCGGAGCGGAGGTGAGGTGAGAGTGAAGGGAATGCGAGATACGGAGGACGAAGAAGGCGGACGAAGGAGCAAGGACTTCTTATGGGTCAAAGTCCTTGGCTTATTTCAGCAGACGCAGGATGTCATCTTGATGCTGCGTTAGCATGCTGTAGTGAAGTCGTAGTACGGTCCTGATGCGTGGGTGTACTTGATGCCGTTCGCTTCCGCCCATGTCCGACCTCAAACTCGGGTCGCACAAGACAGGCGGCCCGGACTGGCGGTGGAGAAGCCATTCAGTGCACGACAGTCGATCAACCTCCATGCCATGGTGACAGCCGTTTGCTGGAAATCCGAATTAGCGGTCAGCCTCCAGACACACCGTTCGATCTCTTGGACTCACCAATGAATAGGGTCAGTAGTGTACCATAGGTAGCTGTTTACGATGCATGCGCACTGAGACCAGCCTAGGACTACTGACGGTCAACAGTACGAAGCAATGCGTATCAATTTGGAAGGGTGTGTGCAACAATGGGCTCTCGCGGCTAATGTAGTACAGTGCGAGCGTTCACCGCTACTCTCATCACTCAGCCATGATGCAAACCTACTCAGCTGCCCATCAGACACATGACAAAAGTCACCAAGAATTCTGGAAACGCCTCAGAAGACGCAATCCCGCCGTTGTGGTTGACCCCTACTTCGTTTCGGTGTCCGAAGAATTGAACATTTTCCTAATACGGTGGGAAAGGTGGTTAATTGGGAACTAAGCAGTAAGTTCTGCGGTTAGGCGTGCCGTCTCAGGACAGAGCTGTGGCTAATGGCGCCCGGGATGACTGCAGGGATAAGAGGACTCCTGGGTGTCAAAGCTTCACGGCAGCGAGCTCCCTCGCGGCTGTGAGTGGCCATGGTTCTTCGTTTGGTTCCAAGAGCGGAAGACTGCCGGTCGGCGCGGGCGGAAGCGAGTCAGCAGCGGCATGCAAGCCAAAAGCAAGTCAAGCGAAACAGGTCCATCGGCGTGCGGGATGGGCCGTCGAACACGATGCACCCTTTCCGACCGACCTGTCTGACCTCGAGATAACGGCACGCATGGCGTATGGAATATCCGGCGCTCTGGCTATTGGTCGCCATGCATGAGATGGTGTTGAACGTGTGGGTAAAGAGGCGTCCGTTGACCTCACGAAGGAAGGCAATGCGTCTACACCAGTGGCCTCGAGGCAAATTGGCGATAGCCTCGCGAATACGGCGGACACGCTGGCGTGCGCAGGCCTTTGGCGAAGTGGGCCACCACTGCACGCGGTATTGAGATGAGCGCGCCGCAGATGGAGTGGCTTCCGCCGCGTGGGGAGTCGTGGGCGACCTGGGTCGGTGTGGATGCATGCACGCACTCCACAAACGTCTCGCCCTACGTTCACGGCGTCTCGCTAATCTGCCCGTCTCGTCCGCAGCCCAGAAAAGAAAGGCTCTATGCATCGCAGCTTGGATAGATTATCTGATCTGTCAGATCCGGTCAGCAAGCACGTTCATGCCTGGGAGCTTTTTGTTTGGAGCATCTGGATTGTTGAGGATGGATGCCACACATGTAAACTTGTTTTTTGCCTCGACAGCATGTGGGCCTCTGTGGGGGATGAACGAACTCCACCACCGTACGGGCATGAACCCGCAGCAACGTCCGGACCCCCTCACCATGTGGAGAGCCCCGTTCGTGATTCTGCTGCTGGAACGCCATAGTTTTGGACCTGCTATTCTCACCATTCCTTACAATACCAACAGTCGTTAGATAAAAACAGTCATACCATGCATTGCCGCGCCCAGGCCTGGGCCCTTAGAGCGGTTAACTCATGGGGAGCGCCCCGTGGGTTGAGTTCAATGCCTTCCTACCCGTAGCGATGGGTCTCTTTCTCTGAACATGATACAACCGACCGATAACGTGGTAAAGCTACTCCTGCGTATGACGACCAAAGCGCCCGACTAACGATGCGACTGCCTATCACCTAGCCTTACGAGGCAGTTGGACGGTCTGCACTTTTCAGACCTACCCGCCCGAGTCGACAATAGTCAACGATCAAGTCATCACCGCTTCGCTGATGCGCTTCGGTCGTTGAGGCGAGTATCTCTTGAGCACAATAGCGGGTCGATACTGCCGATGGCCTCGAAACCTCAAGTGACTGCTAGTCGTTGGCACGTAGTCGCGCAGCTCAATGCAACTTTCGCCTATCACCGTATACGGCTTTTACTGCGAGCCGTGATGTGGGTGGTTGTTCGATACCGAGGTAAAAGTATCCTACTTGACATCATGCTGTGTATTGTGTCCCGAGTCTGTTCAATATCCACAATACGAGGTACGGTGGCTGTCACTGGCGCTTGCAGCGTGGCAATGAGCATATCCCACGTCTGGATTCCAGTCTCTCGCAGACAAGCGCATCCTCCGACAATCGGAGGGGCAAATTTATACCCGTTGATAAATCCTACTGCGAGGAAAGGCGAAATCAGAAACGAGAATGATTCGGCTCGGTTCGACTCGCATACGCCATAGTCGTAAGACAGACGCCCTCTCACTTGTGGTATCAGATAATCAGAGAGTATGCCACAGTGTCGGGACAGTCTTACTGGAAACACATTAATGCATGCCGTTCTCCCGATCGTCAAATGTTTCGAGGCGACCTCCATAAGCAAGAAGAGGCGATAAGCATTTGAGTAGACCGAATGTGCCTTGTGGTATCAGGTCGTGACCGTGCTAACAATGCGGACTCCCACAGTGCACTCGAGCACAAATGTTAGGTAGTCAATACTACCACCGCTGCCAAGGTGTGGAGTAGGAGACTGTTAGCGAGGGGTCAGCAGCTGCAAGAAATACATGTGCATCTGGTCCTGCGGCCCGTGAGCCCTCCCATGGAATGCGAGCACCCCCGTAATGAGCATAGTGCAAATCTGGGTACATTAAGACAGAAGTCGCCGATGTTCCACGCATCGGGGTTCGTGACAAGTCGCGGCGAGTTCTACTCCGATTCATCTGGTCGTGAAGTGACTTCTCGTGACAAGCTTCTCTTTCACAGTAGGCCTTCAAAACCTGAAATTGTGATAGACTCTGGGTGGTAGAGAATTACCGATATTGCGAAGGCGCTCGGTAGCGTAGGCGCAGCGCCACCGGGGCACAAGAGAAAGAGCGGTTAGAACGATGGCGCCTTTGGGTTTGCGTCAGGATCAAGAGCCGCCCTTATGCAGTATATACACGTAGCACGCGATTGATACCACATCGGGCATGTTCACCTTTGAGCAGCGGTCCGATTGACATGATCTAGTGCCGATAGAGAATTTGTCTGTATCGATGGTTCAAAAAGTGATTCACATGCCCGTACAAGAGGTGTGCAATGAGCGGAGTTTGGACAGCCTGAGGTAACACAGCATTCTCCGACACCGGTGATGAGTTCGCCAGGTACTGTAGTCGGAGTGGTTGGAAGATTGCGCGGCCCTCAGGTGAGCATGTCGGAGCGAGAGGCGTGTCATGGGGGTAATCCGGTTTCAGATAAGCTCGCTTAGACGCATGAGTTGAGCAAGGTTGTTTGACGGCTAACGGGCTGCGGCGGGCGCCAGACCGTTGCGAAGGATCCTTCCGCTATCGTTCGTCTGGGTTACCGATTCAGTGAGCGTTGCACGTTCTTCACAGACATGATTTGATCGAACACATGGCCGTGCACTTGGTCAGAAACCAAACGAAAAGACGCAAATAAAAGCGGTTGCGGGTTGTGTGATAAAATGGAAATATCAATTGTGTTGCTAATAGCAAGTGTACAGTATGCGCGCTGGCGGCCGAATGCTGGACGTGTCTTGCACGTCTGTGCTGCCGGTTCCTGTCATCAGATTTGGTAGACGGAGATCGAACCTGTAACAATATTCAGATGGAATAAGATGTACTAGGATGTTCGTTCTGGAACTCCTTCATGTTCCTGCGCATCTGCGTCCACGTCTTCGTTCCACTCGTCGCCGCCGCTAACTCCACTCTCGTGTGTTGTTCGAGCCGCTGGAGGTGGCGCATCCAGAGCGTCGTCGCTATCATCATCCTCAAAAGCGGCAGGGTCTGCTAGAGGCTGGGCTTCTGGGTCCTCGTTGCCAGATACAGAATTCTTACCGCGAGGGGCGCCATGCACATCCTCGTCTGCAGAAACCGAGATGCCTCGCCGTCCCCAGGCGTTTTTTGGGCGACCGTTCTGGTCAGCAGGCCGCGCCTCCTCTTCGTTGTAATCGAAGTCGACACTCTTACGACCCACGAAGCGACCCACCAGCCAGCCACGGCCTAGATCCTCCGAGTCTACAACTCCGCCTCGTCGAAGCTTCACTCGCTGTCGGCTCCAATACACCCAGGCAAAATCGAGGATGAGCGCGGTCTGGATGGTTCCCCAAACCCAAGACGTAGGGTCCTTGTATTCATCTTCTTTTGTCGCACGGGTAATCCAGTTGAGGATATAGAGAAAGCGGTATGCTCCGAGCGCAACTAGATAGAAGGAATCAAGGACGGTGGGCACCGTGGTTTGACGCAGAAGTAAGAGTTGCGGAACCACGGCACCAGCTTCTAGAATCTCAGAAAAGACCCACATGACCCTTAGAAACGCTTTTTTGCCAATGACGGTCTCATGGAATAGCCAGTACCAGAACGGAGTTATGGCAATAGGTGCGACGAGGCAGTACATGCCGAATTTCCACGCCTTCTCTCGCTCCCTTGTGCGAGCATATACACCAGTCATGAGGAATATGATGTAGAACGAAGAGAGGGTGTAGAATATCTGCTTGCGCTTAGCTATGTGCCCAGCAGTATACTCTGCGACTTCTCACCTTCAGTGAGAAGTTCCATGTGTGGGCGAAATCTCGCGCGGGCGAGGTGGTGAAAATGTCGAGGTATCGCGAGCAAAAGACGACGGCATATAGCACCTGAGTGATGAGGGAGACGCCTGGGGAGCTTGTTAGCCAAGCTTGGAAGGAGCTACTGGGGCACTTACCTTCGGCGCTGCTGTTTCCATGGATAGCCCATATCAATATGAGCTTTGAGATGGTGTGCGAGACGTCACCGAGGACGTGAAAGACGTTGAAGCCCATACCGGGCAGCGGGTGCTACGCAGCACGCGGCCAGCAGCGCAGCCCGGCGATCGATGTGCCCAGCACGCGTCGGCGGGCGCAGGAAGGTGCAGCGTGGTGTCTGCCGGCCTTCGATTCGGTAGTCGTGGGGGCTGAGAGGAGGGGCGTTTTCGCTACCTGGTTAGAAGTCTGGCTGTTGGAGAGTGTTGATGTGGACGTGGAGTCGTCGGACCGAAGCCTGTATGACACGCCTCTAGCCTTTGTGGGCCTAGTGTCGCTGACACTTCTAACCCCAGGTGAGTGTTCCACGACCGTTTGTCTCATCACTCCGCACGCCGGCGACCCAGCACGCACGCGCCGGAATGGAGAGGAAGCTTGGATCGAGACACTCTCCGCTCTCTTCTCCCACACACCAAGACGCATGCTACGAACATACGCCTTGGATCCGGACGCTCAGACAAGCTGATGAGCCTGTTTACAACTACATGTGCAGACAAAAGCCACTACCAACACATTACCCTGTGTTCCAGCCCGAAGGAACCTTGGACCCTGGCACAGCTGCAAGTATACCTGCATCTGCGACCGCCCCTCGGCTGTCTGCCGGTAACGATCAATCGCGGACGCGCCGCACCCGCCATGGCTCTTGCCATTTGCTATAGCTGTACCTTCCTAAACCTCCCTCCGAAGCAACTACCCTACCTGCGTTCACTACACAGTGGGTCTGTCCAGCCTCATCCTCGCAAGCAGTCTTGTTATGGCAGCGAGGGATTATTGTGTTTCCATCGGTTGTCATCTGCCATGCGATAGCGGGGCCAAGGCTGTCTACTTTGCGACTTCACGCCGTCGATATGAGTAACGCAAGCAGCCGTTCATGACTGCAGCTGCAGTGTTGCTGGCCGAGACGTTGTCGAGGCAGCACACGGCTGACTGAACCGGATCTCGCATACAGGAGATGAGATCCTCCTTGTACGACGCAGTATTCGTCCGCAGTGGTGTCTACACCACAGCGCCAGATGCGCATGTCTACAAAATAAAGTCAGCTGTATGCAGGTAAGCAGCAACGCTCAAACGTACGTGCGCTGGCTGCAAACCTTAGGGCAGTAAAAGTTTATTTTCGCCTAGGCCACCAGGGTCCAAGATTTTGCCGTGAGGCTTCACGGATCCGCCTGTCAGCTAGGAAGAGCAACAGCCACGCAGGACCCTGAGTATGCAGGGTATCTACGTACAGAACGTCTACAAATCCCGGCATCTACGATATAGAAGCTCGCATCAACGGTTCGTCGTCCTGCTCCACCAAGATCGGAGGGTGGTATGTAACCACTAAGCTTGACGGGCCTACCGACTGTGACGCCATTGCAACGGGAAAAGGCCAATCCCGGAGGAACCTCCGTCGTAAGGCAGAATGTTTTCCGTCAGGATCTACTATCAGCGATGCAGAATGGGAGGCGTACATCACGGAACGTCGACTTCGCAGGGAATCAGTCCAACAGTCGCCCCGGTGACGAACACGTCTATGCCGCCGAATGCTGTACTACATGCCTTAAAACGTTGCATTGAGCATCTAGATGCTCGCCAATGCCCGATTGTCGCTAGGATAGCCTCCGGCACCAGCTTGATACTTGTTCAGATGATCCCCGACAAACTAGCAGCGCATGAGCTTCTATTACCTGCATCTGCACTGAGCAAAGCAGGGAATGGCGCAGCTGCACCTTGCACTGTCGCAATCTGGTACTTCGGATCAAAGCCAAATTGTGCCACGACAGCTGCGGCTATCGCGATATATTCTTTACCGACAGTATGGTGCCCGTCATGCTCAGCGGATCCATGCATCTCCACCACGTCAAGCATTGCCACGCGATGGTCCCGGTAAAACTTGACGGGCGTGCTGGGCTCCCAATGTGCGCCGTGTCGTTCGGGACGGCGATCTTGAGGTCGGCTCTGTGTTTCGTGGCTTGCCGGAATCCGGTGGCCCAAGCAAGAAGTAGGAGCCAGTAGACGTCAGCAGTTGGGCCGATAGCGGTCAAGTGAGACATCTTGAGAACAGGAAGTCGGAGCACGTGTTGTGCAGGTTTCGAATTGAAGACCACCGACACGGAGGCTCAGCGAGTGTCTTAGGCTTGTCGCATTCCCGCACTAGGGACCCAGTAAAGCGCAGTTAGAGCGCAACCTCATGATAGGGTCAGGCAGACCAACCAACCAACCAGATTGCAAGCCTTACCTTAGCCGCCTCCGCCAACATAGCGGCTCACGAATACATGGACCATGGCAAACCCTCGTTTCGCAGGACCCTGCGTCCATGAACATGGATGAGTTCCACAACTTAGTCTGGGCCCACACGCACCAAAATGATGGCAGGCCCGGATACGATTTGGGGCAGTAGTGGTCCTCTGAGAGTGATTTGAGAAACGGCGTGGGCCTTAGATGTTGATCAAGACATTTGCATAGCGATGCATTGTAATCAGCGGCTGGCTGCAGGTGGATGCGAAGCTGCGTTCACAATCTATATGAGGCGTCCACAAGCAGACGCAGAGAGTTGGAGCCGTCGCTGCCGGTACCAGTGGCCGCGTCAATTCACCCTCTTGCTACGGCTGATGGATAGCTCGGTCACAGACGTTGACGCGGTCAAGGTTGAGGCGCACCGTGGTCGGTCCCCGTTGAGCTTCGTAGCTGTAAGACAGCACGAAAACGAAGGTAGGCGAGCGAGCATGGCGGGCGTACAGGTGAAGCAGTGAGCTGCTGACCTGGGCCTCGTGAAGGAGAGGTCAACAAACGCCCGTGGTGGTGGTGCGCATCGCAGCGATTGCCTTGCCTGGATCGCGAAGTCGCCTCGCCATGGATGCAAACATGGCTTTCGGGAGATATCTCGAGGAGCTTGAGGACGTATGTGGGTCTAGTGGTAGCGTAGCCGTCTCGTACTCCAGAGCAGCTGGAGAGCTGAGGTTGAAAACGAGCGCGGCACCAAAAGCAGCGAATTAGCGGCCTTTGGGGTACGGCCCGGTGCTGTGGCTGTTCTCAACGGCCACTATGGTGCTTCCTCAGACGGCGCGCTGCTTCAGGCTGATTTTGCGGGCTTCAAGTGCCGCTAATTGACTGATGACGGCGACGTTTGCTCCGAGGACAGCTATACGTGCGCGCGCGAAGGATCATACGGCCAGCGATGTACTAGCCGCGAGGAGCGAGAGAGCATACGTTCGCCAGCATGCCGCCAGTGAGGCCAGTGGTCGCCGTCCCGACCTGTGCGCAAGGAGCAGCGTCGCTGATTGTCACTTCAGAGCTTGGGGGTGAATCGTCCTCGGGGTGCCTCAGTGACATGCTCATGGCACAACGACGCCCGCGCCCGTTACAGATGCGCACGCCAGCGTCCCGCAGACGGCGCAAGGCTGGTCGAGTCTGTCGCCGACTCCCAGCATGTCGTTCCTGGCAGCTGTAGGCGCCATTGGGCCGGGCGCAGCCGTTCAACAGCCCAGGGACCCGTGGCCACCACGCGGCTCCAGCGCCGCCAGCCATGATCCATGAGGCCCGGGGGGTCGTGGGGCATGGATGCAGCATGGAGTCCAGCATGCAGGCGCTAAGATGCACGCCCTGGTCAGCCTGTGCGTCGTGCTCATCCTTCAGAATCCGCGAACCGGGGGCATCGATAGAGTTGTCGCACTAAGGCCTTTCCACAGCTTCCAGCTAGCTCGACCGCCGGGCCCTGCTACCATCGCCATGAATTGATATATCCCCATCGATGCTCCTCAGTCTGCTCCGATCATCAACATCTTCGATCAGAGTCCGCTACCGCTCCCACGCCTCACCGTGCCCAGCCTAAGCATACCACGCACGGCTCCTCTCTCTCGCGCTTTCAGACCAGCCCAATCTGCTTCCCCTCCTCCGGCACAGTCGTGACCATGCCGGCCATGCTTGAGAGTGCTGTGCCTCCACCGCCGCATCTGCAGCTCTCCACCTCCTCTCCCTGGCCCCCGTACTCGTCTCACTGCTACGCCTCTACTGCCTCTTCGCCCACTCCCATGACACCAGAGTCGCTGACTACCTTTGTCCCGCGTTTGCACGACAGCCCGCTTCCCACGCAAGAAGCTCCTCCCTCTTCGAGTTGGTTCGGCGCCTCGGTTTCGGCCCCAGACCCTCAAAACGAGGTTCGTTAGGCGCTCACTTGCCCCGCCATTCACGCTGACCGATCGTTTGCAGACTTTTGGTGCCTTTTCATATAGCCAGCCCTTTATTCCTTCACATCCGTCGTCTGCTGGTCCATATTCACCACACCACCATTTCTCGTCAACATCTGACGTGGCAGTGTCTGCACCATCGAGCATAGAGCACCCAGCAGGCAACTTCTCTCCAATTTCACAGTGCTCGCGAGGCTCCGAAGGGCCACGGCCGGAGTACGTCCGTCAGCACCAGGAACCCTCTCCCGACGCATCCACCCATCTTTCCGGAGGTCTTTCGCCGTGTCGATCTCGAAGCACTCCCCTCGACTACCCTTCTTGGACCATGAATCCGCTCGGTATTTCCGGATCGACCATGCACCAACACTTTTATTCTAGCCCGACGTACCCTCGAAGTCCCCGCATCAGCGAGCCTGGTATGGATTTATCGGGCGATTTGCCGAATGGACGCCGCCTATATGCCCCAATCGCTCCCCACCCAACTGGTTCTCGCACAAGCGTTCCGAAGCGATCCCACGAAGATGATGACGACCAGTCAGATCAAATCAAAAGGAGAAAACGATCGGACTCTAGCACTTCAGCGACCATCGAGCTGGGCGACGAGGATCGTCTTCTAATCAGACTCAAAGACGAGGAAAGCATGCCTTGGAAGGATATCGCCGCTCGCTTTCAGTCAGACCTGGGCAAGACGTACCAGATACCCGCGTTGCAGATGCGCCTGAAGCGGCTACGTGAACGCATGCGAGTGTGGACCGAGCCCGATGTCAAGGCACTTCGTATGGCGCATGAGTATTGGGTTCAAAGCAAGTTCGACATCATTGCCCAAAAGGTGAGCAACGTCGTCCACGCGTCCCAAGCTACCACTGACCTCATTAGATGCTCGAGTACGGTGCATCAGAGAAGTGGACCGCTCGGCAGTGTGCGCGCAAATGGGCCGAAATCGATCCCGGCCCAACCCCTTACACGACCTATGAGCACCATATGCCAACATACGCTGCTTACACCATGAGTCCCGTGGAAGCACACCACTTCATGCCATATGTTCACATTCAATAAGCGTTCCGTTCCTGTTCTATACCCTATCCGTCCAAGACGGCAGTGCGCTGTCAGTATATTTCTAGCCTTGTCTTACGCAGAAGTCTTTTGTGGCGCCGAGAGAGAGGTGTTTATTGTTCTACCGCCCCTTCGCTTCGGCGTTGCGGCGCGGTTCACGACTCTACGTGTATACTTTTACGGCCGTCAATGATGGCGTGTACCTCCTACTTCATACCCGGTCCTATAGAGGCTTGTTTTGAATACCATTTTCATTTAGGAAGTATGAATTTTTCACCATAAGTACAATACTAGAGCCATCGCATTCTGACAATTCCATCGCCTGGTGCTTTTCTATGTGGTGGGAACGTTGTGAAAGGTTTTGCAGTGGTCCGGACAACATACCAATGGATACAGAGCTATCACGCAATCTCTCAAAGGCTCTGCGACGCATTGAAACAACGTTCGCAAGGCAGAATTGCCAGAACTGTGCCCTCCAATCGCGCCTATACCCAAGCGCAAGGCTAGTATCCTACACACGCACCCGCCGCAACGGCTGTGCCGCTTTCCATATCCTCAGCTCCCATTTCGAACACCTTTCCACCCACCGCGGAGTTCGCCCGCTCTGCTCAACGACCCCCCTCAAAGCCCAAAAGCATTCATCCCTTGCAACGTCCCCTGATCTAAGCCCACATTGAAGAAGATAGTGTCTAGCCGTAACGGCAGCCCGCGGCGCGCCGTCTTCCCGCGCACATCACCGCGCTAGCTTTGTATTTCCTGTTCCTGCCACATGTGTGTTGTGTGATTGGGCGGTGCGGCCACGGTCGGCGCGCTGCAACAAAGGATCAGGAACATGAAGGAGGCAAAGTGTGCAAGATGCGATGGCGAACTTCCTGTCTTCCATCGTACTTAGCTTTTTCTTCGCGGAAGATGTGCGGCGTGCACGGTTTACGAAGGTAGGCATCATGACTCGTGCGGGAGAGGGGAGAACTGGGCTCGGTTCGCGAATTATATGTGAAGAGTGACAGAGGGGTCTGGGATGTAGGGACGCATGGAGGGATCTATTGGGAACATTGACAAAGTGGGATGATGCGTGGAACTGTTCTGGTAAACTGGCTAAATGCGGAAGATTGAGGCCGCTGTGAAGATTGTGGCGCGAAGGAAGGGCGGACATGACGTTGGGCCTTTGCTCAGTTTACGCTCGCTTGTTCTCAACATGAAATATCCTGGAAAGTTCTACGGGCTGCTTGCAAACGCTCACTGTGTCTGTAAAGTTCCGTGTGACGGGTTGGAAGCTCCCGACGATTTTTGATACGGTACCGTCGGGGTGGTTGAGTTTCTTGCGCCCCGCTACATGGATCCTAGGCAATACGCTTCGTTTCGACTTTGAGGTGGTCAGACGATAGTTGTAGGATTGTTAGCCTTGCTTTGGTCATTTGCGATTGAGTAGCGTATTCCATGTGCTTTTCGCAGACTGAGTTGGTTCGCGCAAGTTAGTCCGCTCGTGGCTATAGAGGAGAATATTGAAGGTCACCCTTGAAGAATCTGGGTGAAATTGCTTACGCCAACTTCTACAGTGTCGTCGGATGTCAAAGTGACCGATTTCGGGGGTCGGTTTCGATGCTCAGAAGTCTCCTCCGATGGCCGACCACCGACCGCATCCCGATACAGTGCAGGAAGACAGGGTTTTGCGCCTCGCACCCCTCCTTCTCGTAGCGTACATTTGTTCATGTAGACTCGCACGTGTCATCGACTCGTACGTGAGGTAGGTTGCCATGACGCTTGGGCAGCCAGCATAATGGACAATCTGTCCGCGCCACGCTCGCGAGATGGTGGAGCGAGCATCTCAACTCCTTTTAGGAGGCCTCAAATTGGAGGTTCAAGCTGTCACACGAGGCTGCGGCGCAGCTGATAGGCGCAAGCGGCACAGCACAGTCATCTGCTCACTGTTGGACAGGACGCAGCATATTGACTGCTGATTCGCTCGAAGCGTGCGACAGTTGGTGTGTGACGTGCATGTAGCGGTTCAGCCGAATTGAGTGGGTCACTGCTAAAGACAAGAGTGATTTACCGGCGTGGCTGGGGTTGCGCGGGAGAAGATCTGGGCATAGCTTCGTGATCGTCGCAATACGAGGCCTGCCGCACTTGCATGTTCAGTTTGCTTCGCCTCTTGCAACCTGCTATCAAAATAGCACGTAGAGGATAAAGAAGGATTCGGTTGCCGATGGTAAGTTCCGGCTCGGGGCTCAACGTTCGTGAAACGGCGCCTGCAGGCATAGAACAGTAGCGTGGCCATCACCTGCAAGTATCGTGTGGTATCTGCTTCAGTAGGAAGGCAGATTAGATAAACTTGTCATTGATCTGTTATGGTTGGGGCAGAGTCGGTTCGAGGTTTGCATTCAATGCGTTTTTGAAGACTTCCTGCTTCATCGGCCCTTTGTGCAGCACCGGGGTGAGCAGTACAGTTGTTTGAGATGGAATGCCAATGCACAGACTCGTCCTGTCGCATAAGCGTATATATTCTTACAGATAATTTGATATACGTGCATCGGGAGGCATCGAAAGCCGATATCTAAGGCCCGGTACGAAGGGTTAAAAAGAGAGTCATTTTTCTTCTTTCTGTCAAGAAATGGTTATCGAGCTGATTAATTTCTATGCCTCGAAACAGTAACACTCAGATGCTAGGGTGACTGCGTAACATACTGCGCACCCTCACACTTAAACTTTCAGGAGGCAATCACATCTCTGTTAGAGGTTCTCTGCACCGCCGAACGAACGGACGGTCCGTCAGGTGCTCGACTGAAGTGTGTACAACCCGTGGTACAGCCAATTCCGGGGTATTCTTTCAAAGCTAGGGATCGCACGCAAGATGTGACGAGATAGTTCGGCTGCGAATGCACCGAAGCAAGTGCTTTCGTCTATTGGCATGTCAGTCACTGGCAGATTACACACATGTATCTGACCGTATGTTGGGAATGGCGGAAGCACCTTGACGCCGGGGGTCTTGATGGAACAATGGCCTGACCGTAGATCTCGTACCTCAAAAGCGACGTGCTTAGACACATACATCAAACGAAATGTCGTCTCCGCTTTGTGTCCCTGGTACGGCTAAGCTAGCGGCTCCGCAGAAATGCATGCCTGTATACTTCTGCGCGACATCGAGTTGCTCGTGTTACCCCAAGAAAGGTGCTTCATCAGTGTACACGGAAAGATATTCGGACTGTACACTATCATCCCAGCTCGTCGCGCTTGTCGTGTGAATATATGATCCTTAGTATACAGTAGCATCGCTTGCTGCCGCTTGCGACGACCGAAGTCTGGAAGCATCGTTCATTCCCACGCGTGTGTCAAATCTATATCCGCTTGCATGTCCCTTTTTGTTGAAACGCCTAGCTGTATCATGCCGCCTTGGCTCGTCCCTTCCTTTGTAGACTACCTCTGTCAGGTTCATTGTTGGTGGTAACTACATACCTATGGTAGTCAATCCTTGCGCATCTAATGCACCAGCTCCTGCAGACTAGTGGGCGACGATTTTGGTCTTCGACTCAACGAACTAATACCATGATCGTGCGTATGACGCATGTAATACTTACCTTTGCTTACCTAGGTACGCAGCTTGGCTAAGGCGCTGGCTGTGAGGGTACAGGCCGAGAATGCATATTGGGGTTTGGCGAACAATGCCGTGATTCCGGTCATAACCACAGCGTCTTCTACGGATGTGCTCCCAGAAACTCGGTTTGCAGTGGTTGCTGCTACTAGGATGAGAAGCGGTGTACTCGTGGTACACTACTAGTGTAGAGGAAGTCTCACACTGCATCCTTTTGTCACACGCAACGCTAACCTTACCAGGCCAAGCTCCCTATCGGCGTTTAGCGAAAATCCGACTTCAGCTTAAACCCGACGTGGGTCCAAATCGTCACTGTAGAATTAGCAATCACCTCAAGCACGCCCATATCCCTCCACTCATTCTGTGTCGTGTCAAAGCATGCAAAAAGCGTCTTCGATACCCTCAAGATTACTCCTTCTTCAAAGCCATTTCCAGACCAGGCAGCTTCCTGCACACCTATTCCACACGTCGTCGTCTAACATGGCGAAGCTTTCCCTCACCTCTACTCTTCGAATGCCTTCGGGGTATAGCATTCCAATTCTTGGATATGGAGTGTACCAAACCCCCGCTAATGTCGCAGCAGAGGTGGTCGGACACGCCTTGAAGATCGGATATCGCCATGTCGACTCTGCTGTAGCCTACCGCAATGAAGCACCATCTGCCGAGGGCATCAACACGTCTGGAATCCCGCGTGAAAAGGTCTTCTTCACCACCAAGATACCTCCGAAAGAAATGAGTTACGAGAGTGCCAAGAAGCACATTGAGAATTCCCTAAAGGAGACTGGATTTGACTACATCGATTTGTACCTTTTACATTCGCCGTATGGTGGAAAAGAGAATCGGATCGGTGCCTGGAAGGCGCTCGTCGAAGGTGTTGAAGCCGGGAAAATTCGGAGTATTGGTGTTAGTAATTATGGCGTTCATCATTTGATGGAGCTAGAATCATACATTAAGAGCACAAATGAAAGAGAGGGCAAGGATAAAGGTGGCTGCTTGAGTTGCAATCAGGTCGAGCTTCACCCGTGGCTGGCGAGGAAAGATATCGTTGATTGGTGTAACACGAGGGGCGTGATCTTAGAGGCCTATTGTCCGATTGTGCGCGCAACAAAGTCGGAAGATCCGCTTCTCCTACCGCTTGCGAAGAAGTATAACAAGACAACGAGTCAAGTTCTGTTACGGTGGAGCTTGCAGATGGTAAGCATAAATCTTCCTGATCACGACATGGACTAAAATTCCAAAGGGATTCGTGCCTTTACCAAAATCGGTCACAAAATCACGTATCGAGGAGAACGCACAACTCTTTGACTTTGAGCTTTCCGCGGAAGAGATGGAGAGCCTTGACACAGGGGTATATGAGCCCTGCGCATGGGACCCCACGGTCAGTCGTGATTAAGCAACGTACAGGATAATGAGCCTTTGTTTCCGAAGCACTTCTACAACCGCAAATAGTTGTCGATACGCAACGATGGTGGCAACTATAGTATGAACCGAATCGTGTTTATTCGCGACTACGATTGCGCCTCAGTCATTGCACAGGAAGGTCGTGATCCAAACATTACGTTATTCTTATTCCCTGCTACATTTCAAAGAGAAACAAACACTCCAAAGAAACACGAAATAACGATGGTTCATGACTAAAGAGTACTCTCTAACAATACGATCTCATGATTTCGAGCCTATGCCCTACCGCTGGTGACAGCGAGGGGATTACAGCTTACAAGGTTGCACACGCGGTGACTGTGCGTGAGGGAGTGCTAGTGCGTGTCAAAGCGTTGTACATCGCCCTGTACGCAGTGCCCTTTCCCTTGGTTGTCTAATCAATGATTGCAGGACGTGGCGTCAACATTTTAGAGCCAAATTAGTCCCTTGCAAGAAGCTCGAAGAAGAAGGGGACGCAGTTCATCGTCTGGCACTTACGATTCGGTCACTTCATTGGACAATGTATACAGTCTCCGATACTATCGTATTCACTTGCTGTAGAAAATCACGAGGACCCCACGTTCTGTATGGGCTGTCATATCCAGTCTCGATGCTTATGACCCCGCTTAGCCAATTTGTGCCGTCATCAATCATATACTTCTAAGCTTCAAAACCGCGATTACCGAAGATGCAAGCGGGGATGACACTGTTGTAGAGCACGGAGACAGTTGATGGGTATCCCAAACATTTGTCGTAATTGGGTGCGTCGGTCGCCGTCGTGAGATCTGTTCAGCGAATGGTACCTGTCTCGAGGCACCATGTGCATGTTGTTCGCCCGATTTGGCCGCATGACATTACAGCAGACGAGTATAGGTCTGGAGCTTAGCATATCTTCCCACACGAGACCGACGTGAAGTTGTCCGTAGTGAAGTTTTCATTATGCAATTGAGGCAAACTATGTCAACTTAGATACTAGAGTGGCGACCCAAAAAAAAAAGTTGTACCATCTGATGTCAGACTGGATCGCAAGAAAAAGATGAACCATCCGAAGATGGATGAGATTCTGACAAGAGTGGGACTCGAACCCACGAATCTTTCGATACTAGCACCTGAAGCTACTGTTTCGCTGTCAGAACAATGGTATTTAATTGCTTGAAGAGGTAACACTTACGCGCCTTAACCGCTCGGCCATCTTGCCTTGAATGATGAAATCAAGCGAGGAATAAAAATATATATACCACATGATAAATGGCGTGTGTGGATTCGCCAGTTTTGCCCAAGCCGGAAAGCGGGGCAACTGCTGGGGTGGCTAGTGGGGCATGTGTCAAGCGGGCACGCGGGCTACGACAAATCTACAACTCCGAACCACAAGCTTCAGTAAGTTGAGGAACCAAGCTGTAGAATGGTACCTGCTAGTGTATGCATACATGTGAATCTACCGCAACCCTCTGCTAAGCATCAATACAAGCATCACAAGCTTCCTCTCGAGCGGGATCTGGGATCAGTAAATTGTGCTGACACTCACAACGTGGTAATTAGACGCGCTGCGATTGGCTGCATGCGTTGGGGTCCGGCCACTTCAGTGCTAGCGCCTCTCCGCGGACCTGGTCGCTACATAACAGCCTCTCACGCAGCCGCGATTTCGAAGCTGCATTTCACCGCTGACTCCCGCTGACCTTTCGTATCTCTCCTATTGGCCGGAGCGTTGTACACGCAAACACGGCGAGAGTACGACGTATTTCAAGTATGAAATGGAGCAGTCCGCAGTGGGTGCGAAAAGCACGAAAATCAACAACAAAATCTCTCTGGGACATCATGGCGACTATACTAGGGACTTCGTACGGCGCGCTTTGGAACGAGAACGAGAACTCGGCGGTATATTCGATGCTACCGACGACGCCTTCAGCTGTTGTTGATGTCGAGCGTATGGACAAGGGGAATGACGATGGAACTTCAAGCCAGACCACCCTCCAATCATGCTCATCAACAAGTCGAGCGTCACGAATTGATCCGCGCATCATCTCAGACGCCATTATCGGTCTGTCAGACGGTCTCACTGTGCCATTCGCCCTCACTGCAGGACTCTCCGCCCTCGGCAACACGCACGTCGTCATCTACGGCGGCCTGGCTGAACTCATCGCTGGATCCATCTCCATGGGGCTCGGCGGCTACCTTGGTGCGAAGAGCGAAGCCGAAAGCTATGCTGCCACCCAGGTTCAGACAAGGAAGAAGATCATTACCGACACGGCCGGAGTCGAAGAAGACGTCAAGAACATTGTAGAGGATTTTGGACTGCCCGAGGAACTGAGCGACCTGGTGACGAGAAAACTTGTCGAGGGAAGTGAGGAACGGCTGGAGAAATTTCTCATGAAATTCGAGCACTCACTGCCCGAGCCGCCTTCGAATCGAGCATTGGTGTGCGCATTGACCATTGCCATGGGCTACTTCATCGGCGGTTTCATCCCATTACTGCCGTACTTCTTCGTTGGAGGTGACGATGTACAAAGAGGGCTTGTGTTGTCGGCTTGTGTCATGGCGGTAACATTGTTTGCTTTTGGCTATGCGAAGACGGCGGCAGTGCATGGGTGCAGCGGTATGAGCGACGTGTGGAAGGGAATCAGAGGAGGAGCGGAGATGATGATCGTAGGGAGTCTGGCAGCAGGTGCGGCTATGGGTCTTGTGGGCTTGTTCAGCCAAAGAGACCCTGTATGAATAGCGTGTTCTATCTCAATCTTTGAAATGCCATCAGACAGGTTAGGTGTGCACCTACATTTGGTATTGAAATCATCGTCTGGTCAGAACTACCGGATTTGCGCATGGCAGAACCATATGTACAACAATTATCTACAAGTTCTACACCTTCTCACGCACTGCCCTTCTTGCCCTTCTTCTCGTTCTTCCCTTCTGAATCCAAGCTCTCAGTGCTCTCTCCCCTGCCTAAACCGCCGACTAGTCCACTAACCGCCTTCCCCGCCCCCAAGGTTATCCCTCGTTCACCAAACACGCTGACCTTGGTGCTATTCCCGCTCCTCACACTGTCAAAGCTCTGCTTCCTCCGAATCCTAGTTGCTGAATGCTCCGGTGTCGTAGGATCCGAATGGCCGGTTCCCGCAACCTCATCCGACGACCACCAGCCCTCAGGTCGACTGGTCGAGCTGCGTGCGGTGATTTGTGATTGAGAAGCAGCTGGCGAGGGTGACTCAAGCGTGTGAATGGGGACTTTAGCTGCGGGTGGAGGGAAGGTAGTTGTGCTTGCAGGCTGTGAATGTGTACGCTCTACAGCTGAGGCATAACTTGACGCCGGATGCGGTATTCGTGATCTCTGTGCCGAGGGCGACTGCGGTTGTGGAACATCCTCAGATGTTGGATCTGTGAAGGATATTTTTCGCGTGGACTGAGAGTGCTTTCTGGAACGTAGGGCAACAGGGCTGGACGAGGACTCATCACCCGCGTCATCGCCTTCTGGTCCAGGCAGCGCTCCTGATTCAGGAAGGAGGCCTTTGTACCTCGCTGGCGAGCGGAACCTCTTGTCCTTGCGGTGCCCAAGGTGCGGGATATCTCCGCCTGCAAGACCGGCATAGTCGTCTAGCGCCTCGAAAACGTGCGGGAAGACAAGCTGGTCAACGGATGATGCCCAGAGGAAGTCGAGATGTTCATAGTGCGGGATCTCCTTCGCAACGGTATGACGAGGTAGCTCCTTGAGCATTACGTTGATGTCTACCAAGCTGTCTGAGCCACCGTAGACCAACACTATAGGCGTCTTGATATTGCGGGTCGGAAACTTAGCGACTTTGTAGTATTTTGATTTGTTCGACATGACGCTCGGCGCATCATCGTCGTACATCTGAAAGACACCATTGCGGATGATCTGGAACCAGTGGACCACGCTCTTCGTAGAAGTATACGAATACAAATGCGGATATGCAGCAAGCTTTTGATGTGCAGTGATGTTGCTGGCTGTCCAGCCAAAGAGGAAGTGCAAAGAAGCATCGATTAAGCGAACAAAGATCGGTGGGTAAAGAATGGACTGCCACATAGTGGTAGAAGGCAGTATCGACTTTCGGCCGAAAACTAAGAAGAGAATGTCGGGCGAGGTCTTAACGAAAGTGTTGACGACTCCTGAAGTAAGGCCTGGTGGTGACATGGCAGGCGCGAGCGCAATGAAGACATCGACCTTGTCGTTCAAATCCGGGTGGATAGAAAGCGTGGCAAAGGCCTGGGCGGTTCCCTGCGAAAAGCCAATGTACGATAATGAAGGTTGGTGGGTGGTCCTAAGGATGTACTCGATCGAGTCGGGAATGTCGTGGAAGGCGAATTGGTCCATGCTGAAGTTCCAGAAAGACTGATCCGTTGGTGCGCGATGTACACTCTTCTTTGAGTACTTGTTTCCGCGGTTATTGCCCAGCCAGACATCGTATCCTCTCTCGACCAGCTCGAAGGGCAGACAGCGTTCCCGCTCCGTTAGAGACACCCACACCTCGCTGTTCATCATAAGTCCATGATGCAGGTAAACGACCTTCTTCTTCAAGCCTCCTTTGCCTGGTCCGGCATTGACTCTGGAGTCCTCTTCCCCTCTTCTATACGCCAATCTGTGCAATCCCAACAGATAACCATCTCCAGTTTGCACCACATGTTCTTCGGTGTAGTATCCCCAGAGCTCGCAAAGCTCTCCGAAACCTGGAGCATTGGCGATGGAGCTCCACACACCCTTCTTCTTCTGCCTATTACGGCGCGAGTTGGGCGAGGAGAGATGGTTGAACAATCGGCGGGTGATACGGTAGAAAATGTTGATTATCGGCGTGGGTATTGCGACCGTGATGAGCGCGACGAGTGACTCGAGGGCGATGAGCACAATCGAGAGTGCAAGGACGAAGTACTCCCGGATGTGGAGACGGCCGAGGAACGGGATGCGCAGAGGCATGGTGAGCTTGTAGGGTCGTTAAATTCCTATGTCACTCCAGTTCCACGCTACAAAAAGAGACGTACACAGATCCAATAGGATCTGCGCTCGATGCGCCCAGTGTCGAAGGCGGTGGCGCTTGTCAAGCGGCCAGCGTCGCGTGAACTCGAGTCCGAGGGTGTTGTGTCTGCGATTACAGGCGGCACTTGAGGTTAAGAATTGATTGTTGAAGCGGTGAAGGCGAATACGCTGGCTCTACAGTGGAACATGCTCGTGGAATGCATGCATGTAACAGCACAGACTCACATGGTGAAATGTGCTGGCGGTTGATGACGTTTCGGGTCCTAGCATGTGAAGATCCACACCCACGCGCCGTCGGCGACTCCTCGGCAAAACTATGCTCCGGACTGTGAGTTTGAGGGAGCTCTATAACACCATATCCCATTCTCCAATGACGCGGTAGCCGTACACAAACCTTGATTTATACTGGTCAAAATGCCTCAGTCGTGCAAGGACATCCGTAAGCCGCCTTATACCCTATCGTTCGCATTAGCTCACGTCCGCAGGCGCGGCACTCGCCTTCTGCCTTCAAAACTCAGACTGCATAATGGTCGAGCGGAATCAGCCCGGCGACTGCCTCCGACCTCCGCTCAAATACACGCTTCCCACACAATGTCAGCAACTCCAGAAGGGATACGCCGAGTGCAAGAAAGGCCAAATCGACATGCGCAAGCGATTCCGAGGAAATCGTCCCATTAGTGTTGCAGGCCAGCTGGAAACAGGTGCATTCGGCGAGGGAAGAGCGGAGAAGGACGAGAAGCTGGGCACCATAGAAGAGAAGGGATACATGCTGTACGCTGGGCGGCCGTACAAGGGTGTGCAGGAGTCGCGCCCGGAGGAAGAGACAAACAATGGGGAAGAAAACAAGTGAACCTCGGAGAGGTGCATCAGATTCATGACATATGGCAAAGACGCGGGGTAAATTGAAACAGACCGGCAAGAACGAAGGACGGTTCCTGGGAGACCTCCATAAGCGTTTTGAGAGTCAGTGGTCGTCAGTCCATGAATAAACGAGCAGCCGGGACATCTCCCCTCTGTACCAACATCACGTGTATACTATGTATGAAAAGAGATGGATACCTGGCCACGTAAGCTTGCGAATGATCAACATTGCACAAACTTGATATTCCACGGTCTCTGCAATCATGTACCACCTCTGTCGGAGCCTGCGTCCCATTCGGTCCGTATCCAAAACGAAATCACAGTGGCGGCACTATGATAAGCAGTAAGAAGAAACCAAAGCCGTTATGTCCACGTTAGACTTCCTCTTCTCTGCTTCATTGGAGAACGAGCATCTGAACAAGCCAGGCCATAAGCGAACCAAAAGAGATAGCAAGATCAATAGTATTGCCGATAGTCCTATGATGTAACCAAAGAACTATTCTGACACAGGATCATGATAACCAAGACCATAGGGTCAGCCTTCATAAATCATGAGAGCCTGGTGCTAATGAACCCCTGCCATATGTGACCTCTGAACGTGGGTCAAGTAAAAGGAACGTAAAGCGACAGCCAGTGAGGCAATAAGCCCGGTAAAGCCCATAGAAAGCTCCCAGCACCTCCGGAAAATACTCGAAGGGACGGCAATACCGGTTGGATATGGACGTTGTAACCCACCAGAGGACTAGTGCTTGAACAAAAACACCAGCGAGGATGGCGCGGGAGATAATTATTGGGCGGGATTGGTCGCTGGGGGTCACGACTCTAGGGTCTGAGCGATGTTCTCCGGAAGGGTCTGGCTATGGAGCGCCAGAAGAAATAACCTCATCTCGGGTGCGAACAGGACAAGCTCCGTGAAAATGAACGAAGCGACGCACATCGCACCCCACTTCTTGGACGAAGGTACGCCTTCTGAAGTGTAGAGCTTGCATGCGGGGGGTAGACCACCTAAAAAAGAGAAAAGTCATCCGAAGAGGCCCGCATTCTTTTTCATTTCCCTGGCTGTTTGCTCGGAGACTGAGGAGTGGAACTTGTTGAGCCGGGCTAGAGTGTTTTGAAGGAGACGCAATAGCGAACACCTGGTACAAGCAGGTAAGACAGTGCTGCTGTCGACCCAAAACCGCAAACTATGGGCTCCACCCGGAGATTAGTACGATCGTGGCTTGGTATACTAGAAGGTTGGGTTGCGGTTCACGGTGCGAGAGTTAGGAGGAAGTATACCGTCTGCCACGACATGGGATATCAGTCGCATGTGCTGTCTATACGGCATTAGTCGAATTGGTCACGAGAATCTATAAGTCAGAGATTCTGCTGAGTCCCGCAGACTTAGTCATAGAAGTCGGGTATCCTTGGCATGTAGTGGATCGTTCACGTAGAACGTGCTAGTGTGTTGTAACAAGTTCAGCCTTGAGTTGGAGAAATCAAAACACAGGAAGAAAGAGCAAGGTTGAGTGGTCTTACACAGTGCACCAACTCGGTTTCAGTACGTTTGTGGTGGCGACTGTTACTCAAGACTTAGCCTGCATGTACATCCAACCCTCGTACACGCAGTGCCCAACCGTTGCCCATAGAGCCTGACGACTGACTCGAGTTATGAGTTGTTGGGACCTCTCCGCCTTGTACCAAACATTGTGTTATTAGTGTAACGAAAGAGACAGAACATGGAGAGGTGAATCTGCAAACGTACAGCCTTAGCTTCGTAATCTCTGCGATGCTACCCTATGATCCCTAAGTCAGAAGATAAAAAAATCGACAGACTACCATGAAGTCTCCTGTGCAGGGTCTGTAGTTAGACGCTTGTAATCGGTCACTTTACATAACTATGCCTCTCCTGGTTCCACTTTGCTAGCCTTGTATTGGTGGAAGATCTTGCTTGGCAACTATATCACCGAGGTACTACAATGGCTATCCACATTGCATGACACGCTGTTTGACTTGATCCACAATCTAATACTACGAAGTACTCAAGATGCATACGCACCACAAGATGGATAGCACCGAACCAACCTTCATGAACCCCATCATCCGTGGCTTCAATCCCGATCCCACAGTCTGCGTCGTTGCCGGCACTACCCAAGAACCAACCCGGTTCTTTCTGAGTACTTCAACTTTCGACTTTACGCCTTCCTGTCCGATCTACACATCCACCGACCTCCTGAACTGGAGACTCATTGGGCACGCACTAACTCGTCCCTCCCAAATTAACCTCCGCACTGTCGAGCCCGGCGCCGGATCATGGGCTTCAACACTGCGCTATCGACCCTCTGAGAAGCGCTTTTATCTTACTACCGGCGTATTTCACAGGTATAGACCCACCTCTGATGAAAGGATCTTCCCACGAGGCTTCTATGTCTGGACAGACAATATCTTCGACGACACCAGGTGGAGCGACCCTGTGTATTTCGACAACCCAGGCTTCGACCAGGACTTGTTCTGGGACCCGAATCACAATGACGAAGTATACCTAAGCACTACGGTGCGGGTATCGAATCGTGATCCAGCATCCAGATTAAAAGACTTCGCAATTCACATCTCCGAAATCGATATCAAGACCGGACAGACCCTGACAATCCCTAAGGTCATCAGGCAGAGTAAGTTCGGCATCGCAGAAGGATCGCACATCCTCTACAAAGCGCCTTACTACTATTTGTTCGTCGCAGAAGGTGGGACCGAAGCCGGGCACCAAGAGTGGGTGTTTCGCAGCAAGGACGGTGTGTACGGCCCGTGGGACTCGCAGGGGAAGCCGCTGTGGTATAACGGGCCAGATGAGGAGGTACAGCGCACAGGGCACGCTGATATCTTCGAAGATGGGTATGGGCGGTGGTGGGGCGTCTTCCTGGGGGTTCGGCCAATCAAGGATGCGAACGGGAAATGGTTGGAGCCGCCTTTAGGGAGAGAGACCTTTCTTGTGACGGTGGAGTGGATCAATGGATGGCCTGTCTTTAACGAAGGTGAGAATGTTAGACTGGTAACGAAGGGTAGGGACCCCATTACGCAGAGTATCGAAGAGAGGCGGGTGACTGAAGGAGAAGTGAAGTGGACGGCGGACCTCAGCGGGAAAGACCTGGAGTTGGGTTGGTATCAGAAGAACACACCGCTGAAGCAATGCTACTCGCTCAGAGAGCGTCCGGGGTGGCTCCGCCTGTGGGGAAATTGCTACAACCTTTCTTCGCCGGAAGCACCGTCTATGCTGCTCCGGAAGCAAACTGAGTACTGCGAGTCTTTTCACGCCACGCTGGACTTCGAACCCACCATCTTAGGCTATGAAGCTGGCATTGTGGCATATTGGAGTCCGTTCTCCTACGCCACCATCGGCGTCGGAACAGTTCAACACGGTGACAATTACTTCCGGACCATCGTATGTCGGAAACCCGAAGGTCAGGCGGGCGCTTTTAAAGTGCTCCATCCTATGATCCAAGATAGCCCTCTCTGCTCAAGTCATACCGTGAGACTGTGCGCTGAAGCGTGTAATGGGACGTACAAACTATATGCGAAAGACGAAGACAAGGCCGAAGTCCAGAGCTTCACTTTCACAGCGGAAGAGCTCGCTGTAACCCCGCCCGTTGGCATGTCGTTTACTGGCACGATGCTTGGCGTGTATTCATTTGGCAACAGTGAGCCGGTGTTGGAACCCGCAGATTTCACAGATATACATGTGCGAGAGGGAAGGGTAAGGGAGCTGGAAGGTGCGAAGTGGATCTGGTGAAGAAGGCCAATAGATTTGGTCAATACATATCGCACGTACTAGTCGCACTATGAGAGCTCATACTGGTCTTCGAGGTCACCGTCGCGTGTAGGGAGAGTTATGAGCAGTTCGTGGTCGAGGAACGCAAGGGAACAATATTGTCTCCCATTCTCGGTTCCACGTCACCTACCGGTACGTCGCACCCAAGCACCAGGCGCCTGGAAACCTGAGGCTCCGTCAACCAAGCGAAATCGCATCAGTGTGCTGAAGCACTGCATTGCAAGTCTAGACCACATTGGCGACCGCGAACGCCCTACAGGGCTGCTTGCCCTCGCCTTCGCCCTGCATGCGACGACACCGAGCCTAACTCAACATCCCACGTCCTCTTCCCCACTCCACCATCATCTCTTACACACAAACGCTGGTCGGGCAACGCACATTTCAAGTTGGGTAGCAAGGCATAAAGCTTAGCAGCGTTCTTTGAGTCACGAAGGTGTCGGAGTTTCATTCGTAGGCAGCAGAGCGTCCCACAGACGGTGCGCGCGACGATTGGACGCGCGCAGAGCTGAGCATTATACGTAGGTCCCTCAGCGCGCCACGGCGGATTCCGACACTCCAATATCTTGCCCATCTTCCTGCATGGAACGGATGACGCTTGTCGTAAATCTGGAAGGATACTGATGAGCGCGCAAGTGCGCGCACCGTGTGCGACTGGGCCGGCGGCGGGTCTCAACCAGCATCAGCAGCAGAGGACGGCTGCCCTGGCCTCCAACGCAAGCCACCCAAAAATCCCATTTCTTCCGATACGACGTGCGCACTGATTCGGGAAGGTGACGACCAAACGGTGATGCTGAAACAAGTATTCGGTTGCCTTCTCGCCTCGTCGAAGGTATGGATGTGCCCTGTCAGGCGGGCGGGGAGCGTCCGAGGACGAGGGCTGGCCGGATCGCCGTTGCCAAGGTGCTGATTTTGATAAATAGCATAACGTACATTAGGACACGTCGCACCGCATAAAGTTTCGGCCGCGTGACTGTGTGGAACCGCGCGGACAATGTGCGTTGAGGTGATGAAGGAGGCAGGGTGAGGCGTCGCTTGCTTACCGTACGCGACGCCTGGGCGTAAGGGCAAGCCTGAGCGTGTTATTCTGCGAAGGACGGATACCCACGGCGCATTGATCGTGCTGAGATCAGCGGCGATCTGAGGTTTCCGTGTGAACTTAATCTCAAGTGCACTGAAATGACAAACGTGTCGCGGGATATTGTGGAGATGATAAACAACATGCTGGTGTGAAATGTTGAAAGATGCTAGCTAGCCCCCTGCAAGAGGCAGTGGCCTGGTTGCTTGCAAGCAAATTTCTAACTATGCAATGCCGCTTCAGAAAGCTCAATCGACCAGTATGCGACGGGATGCCCTGCTTGACACAAAATTCTCTGCACGAATGTAGGAAGAATGCCATGTCAGACCGACATGAAAGAGACAAAGGGTATAATAACGCAGACCGAAAGTCCAACAAAGAGAGAAGCCGACATCAAGTCGGGCGTACAACAATGGCAATCTCTACAATCAACGTTCACTGCAGTTTGTCAGCGTATGAGTGTGCCGATGTCTGAGGCGCGCTCACTTAAACACTTACGGTTTAAGCCTGAGTGTCCGATGACCAAGGTCTAAGGCGCCGCTCTCACATTTTCCTGCACCGTACAGTGTCTACACCTGTTGTGGGCGAGGCAGGCTATGCAGCCTGTGTACCTTCGAGTGTCGAATGGTCCGTGTCCGCAATGGCAGCAGTACCAAAAGTACTCCACCACCACCTTACTGCCTCCCTTAGAAGGACGGGAGGAAGAAGGCATCGTATCGGTATAGATGAGATCGGCAACCGTGCGATATCTTGAACCTGGACGCCAAGGGAGATGTCCAGAAGAAACGGTACTGAGGTTGAAGTTGTCTTCCACACTCTTTACGAAATCTGTGCTGGTCTGGGGAATGACACGGGAAAGGGTGAGAGAATATCCGAGTATGCTAACAAAGTAAGAGACGTTTTTTTAAGATGTATCACTGTTAAGGGACTCACTATCTGCAAGCTGCGCAGTTCGTGCAACGTTGGCGGCTGCGCTCGGCGCAATGAGTAACCAATGTAGAATTATATCCCTCGGACTTGCACTGATAGCAATACCAATAGATGGCTATATAGAATTAGAGATGGAGAAAATGAGTCGTGCAGAAGAAGCCAATACTCGATGGTTGAAAGTTGTGAGTGTAAACGGAAAGAGCGACCATGCCAGAAGCACATTCTTCATATATATCGACCAGACTTGAAGGCAAAAGGACACGCACGGCCACACCGGCCCAGCGTGAGGCGTAATAGGGTCCTTCAAGCCAGGCCTGTCGCCCCGTGGTCCTCCGAACCAGGCCGTTTTGAAGGGCACGAGCTGGTGGCGCACCAGCAAACGCATGACTTCGAGGGTCAGGTTACGCAAGAAACTGAGGCAAAAGCTGCCCATAAAGTAAGGTGGCCGAGATACCAGCGGTGAGAAAAGAGCGGTCGTGAGTCTGATTGGCAGTCGGTGTCGGTGAGGGGCACGCGGAGGACTCAGTGGAGTCGACACCGGGGCTTCCTTTGACGTAAACCAGCATTCTATGGTAACAGAAGGCGCTTCTTTTTTAATGCAGATGGACTGGTGCGAACGATGGCTACTTGCCTCCAAACCTGAGTTACTTCGCGGTGAACTGAGGCAAATGTAGCCTGATTTGGCCTGAGGCATCACCCCAGTCACGAGCCCGGTCTTGCCGCACTCGAGTGGTGGAAGCCCCGGGTGTGGCTTCCAACTACCCGGAGGTTGAGGTGCAAAGGACATTCATTTGTCCGGTGACTTCTCGAAGGGCTGCGTAATTTCCAGTTTCAAGTGGGCCTGGCCACCATCAGCAATGTTCTTCCAGGATGGTAGCCTTTCGTAAGGATTTTAATACTTCCGATTATGCAGGCTACATCGTACCTGCATTCTGCGAGATCTCACAACGTGTGAGCCAGGTTGTCGCGTGTTCGAGGATTCCCACCCGGTTCAGGCTGGCCCCCACGCACGGCCACTGCGCACACTTGCATGCTGTGTGACCCCCTCCTTGATGCCTCTCGAGGTAACATATGCGAAAATTCATTAGACAAAATCGAACTAAAAGAATGAATTCGTATCTGTGTCTCTTTGGTGCCTCAGTGTAGAGGTGGTCGCAGACCCTCAGAAAAGTCTATGAGAATAATTGAAGAATGAAACTCTCCCACCAGTCTCAAGGAAAACCAATCTCGAATCCAACCACTCACTGCCTAGCCATATTCGAACTAATCGTATCTTACAGACGAAGGCGAAAGGAATGAAAAGCGATGAGGAATATAAATGATGGTGGTAGAAAGCCAATCTCGAACCTTACAGTTACTAGGAAAACTTTCAGAATAGAAACGAACGAGAACAACGTATATAGTGCTGGCTGTGAACGTGTTCGACGCGGCAAGGCTTGTATGAACCGGAGCGATGGGATGCCATGTATAATATGGCATCGACGACGTGGGGATACAACCTAGCGACTTCAGTCAGCAGTTCGAGGCCTATTAGACAGGACGTTTGCCATACTTCATTCATTTAGCAGTGGTGACTGTGCAGCAATTATCCCTTCTGTGACCGCATGCCGAACAGCCTGTTGCGATAGTATAATTATGCGGGCCATCTCCACAAGCACCACAGTACCACACAGTCGTGGGCGGTGGACCATACTGTAGTGGCTCTCCAAGAGCGTATCCATGGTTATCGGTAAAGGAACCCGAAACACAGTCTACAGAGTCGGCCGAAGTACTGAATTGTCCGACGTTTGTAGACGAGGAGGATTGAAAAGAATCGATAAGCTCGATCGGCAATGCAGTGACTTGTTGTGAGCCATAGGAGGACACGATGAAGCGCCAGGGTGATCCAGGGAGTTTCGCAGAGAAACGCAAGGTTGAAAGCGTGTGCATTCTGACGAGATAGAATAGGTGCGAGGTAAAAAGCCTCAGAGTAGACAGCAGAGGGATTCTGGAAGATGTATTGAATGCTCGAGGGGCGTTGGTGGCTGATGGAGCTTCGCTCAAGGCATACCTTTATATCTTGTCTGCCGAAGGGCCCCTTCGTGAACAGACCAGCGTCCTTCTTGTTGCTGAGGAAGGCAAAGATGATGGGTGCATGAGCCCCTCCAGCAGCCGAGGGTCATTCCGCTTAGGGAGGCACGAAGAGGCAGTCAGGCCGTGGTGAGTGAGCATGGCGTAACTAGGATGCCAATGGGTGGTAATGGTCAGTGTGTACCCTACGATAGGTGTCGGCCACATCCGACCATGAGTCGGCATCCTGGCGTCATAGGAGAGAACGTGGTTGGCCTCGGCAGGAGAGGAGCAAACGTCCGATGGCTTAGTCCGTGAACAGCGTCCGGTCGCAACAGGAAGCATTGGTGAAGACAAGCAACGACCCACGCACGGCTCTTGCGTGTGACTAAGTGAGGGCGGTAGGGGTGTCTGTATGGACGCTGTTGTCACATGGACGATAGATAGAATGGGGACAAGCTTGTGACGACACGGGAGAACGTGGGGCAGCAAGGCGGCAGTGACACAAAGCATGCTGGTAGGGCTGGTGGCTAGAGAAGTTTGCTGGTGGGCCGATTCGCTCAGCTAGCTAGGCGTTGCCTACTTTTGCCTCGTCTACGTTCCGAGATGTAGAGAACCGTCATGCCGAAAACGACAACGAGATGTGCATCCAGCGTAACTTGGTTGGTTTCCGTTGTCATTACGTGAGATGATGAACCACGAAGAACGCATTGTGCGCGGGCAAAATTGATTGGGACATTTCGCGGTACGCTCCCAAGTAAGATCCCAAGTTCTGGATCATGGTAGCGCATCGGTAGCCTGGTGTGCGGGAGGCTATTGAAACGGTTACAGTGCGTCTGACGCGCATGGGCATCGCTTGTGGATAGTCCAAAATTCCCGGACGTCGTGTACTGATGGGGAGTTAGGACCGCGGCATATGGAAGAGAATTTGGAAAGTCATTGACATTGAAGCATAAGGATGGGGCCTGGAACAATGGTGAACGTGAATCCACCGTAAGGCGAGATTAGGCTAAGCGAGCGTTGAACCGAAAGCAATACCGAAAGAGCAACAACAGGCTTACATGCTCTGAAACGTGACCAGCCGAATAGAGACGACCAGCGCATGTCAAGTATCTTTGCGAGACCTCCATCGACTTCGTCTGCACAGGTTGCTAATTGTGGCAGAGCTCGAGGGTCGTGGCAAAGGCATGCCGAGGGGGTCGATTCGGAGATATGAGATGACAAAGGGCGATGACCTACACAATGACGACGAGGCGACAGTGTTACGATAGCCTAGTAATCACTTTTTCAAGTGTGTAATTCTCCTAAGGGCGCTTCGACCACTGCCACCCCGCTACTTGCAGGTTATTACCCAGCCGCCGTGTCGAACAATTCATGTTCGTGCGGGGCCAAAGGGATGGCCTGAGCTCAATGTAATCGAAAGCGGTGGTCGAGGTGGGATTGCTGGGGCGATGGAGCACGACTCGAGCACTGTGTGGCGAATTACTCGTGGGGCAAGTGTATGAGGCAGGTGCGTAGGTGCGTAGAAGCTTACTGAGAAATGACTGGCCCACTTTGATGCAAGATGAGGGCTTTCCTAGGCAGACACAACTCGAAGGAGGCTGGTAGAGCCCGTGGAATTCAGGCAGCCTGGCAGCATGCCGGTGTTTCTGGTGGTGAAGAGGCCTTCTGCCCTCATTTCTCCACCAGGGGCGCAGCAACTTAATAGTCTTTCTTTGACCAGGCAATTGAGAGCATCTGGGCACCAGCATCCTCCCTTTCAGCGCTGGGAAGCCTCACCATGGCGGAGAGAAGGACCATAAGCACACAGCGCGTGATCAGGTCGCCGGAAAGGGAACACAGGACAACAATCGGCCTTTACCTGCTGCTCCGTGCGGCCAAGATCGGGGAGTACAGTAGGCCAAGTCTCAGGCCAAGGCTAAAAACAGTGATGGGTATGCAAGGCTGAAGAAATTCCGGTGAAGGATGCTTGCTGGTCCTGGGGCGGCCATATGGCCTGTCGAGTCTTTATCGCGACCACTGGGGATATAAGACATGTAGGAGATAAGTCTAGCACCGTACACTAGGACGGAGAAGATGAGCCCCAAGAAGAAGCTGGGAAGCTGAAGAGACGGAGAGGCTGAGCGCGGACGTTGTAATGCTTTCCGAATGAGATGAGATGGCTGCAGGTCATGACTCGGAGGCTTCCCGTGCGGCACGGTTCGTCATCCCAACAAGTGACCGAGGGTCCATGGGGTGGAACTGCGAGGAACTCGGCATGTTGAAGCACAGTCGGTGCGGAGGAAGAGGAAGAGGATGTGGATGCAAATGTGAATGTGAATGTAGCGGTGTGGTGGGGCTGCAACGTGTAAGAATAGAGTATCTGAAGGATTTCCGCATGACGTACCCCGCACGCACTTGCCAGCATTCAATTGACATGCAGCCGCGCGAAAGTCAAGCACGCCTCCAAAAATGGACTTGTACAAGACATCGTGATGAATCGTGGTGTTGAAATTGGATCGCTCGAAAACAAAAGTCGATTGGCCAATGCGACGACGCTTGTGCTGTGCTTCGATCGAACACGAGGCTGGGGTGGCGCAGGCCGCTAGATGATCCGCGATTCAAAACAGGTCACCACCTCGGTCGATCGCTGCACCAAACACAACGATCAATAGCCTCGTCCTGGTGCTGTCGCCTTTTGCAGCGCGAACTACCTGGATCATCTCAACTTCCTCATTACAATGCTGATGGCTTCTGGGTAGTACCGTGAAGCCCTCAACGCGCGGTCATCAGCAGCCCCTTACGATACTCCGTCATTGGGCAGTGAACAGCAACCATCACGGGCGCGGTACCTTTCGCAACGTAACCATCGACTACATCGCATCAAGCGCAATCGCATCGAGCGCCTCTACGCGCCAGGCTACCTAGCATGTCCGTCTCAGAGAAGAGCAGCCCCGAACGGCGCACCTTGGATCAAAAGATGGGCCAGCTCTCAGCCGTCATGATGCCTCTTATCGAAATTGGGGCAATGGGATTCGCGACCTACGTCTTTCTCTATTCTTTGTGCATCGACTACCTTCTTTCGCCATCGCCTGATTACCGGTCACGTGGGATATCTCCGAGAAGAGGCACTGCGATCGCCCTCATGTCCATCTATTGTCTTCTTGTCTTGATAGTACTCCTCACATGGCTACGAATGTTACAGGTCATTTGGACGAACCCTGGTATTATCCCATTAGGACACCCAGATTCAGAGAAGCAAGACGTGAGCTGGATGGGAATGGAAAAATATGACGCCTTTATCTCTGACTACGAGGGTAATCCGCAGTGGTGTGATAAATGCCACAATTGGAAGCCCGATCGCGCACATCACTGCCGCGAGTTGAACCGATGCGTGCGTCGCATGGACCATTACTGCCCCTGGGCTGGAGGAATCATCTCGGAGGGAACGCACAAATTCTTCATTCAATTCCTCTTTTATGGTGCGCTATATACAACGTTCTCCTGGATTCCGATCGCAATATTTCTAGCCGAGCGAATTCGAGTGATGGGAAGTAAACCTGGGGTTTGGATTGCGATGCTGCCTCTCTGTGGGATCTTTATGATCTTCGCAGTCACAATGTTCTTCATGACCTTTTGGAACCAGTCAATCAACTACACGACCATCGAGACTCTACAGCGAGGTGGGGTACATAACATTGCCATGTTGGCAACTCGAAGAGATCCGAATACACAGAGCCCACGCAGGAATTCACTGAGCCACAACAGTAGAGAGAAGCCCAACGTTTTGAGGGAGGTCATACGCAGCGACGGACGTGAATACGTCGTCTTCCAGACACAGCCTTTTGTCAATCCTTGGGATCTCGGCAGCATGGAGAATCTGCGTACCATCATGGGCAACAGCATCCTGCAGTGGTTTCTACCTTTCCAGATGAGTCCATGCATCAATCACGATGATGTCAAAGGCCAATATGGGTGGAGCAGGGAAGTGTTAGACATGGCGAGGGATTGGGAACGGGATCATCCGGATCGACGTATCACGCTCTTGAGCAACACAAGACGGGGTAGGAGAAGGAGCTCATAACGTCTGGCGCAAAAGATGGATTTCGGCACTGTTGGAGACACTTGAAGTTACTGATTTTTAGCATTGCTACGATACCCTCACAAGCCATGCATAGACCTGCGTACATACTGTCTTCACTGATATCAAGCCTTTCTTAAGAACACCTGCTCGGAGACTTGCATCACTCGTCACGCTTCGATCGAACCTTTCATACGACCATCGCCCCTGTCACCTATCCGTCACTTCTGTCTACCAACATCCAACCTTCCACACCGGCACATTCCGCTCGATAATTCCAGTGTGCTCGAATCGGAAGACGACGGCTGTCGAGAAGAAAGTGCGTGTCCAACGTTTTATGGTTCGACCACCCACTGGTCGAAGTGTGGGCCGTCGACCAATTGCAACCGCTCACTCAACCTCCCTGCGAAACACGTAGAGAGTGCCAGCGGGGAGTAGCACATACTCACATAAAGTGACACCATCCACCATCATCTCCTCTCGCATAACGTTTCCCTCCCAGTATCGTGCGGCAGGACCCTCCTCAACAAACGCCCACGCCTACCGCCACCGCAAAGTATACTCACCTCACATCCTTCGTCACGAAGTCATTGAATGACTTCATCAAACAAACCTTCGCCTCGCAACACGCTCATTAGAAATCCCTGAACCTTCCTAGTCAAGAGGCTGAATCAATGACACTTGCTACCTAACACTTGACGCACGACACGCCGTCAGACATGCGGCATTCCTTCCAACGCGCATCGCAGGTGTTTGACGCTTCGGCAATCTGTTGAGCTAGCCCTGACCCGTTCCACATCAAACACTATTCCATAGCATGAACAGGCTACCCTTCCCCACCGCGAAGTTTAGCTCCGCCCTGATCCGCTCAACATTCCCCAAGGCTCCGACCCAAACACGCAGTGATGGCGGCCCCACCCGCGCTGTCTTAGGATCTGGAATATCGAAACAGCTATCTATGTGACAGGAGGAGATGGATGGGTGATGCATGTTGGCGCGGCCCGATTGGGTTGGACATATGTTTCGCGTCAGCTGGACCACCAATTGTGTGGCGTGCGTTTCGAAACATCTGCGTGCGTATGCGAAGGACTTGATGCCAAGCATACATGTTACGGCCCCATCATGTTCGGGATCTGATAGACGCCGCATGTGGAAAATCACACAGCTTTGCTTCTCTTGTAGTTGCTATCTCTAGTAATTATACATAATGACTTGACTCTCATTCGCTTTCCCTTCGGGCTTATCGATCTGTGCCTCGGATTCCGAAGTTGGAGAGTACTCATCGATTACGCAAGACAGTTGCGAATCGATAATACTGCCAAATGAGTCCGTGTGGCAGCGCGCCATAGCACTATTTGCCTGTAAACTATATCAATTCCAGGCTAGGCTAACTATGGCTCGAATTGACGGATCATGCCAAGGTATCCAACAAGGCCCATGTTCACTCGCACACAGCCAAAATTTGCTTTATGCATCTTCCCAGCCCACCAGTCCCATCCAGACCTTGTCATCCCCCTTTCTCCCGCCACGCGACCACCACACTGTTGAAGCCTCAACAAGCATCTCACATTATAGTCGAAACCATATCCGGTAGCGAGACAGCGGCCCGCCTTAGGTCCTACCATCTTGCACTATGACCCGGATCATCGCTCGACGCCCAGTCAGATTCAGGTTTCAAGCGTGACTCGCCTCTAAGGCATAACGTCCAGAAAGGCTGCGGGTCCGTGGGACTATGATCGGGGTCCTCCATAGAACCATGACTGGGTTCTCCCCATGACATGGGGTCAGCATACGGGTGGCGCTGTTTGGACTTGCTCTTCCCTGCTTACTTCACTTCCGGTCAAGCATACGCTGCGTTATTTACGACGTTTGGGTTTGCGTGTGGGTCCAGCAATGATTGCCACCGTTTCACCAAGGACGCTATAAACCCTTCAACATCAACGGGGGCGACAATCGGGCGCCGGAAGCTCGAGATGTGTGTGACAGGCTTTAGATAACAGCTGGGTGTTTGAGGGCAGCATCTTGCCTGCATGAGCGGTCTCGGACAAAGCAGGTCCAAACGTGAAAATGGAGTCCTGAAATTTTTCTTGTTCCTTGAGAAGTTGCCGAGGCATTCCGTTTTATGTGATTGTTGAGGAGTCTAGTCTTGATGGATTGAGAAGAAAGGCGAGTGTTCATAGATTGGTACATGAGTGATGTGTTTTCGATGTTCCAACAACGCAGCCAATTCCCAATAGCCAATATCATTATACATTGATAATCCCTAGTGTAATTCCAAGTACAGCAAAACGAGGCTGCGTGACAGTACTCTCTACCCCGCTCAACCTAATTACCAGGTATATCGTCCCCTCGATAATACTATTTCATGAATCCATCCGAAGATGCAGAGCCTCGATGATGCCCTCTAAGCCCATGTACGCAGCTAAGCCCACCCAAATGCCCTGATACACCCCTTTTTCCAAGGAAGAGAAGACGCCAGCCCATGCAATGCAGACTGTACCAGATCCCCAGCCAGTGTGAGCTGGGTTTGAGTTTAAAAAAAAAAGTGGCTCTTGGCAGACACCGCAGACGTGTGCGAGTTCCGTGAGCCCAAAATAATGATAGTAAACACAATAACGAATAGAAGTGCAAAAGATCACCAGCCTACTTTGAGGCACAAGAAGCTCGCAGGGTTGCCGCTCAACCATAGGAACGCCGAAAGTAAATTGGAACTCTTGTTGCCGATGACAAGTCGATATGAAACGGATGGATGAACAGGAAGTGAGGACCAGATCGAGGTGTGGGAGGGGCGCTGCATGGTTGGCCAGTCTCAAAAGACATGCGTCAAATGCTCACGCGTCCCTCAACCAGAGCTTTCAGCAATTTCGCGGGCGTCACGCTGTTCTCTTCCCGGAGCACGTCGTCGGGCATTGATGAACCAGTTGGAGACCTGGATTATGTCAGCCATGCAAATCTTATTGACGATCCAGGGTCGCGGCCCCCTCGAGCCGGCCAGGGGTTACATGTGGGGTTGTAGAGGGGTTAAAGATGATTGAAGGGCAGGTGACAGCCGAACAGATACCGTCACCCAAATGGGAAGCCGGGTGCAAATATATTGATTCTGACGTACCTGATTTAGAGTGAGTCCGCACTTTCGGCATAGGTCCATCTTCTCGTCCTCGGTAGGGTAAGGAGAGTCACGGTGATCCTGGAACCATTTCTTGAGAATTGCCGTTGCCTCTTTTGGAAGATTGCCACGCCGTTTCCTGTTGAACGAGTTTTGGTCCACGCCAAGCGCTGACTGGAAGGTATAGCTATTGTACGGTTGCGGCTGCACGTGGGGGTGGTAGGCACCATGCGTCATGTATGCTGGCGGCGGTGCATAGTATGAGGTTTGGGATTGAGCTCTCTCGTAAGCGTGACCGTGGACAATTGGTTGCGGGTCAGGGTAGTAGCTCGGTCGTCGGTCATACTGCCCTGCATGCGCGGGGTATCCAGAAGGCCCAGACACGCTGTGATGAGCTGGAGCTACGTGATGCTGATACTGCGGATGCGCCTGGGGAATTGGGCTAGACTGGTGACGCGCGTGCGTAGCCATTGGAGCAGATTGGGGTACAAATGGTAGACTGGGCCGGTGGTGGTTTGCAGCTGAACCATACGGGCCGGTGAGGGCTGGGTCGATGGCGCTGGGGTGGCGAGGCTCGTAATCAAGAGACTCGGTCGGATAGGGAGGGCGATATTGACCGTCAGAGGAGTCGAGGCGCCTGCGCTTGCCGTCTCCTGTCCATGCTACCTCTTCCCACTGGGTGCTGCGTCCGACGGGCGAGCTGTCGGATGAGCCATTGCTGCGATTGGGTGTTCGCGGTGGTGAAGGCTCGCCGTTGTGAACATGTTTCAACAACTTTTGGGCGGTTAGTCTCGGTACAAAGCGGCCGCTGGTAACTTTACCTGTGAGAAGGATGGAAGCCCGACATTGTTGGGCTGCTGTTCGTTGGGCTGGACCGGAGGAGAGTGACGAGTGAGGTGGTTCTGTGACGGTTGTTCGTTAGAATGGTTGTCTTTTTCCTGATCTGTGGCGAGAGATAGAGTCGAGCGACAGCACGAGTTATATACAGGCGCCAGACTGTCCAAACGCTGTTCGTGCCGGCTGCCCTTGATAGGCGGCAGCATGTTGCAGTCGGGGCAGCGTTTGAAGCCTACTCCAGACCTGACCTTTGCAGCAGGATCGACAGGGAGAGGTGTCTGGTCGTAAGGATTATGCACCGAGCCGAGCGAGTGGGCAGAGGGCAGGCGTGGAGATGGCTCCTGAGTCTCTGCTGGGACCTTGACGGGCTCGCCAGAGTCATGCTTCCGAGACCTGAGATAGTAGGGGGAGGTGCTGCTGCTGCTGGCCTCTGCGGAGGAAGGTACTCTCGGGGAAGGGGATGTTGAAGTGGAGGGAAGGTGCGCCCTGGGCGAGGCAGGCGTGGGGGAGGGCATGACCACGACTGGTGGAGAGTCGCAGTTCCGAAGGCAATGAGGCATCCCACAAAGGGGAGAAGAAGAAGAAGAACAACGACGTACCGCAGGCAATGCAGGCAGGGTCCTCTCAGGGCCACGGAGCTCATCTGGAGTAGCCATTCTGCGCGCGTTGTACATGTGGCGATGCGGGAGATCGTGCAGGGTAAGGTACTCCATCGAAGCAGCTATAGACTGGGATAATCAGGGTCAGCATCGTTCAACCAGAGACGGTCCATGGTTCGATGTATCGAGCGACTCGTGTCCGATACTTCATCGTGGGGATCCACGTCACGGAACACCACAACCATGGGCGATGTGCCCAGCAGGACAGACGACTCACCTATCTGATTACGGTAGGAAAGACGCGAAAAGCGGAGACGCGGTGAAGGGAAAGAAGGCGCCGTCGAGAGGAAGGCAATATCTCAGATATAAGTCGACCACCTGCGCGAGCTGTCCAGGCCGAATGAGGCAATTAGTGAGGGTGTGTTAAGGTCGTTCTCGTCGGCGTACAGCTGTGTGTCGCGCGGAATATGAAAAGAGTTGCCGGCGCAAGCACCCAGCAGTTCGCAGATGGACAGAGTGAGCAAAAGAGGATGAGCGGCAGATCTTAAGAGAGGCCTGCACCATGCACGGGTGGAGGCGTTACGATGGCGGAGCAGAACTGCAACGGGCCGTACGTCTAGCATGCAAAGCGTCCGTCTGCATCTGGGACCAGGAGCCACGCCAGACATGCCAGGAGTAGCCAGGAGACGTCGGCCAGCGCTGCACTTGGGGATTTGACAGGTGCGTTAAGGTTGGGGCCTTGCCTGAACCTGGGTATTCTCCGAGCGTGCACAAGCAGCGGTGTCCTATGGCGAGAGCTTGCAGAAGAAACAAAGTGCCCTTCACCACGCCCGCAGGACTCGAGGCACGAGCAGTACCCGGCTTAGCCCCTTGCTAGAGCCGCCGTCGCGCTGGATAGCCGGGCGACGGTGGTGGAGCTGCGCGATGCAAGACGCCTCCCATGCAGCCACTAGACTAGGCCTCATGGCGCTGCCATCAGACCCGTCCGCCCGTCCCCACCACTCGCCTCAAGGCCAACACCGCCGACGCAGATCGTCTTCGACTGCAGCCGACTCGATGCAGAAGAGCAGCAGGGTACCGCTGCTCGTCGCTTGATTCGTGCGGAGCTGTTCACTCGCCACGGCCAGAATCAGCACCACCGAGACGATCGCTGCAACGCCCGCACACACAATGCCATGTCAACGTCCCATCACATTGCTAGTGGAGATTATGGCTGACGATTGACGTGCAGGAAATGAGATGCCCAAGCCACCTGGCACTGTCAAACGCCCCAAGAGGAAGTCTGTCGTTCGGAAGCATGCTGGCTGCAACCTATTCCTGCCTTGGCTTCTTGCTCAGGGTGTCCAGGGCCCACGACTGGCGGTGCTAAACGTGAGACAAGCGGCCATTGCATCTGCCACACCCGGAGGCGTCAGGGCAGGCTACACTGGGACCTCGCTGGCCACGACGTCTACCGGGGACCCGTCGTACGGAACTGTGGTATTTGCTTATGGCACGGAGCGCGGGGTCATTGGACGAGCGTGCCCTGCGCTCGAGGCATACGATCTCGGAGGCGTGCATAGAGGCCAGTCACGAAACCGACGGTGGTGAGCTGCTGTGTCCTCTGGGACCAGGCCAACGGGCTGCCCCTGGGTTGTGAACAATTACCAGGACCGGGGAGACAGCTGCCGCACGCCAAACCAGGCTGGTGGCTGGGCAGGATATTGAGTGCCAGTGCTGCATGGCATCCGAAGCAATCCCCAAATGTCAAATCAAGACTGACCGCGTCCTCAGGCACGCTGCGAGTCGGTGGCTAGTGCGGCCGCAGGAGTCATTGACCAGCAAAAGAGGCGTTCAGCAGAGGGCACCAGAATAGAAAGACGAGCCGGGCCATCACAACCCACTACATTGCATTGACGCGGGTGATCGACAGCGGTACCTGTCCTACCCAAAGCAGCATGGCATGGCAGCGGATCCCAGACGGCGAACGAGGGCTCGACTCGTGCAAAGTCTTTCTCAAACCGCGAGCGCGCGCGAGACAGGCTCAGCACCGCACCGCTGGGAAGTGTTTACGAGATGTTTGATGATGGTTTACCTTTGGGGGCAGAGGGGCCGAGGGGCCGACACGTGCCGGTGCAGCAACGGCGCGGCCCTGGCTCAGCAGAGCGACGGTGCAGAGAAGCGGCAGAAGGCTGAAAGGCCCAAGATGCCTCTTGACAGGCGATTGACACGGAACGCGTGGAGGGCAGAGGCATGCCGGCGGACGGTTTGGGCGGGCGCGAGGTTCGAGGAGGCGTGATTGGCGCAGGGATGCGTGCGGCATGTCCAATCAGGCGGCTGAGCTCGAACCGGCCGATCCTTCGCATCGTTGTTCGCTGCAAGATCCCAAACGCCCCATCGACCTCGTGCCGCGGCGGTGCTTTGTTTTGGCGGCGATCTGCGCCCGCGACAACTGGACAGTGCCAACGCGAACGCGACGGCCGGCCTGACGCTGCCGTGTGGGGGACATCCATGAGGGAGCGCCACCGGGTCCTCGCGACGGCCGACAGTGCCCGTCGTGCCCGTCGTGCCCGTCTGATGAAGCCCCGAATCCATCTGTCTGCATCCCGACGACCAGAGCAAGTGCAGGGCCCTTGACCGCTCAAGCTGTGCACCTGCACCTGCACCAGCACCAGCATGCATCGTGGGCACTGCGGCCGAGCATCTTCGGTCCCGCCACGGAGGAACAGACTGCAGACGAGATTGCCCGCCGCTGTTATCGAGGCAGCAGCATGGCATGGACGCGTTCGCTGCTGCAATGCGACTGTGCGGGAGCACCAGTACGACGCTCGCCGGCGTTGCACAACAGCACCCGACTTGACAGTCCGCCATCTCATCGCCTGGCGCCCGCGAGCACTTCACCGTGTGGACGGCCAAGGCCCCGCGCTTGCGCCATTCATCGCGCAGGGGCTGTCAATCGCCGTAGCGTCGACCCTTCCGCCGCCGCAATTGTCCTCGGGCAGATCCCAGATCCAGCTTGCATGCTTCCGTCAGCATCTCACTTACACATGGCATTGTATCCGGCTAGCAGTGCACTACAACCCCAACGTACGGCCAGCAGAGAGCACTGCAAACTGGTCACAGACGGACGAAAAGGCGGTGGGCATGCGCGCGGTGCTTCCTTGCCTCGACAGCCTCGGCTGACGGCGTCGTGACTGGCGCTGTCATACAAGATGGAGGCTACGGACGCCATCTGGTGTCTTCGCAACCCCCGACTTGGTTTCAAACCCCATGGCCGTGTCTCCTCGTTGCACTGTGGCCACGCCTCTCCTCGTGTCCGCCCCCCAAAGCCGGGGAAACCCTGCCGCACGCTGTCTCATTCGACGCTTTCAGCACGACTGGCGTTTTGCCCTTCACCTGACCGTCGTCTCGACAGCCACGTCGTGCTGGGTTACGGGAGGCGCCCGGGTGTTCCTGCCGTCGTAGGCTCCGTTCTGGAAGAGGGAGGAGCGTTGCCGTTGCGCCTGCCTGCCAAAACATCCGCGGCACCCCTTCCGATGGGCCAGCGCCGACCTCCAAAACATCCACCTCGCCGTTGCACGGCAGCCAAAACTCCGATCTGCGTCGCCCTGAACCCATCGCCGGTCCGTCACCGCCTCCGCCTGGCTTCCAACATCTCCAGAGCGCTGGAAGGGGGGTCAGGAAATCCGCCATGTGTTACTGCTCGCCCCGGCATACGAGAATAAGGGAGGGACGCGGTGACATCTGCAATACGGGCCGGTGCTCGCAGACGTCCCGGTAGCTTGGGCTTGTACGGACCGGTCCAAGAGCGAGCGTTCACCT